GGCTCTGTCAACGTCTGTATCAGGTGTTGAGACTAGGAATGCTATTGATCAAACTGACAGAGTGTCTACTGCTACAGGTGATGCTGAGCAGCAGGTCAGGCAACTAGAAGTTTTGATTGAGAATCAGATACAGAAAGAGACTAGTCAGAATATGCTTCGCTCTGCCACTCGTTGGTTAGAACAGGGAGAACGTAGCAACAAGTATTTCTATCGTTCGATCAAGGTGCGAGAGTCTCAACAGACAATTCAATCCTTAAAGTGCTCTACTACTGGAGATATCTTGGTGGAAGCAGCAGCTATCAACAGGGAGGCACAAGGTTTTTACCAAAGGCTATATACCCCTGATGCTGTCGATGCTGAAGCTATCGATACTCTCCTGGGGAATGTTCCAACTGATGTACGTCTATCATCCTTGGATGGTGATATGCTAATGGAACTTCCAACTCGCGATGTTTTGTTGTCTTTGCTCACTCATGCTCCCAAGTCTAAAAGTCCTGGTCTTGACGGTTTGCCTTTTGAATTGTATCAATATCTTGCTGGTGTTTCAACTGATTTTCTTGACTTGCTTGTGGATGTGTTGGGTGCAGCTTTTTCTGGTGTGTTTCCTCCTTCGTGGCAACAAACTCGTATGGTCTTATTGTTCAAGAAGGGTGACCCTCAGTTGTTGGTTAACTGGAGACCTTTGTCCTTAATTAACAGTGATGCCAAGTTATTTACAAAGCTCATTGCTAATCGTATGAACAAAGTGTTGCCAAAGTTAATCAACCCTTATCAAACTGGTTTTCTCCCTCATCGTCTGATCTCTGACAATGGCTGGTTAAATCAGTTGTTGATGTCTCACTTGCGTGTTGTTGCTCCTGATTTACCTCAAGTTGCTGTTTTGTTGGATCAAGAGAAGGCGTATGATCGGGTTCATCCTGAATATCTTTGTCGTGTGTTGCTCCGGTTTGGTTTTCCTGGTGAGTTGGTGTCTTGTCTGTCTTCTTTGTTCTTTGGAACCAAGATTTCAGTGTCTATCAATGGTTGGCTTGGTGCTCCTGTACCTCAATTGCGAGGTCTTCGTCAAGGTGATCCTCTCTCTCCATTGCTATTCAATCTGGCATTTGAGCCTTTGCTTCGTTCTCTCCTTGCTTGTCCTGGTCTTTCTGGTGTTACTCTGTCTCCTGTTGATATCCCACGTAAATGGAAGCCTTTACCGGTCGAAGTTCGTGTGGATCATGGTACTGGTGCCCGGAATTGGACTTTGGACTTTGTTAGTGGCTCTGTTGCTCCTCCTCCTGTCAAGATTCTGAGCTATGCGGATGATCTTGAGGTGTTTTTGTCTTCGCCAGAAGAGTGGTCTGTGCTGTTGTCTGTTCTTGATCTGTATGGCCGAGCATCTAATGCGAAAGTCAATATCAGCAAGACAGTGTTGGTGTCGTTGTCTGGTGTGTCACACTCTGCTTGGGTTGCTTTGGCTGATTCTACTGGTCTCCAGTGGCATGACGCTCACTCTCGTGGTGCAGTACGTTACTTGGGTTATCCCTTGTATCATACTGAAAGTCAACTTCAAGACTATCTTGATGGTGTCTTGGTGAAGGTCCAGCGACACAGTAACTTGTTGAAACAAAGGAATCTCTCCATTAGGGGAGCAGGACTAGTGGCTAACTCGTTACTGTTGTCAAAGGTATATCATTTGTTGCGTGTTGTTCCTGGTGGTGCTACTACTGCGTCGTGGTTGAAGTCTCTCACTACGGTGGTCCGTGAGTATCTGATGTCCTTTCGCCCTGGTGTTGCTTGGTCTACTTTGTGTCTCCCCCGCAAGTTTGGTGGTGTTGGTCTCGTGGATATAGCAGATCAAAGCTTAGCTTTGCATCTTGTCTATTTGCAACGTTTGTTGCGTCCACCCTCTCCCAGTGATTTTGTCTCCTCTTGGTTGGTGTACGCTTTTCAAGTTTACACTGGTCATAAGTCCATCTTGCCGTGGTTTTGTTTTCCTGGTCTTTACCAGTCTCGTGTGTCTTCTGTGCCTGCTCTAACACATCTTGGAAAGCTTCTGTTGAGATTGCCAAAGCTAGTTCCTTCCTCTGGTTGGTCTGCTAGGTGGTTTCTTGATCTTCCCTTGTGTTCTGTACTCAGTACTGTGCCTTCTGTTCGTCCTCCTCGTGATCCATCATCTCTTGATCCTCGTTTCTTGGTGTCGGATGTCTCTTTCTGGCAACCTGATCTAGGTATAGTTGATGGTGTCACCTCTCATCTTGCTTGGTCATCTCGTGTTTTGCGCCCTGTTTTTCTTGCCTTGAACCGTGATCGTGGTCCTGTCTCTCTGGTATTCCCGCCTGTCATGGATAGTAAGATAGTCTTGTCTCAAGCAGACTATTTTGCTATGCCCCGTTCTGATGGTGCTACCTCTTGGATGCCAGATTGTACACATTGGACTGTCTCCAACTCGTCTCGTTCTGCTGCTCCGGTTGCTCGTCTCTCTCTTGGTGCTTTGCGAAGGTATTGGCACCCTGCAAAGGGTACCATTACCTCTCGTATGGGTCCTCCCTTGAAGTTGCCTGCCCATTTGTTGCTGTCTCCTGCTTTGTGGCGTCTTTTCTGGTCCCTGGAAATGCCTGCAAAGGCTTTCACACCTTGGTGGCGATTGCTACATGACCGTGTCCCGCACCGCTCGTGGTGTCATAAGATTATGCCTACAAAAGTTCTGTCTCCTGCTTGTGCTCTTTGTGGTTTTGCTACAGAGGACCTTTACCATTTCGTGGTGGGTTGCCATGTCAAGTCATTTTTCTGGCAGGATGTAGTCTCTTTGTTGTCACTTCAAGAGCTACTCCCCTCTGCTTCTTCTATTTGGTTGGCGCTGACTACCTTTTGTAGTGGTTCGGATTTGTTGGTGATCGATGAGGATGTTCTGATTGCTCTTGGTGCTGCTTACAGTACACTTTGGAAGTATCATTGGCGATGCGTCATAGACGAGGAGCCTTGGATAGCTTCTGCTGCTATCAACATGGTCCGTCAAGACCATAGTACACTCTTTTCTTCTCTTTCTTTGGCAAGTGTTCAAGCTGGCACCTTGGCCTTGCCTGTAATTACTGTATAGATTATAAATTTAAAGCTAATAAAGATACACTTTAATACAAAAAAAAAAAAGCGTATTCATCACTTTTTAAAAAGTTTTCGATTACGCCATCTTTGAACAACGATATCTCGACAACTAGGATACATCCATCTTGCATCCAAGTATATTTAGATACATCCATTTCAGCTCTACAACATATCTTGATTTCAGATCGATTCAACAATTTTTCGTCGAATTCATCTTTTTCACTACTTTTTCAACAACGCGACTTAGTTACACTCTAGATTACAAGTTACACTCTACGTCTGTTACACTCCATGTCTTCCCAATCTGAATTGACTTGGGCTCAAAGAGCTTCACGTCAAAAGGTGGGTCGATTTCTCCAACCCAACAAGCGACGATTGGACAATCCAACTGATGTACCACTGGTGGGTATTGTTCTCTATGAAGATGATGACCTGAAGGGTCAAATTTTGGCAAGCAAGGCTATGGCGATTATTCAGCAATCCCTTTCTTCTGGTTCTGTTCTGTTCACGTTTCAGAAAACTTTGTTTCCTGATCGTGTTGCCGCTTACAAAGTGATTCAAGATCAAATCTCACCTGACGTGGAATTTCGACCTCTTAGTTTGTATGATTCTCGTGCTGATGGTTCTCTGCTGATTGAAGCCAGGTTTGCTCAGGTGGAGCATGCACAAGTGGCTATGCGTGAAGGGGTGACAGTACAAGGTGTAGTGTACAAAGCGTCTACCTCCAAGGAAAGTGCTGAATTTGGGGATGTCAAGCATGTGCGGTTTACACTTATGCGTATGGTGGACAAGACCACTTTTTTGTCGGATCTTATGGAGTCCTTGTCGTACTTTGGTAAGGTACTGCAAGTGAAGAAGTTTACTCACCGTGGTTACTTTGAGGGTAAACTTTCGGTGATTTTGGATACTTCTGTTGGATTTCAGGTAGGGGATGAGTGGCAGGAGGCCAAGCCCCTAGATAGAATGCTCTATCTGAGCGAATTTGACTGTTTTGTGCCAGCGACTTACCAAGGTGCTCCACCTGTTTGTCATTTCTGTCAACACAGCGGTCATGTTCGCGCCAAATGTCCTGAATTGGCTAGACGTCGTTGCTTTAGGTGCAATAAGCAAGGGCACATGTTGCGTTTTTGCCCTGAAAAGGAGGTTCAGTCTGCAAATTTCACCAAGAAGCACAAAGTTCACCATCATTCTGAGGATTCTGAGGATGTCACTCTGGCTCGTAAGAACACTGTGGAATTGATGGAGTATATTGAGAAGGAAAAATTAGGCCTAGGTAAGGAGGTGGAGAAGGTAGAAGAAGAAGAACTCGACTATCGTGTAGTCGAGGATGAATCTCTTCAGGGTGAAAGTGTTGACGAATCTGAAAATGATGAGTCCACTGGTAACGAGGATTTGGATCTTCTGAGTGAAGATAACCACCAGGTAAGTATGAATGAGGATGAGGACATGGAGGACGACAAGATTGTGCTTGCTGGAGCTCCCAAGAAGCTGGATACCGTGCGTGGTTCTGCCTACTCCAAGTATGCGTCTGCTGAGGTGGCTGTGAATATGAACATTGACTCGCCTGAGGAGATGTTGAATTTGACCAAGTTGAAGGATCTTGCTCAGCGCAAAAGAATGGAGTTCAATGCAAACCTGAAAGGTACTACTGGTGCTGGTGTAAAAGGTGATAACAAGCAGGATAACTCTGGTGGTGTTTCTTCTGGTACTGGTGCTAAGGGTAACAAGTCTGGTGTTGCTTCTGGTGTTGCTTCCGGTGGTGTTTCTGGTGGTGTTTCTGGTGGTGTTTCTGGTGTTGTCAAGAATAGCAAGACTAATGGCCGTGCGCCTCTCAAGACTAAGCAAGACGCCCGTAGGGCTCAATGAGTACAAAATTAGGCATCAAGATTGGCTCCTTGAACACGCGTAGCTTGTTCATGCAGTCTAATCCTACAAATTTCAAAGAGTTTTCATCTTATCTTCGCTCCTCCTCTCTCCATCTGGATATCCTTTGCTTGCAAGAGGTATCTCATTTCCGCTCTCAATCTACTCTCACTGAATCTCAAGTCCGTTCCTTTTCTTTTGCTTTTCCTAATTGTTCTCTCGTTGTGTCCAAGCACTGTGCTATTATATGTCTCAATTCTCGTTATTCTTTGGTGGATACGGAGGTATTGTTGGATGAACGTTGTCTTGTTGCATCTGTCGTAGATGCCTCAAGCAATGTTTTGTGCAAAGTGGCCAACATCTATGGTCCCGCGCAGTCTTCTGACCGTCCTTCATTTATCTCTGATTTTCTCTCTCTTTCTGTTTGGTCTGATGTGTTCAACACACCTTGGATGGTTATGGGTGATTTCAACATTCACTTGCACTCTTTGTCTACTTCTCGTCAAGCCGATGTCGCTCCTTTTGTTCACTGGTTGCGTACTCACTTTGTCAATTGTCATCCGGATGGTTTAGCCACGTTTCCAAAGAGCAATACTTGTATTGATTACATCTTTGGTCACTCTTCTCTTGCTCCTCGTTTGACTAATAGTCAGTTACTATATATGCCTAGTAGGTGGACGGATCACTCTCTTTTGACTGTTGAAATGTTACCTGCGACAGCTAGTATTGGTCCTGGTAGTTGGCGGTTCAATCCAACTCTGCTTGATGATAAGGAATTTGTTGCGTTGTTGAATGCCACGGTGTCATTGTTCTTCTCTGGTGCTGTTGGTGGTGGGTCTAAGGGTGTCAATACTAGTCAAGGTAGTAGTGGTGACTCTGAAAGCACGGTGGCTAGATGGGAATCCTTCAAGTTGTTACTAAAGTGCTGTGCACAAAAGTACACTAGAAGCATGAAAGCACGATTCAAGAACAAAGTTTTTACGCTTCAACTGGAACGTATTAGGGCTCTGTCAACGTCTGTATCAGGTGTTGAGACTAGGAATGCTATTGATCCAACTGACAGAGTGTCTACTGCTTCAGGTGATGCTGAGCAGGTCAGGCAACTGGAAGTTTTGATTGAGAATCAGATACAGAAAGAGACTAGTCAGAATATGCTTCGCTCTGCCACTCGTTGGTTAGAACAGGGAGAACGTAGCAACAAGTATTTCTATCGTTCGATCAAGGTGCGAGAGTCTCAACAGACAATTCAATCCTTAAAGTGCTCTACTACTGGGGATATCTTGGTGGAAGCAGCAGCTATCAACCACTACCGCGAAAAACTTAGCGGAAATGCTCTAAAATAGGTGTTTTTGTTGGTGCTTTTTTACAGCCAAAGTATTTGGAAAAGTTGGTGCTTTCGGTACAGGCTTCAAAATTAAAACACTCTAAATTTGGCGTCAATGCGCTAAGTGGTACAAATTGAAAATATTCCATCAACATTGCAGCACAAAGGTAAACCTTATTGAAAATAGAAACTGTTGTATAGCCGATGATATTTACTGCATTACACAACAGTTGAATCCTATACCGTGCAACGTTGTTCAGTTAAAAGACCAATAGTTGCTCATGGGGATTATGACATTGGAATGATATGGTTGGTGGATCTTTATTAATAGAATGCGCTATATATTACTCTTGGGGCAATTGTTGGGGCAGCAATCGTGCGATTATTGGATAGAATGATATGGAAAGCAGGATTATTGATGGATAAAATTTTCTTTTATTGATGGAAATACAGCAGAATATAGAATCATTGCTTTCAAATACATGCAGCGTGCTATACACATGGTAATGGGACGTTGCTCCGTTGGGTAGGCAATTCTTTTGACTCGTTATACAGCAGTTAGCTAGCTACCCTGTCATTCAAGAGCCTCCTGATTGTATTAAAGATAAAGCGGCAGTAGCTATACATGTTTACCCATTACGAAGAGTTCCATACAAGAGTAACAGAGATGAGGATTGACATGGAGATAAGCAGCCAGATTAGAGTTGATTGGCACCCACCACACGAGTATCTAAATGCAAAACTAATGTTAGTCATAGAGTTCAATCCTGAAAAATATTTAACAGCATACCACATTTGCCACGTACCATCATCGTAAACTTGACACACAAGCAGAACAACAACAACAGGATAGGAGGCGGTCATGAGAAACTATAAGAGATGATAGGAAATGTGAGCAACGATGGTACGGCACGATGTAAGATGCACAGAGTGATTGACAACTTACAAATATACTTTAGTATATGCTGGTTAGCGAAGATCTTCCAGCAGCAGCACCAGGGGAGGATGTTCTATTCTATATTCAATGTTTAGTCACTGCCATACTTCTCAGATGATGCTCCTTACCTACCGTTATTCCCACAGAGATGATTAAAACGGTGTGATACTAATAGGCAACAGCCACATTCGAGGAGAACCTACTGCGTTATCATCTGGCGTATGCTGCCGATAATATGTTTTTAATAAGAAAGCCACCAACAGAAACATTTGGTCAGATAAATTACTTACTTTGTACCAGAAAATGAATTGAAATTACGGAAAGAAAAGAAAAGAAAAAGGATTTAAAATAATTCACGAAAAAAATACTCTTTTTATAGACAAAATTTAAAGTTTTATTACAGCATGTCATAACCATCAGAGTAGTAATAGTCATCAGCATCATCATTCAAAGCCCACTCCCCCCAAACATACGTTATCCAACGATCCGAAAGCTTTTGAAAGTCATCAACGTGTTCCCCCTCCATTGTAAAGCACATTGCTACTATAAGAGAAGAATAGACACACTGCATCATTGTATAACTGACTTTGCTTTTTCCTTCCAGACTGGCATCATTCAAACGCTTCGTTAGCACTCTTTCATAATCACAAGCTCGTGCGTAGTACATGAAATGCTAGCTTGGATTATTTTCAATATCAAGCGCAGGTCCAAAGCGATACTTGTAATATTCAACGAAGCGCTTTACAGTGCTACAGACAGATGTGCAATGATAATTAATACTTTATTCAAAGAACTCGCATGACGTATTATTTCTATTCTAACCTCATCAAATCTGCAGAGGAACAGGAACTCCAGCTATAGTCTAGGTAAGATTCACTAGGGTCTCTTGGAACCATTGGGGTTGCGTGTACGCTTCTTGATGCAGCTAAGCGACCAGCAGTAGAGTTGCGGAAATCTTCATTATCATCGTCATCTTCACCCTCATCTGGGCCATCATCACCACCAGGACAATTGCCAGTAGCTCCATTACCAGAAAGAGAAAAAGAAGACGAGAAACCATCAAAAGAGCTACTGTCAGAAGTACTACCAATAGCTCTTGTTGCAGAACGGCGGCGAGTCTTGTGGACAGAAGCCAACAGAGCAGTGGCACCCCAGCTGTTGGTACAACGATGCAAGATGAACCCATACTTCTGCGCATGTGCTTCAAAATACAGAGCATGCTTCAGGATTAATGCCTCATCCACACGACTCCAAGCTGGAACGACCTTGTCATCTACGGCCAAATCGTTGACATAATAGTATTCATCAAGAAGACGTTGGTGATAAACTAGACACATCTTGCGAAGGGCTTTGTATTGAGCAACGACAATCGGATGATTGAAAGCGTAGCCCCTTTCATTGACGTCCCCACTTGACTTCATACTAAAGTTAATGAGGCCAAGCAAACGAGTTCTGGCATCAGGGTAAATGGCATTTCCTTGGGAGTTAACCTTGCCAGAGTTGATCCAGTACTCCAAAATCTCAGGGACAACTGGATTTATATCGCGAGGGCCACGCAAATTAGGGTTTCCTACAGGAGCAGGAGCCAAGTTACGCGCTAAAATAAATAACAATGTCAATGTCTATTTCAATTCAATGTACATCAATGTTTACCTGTAGCAATCACTCTTCCGACATCAGTTTTATTGCCAAAAACACCATCATTCGTGGGTTGAACGGGAGGAAAGGTAGGAGACAACTGCTTGATGAGTTCCAATAAAAGATCACGATTAAGCTTAGACTCTTCCTTGAGTTCACCAACAAAAGCCTTGAGCTCCAGCATCTCTGTCTTGATAGCATCGAGGGGAGAAACTTGGGTGCGAATGGTTCTGTAGTTATTGTCCATTTTAGTGCAAAAATATTAAATTTAACTTATAAATAATAGTTGATACTTTCCTGAAAACCAAGACACATGTTGCCCTTTTATACGTTCCACCCTGCTCTTGAATTCTATCTTTGCCATTCCAAGTGTCTTAATGACTCACTACTTGTCTTTATTACTTGGACTTGATAGAGTCTTCATGAGTCATTAAGTCAGTTCAAATTGAGCACCCTCTGTAATAACGCGACTGTAAGTTCGTGTAATGTCAACTGTCAATCATCTTTAAACTCACAGTAGCAAAACATCCAAACATTGAGACACAACCGACACCTTTGTGCAACTTGAAGAGTCAAAAATCACTATTAGTCATAGGTGCTACTATGTACCACAGAGACGATCAAACTACTATTTAAGCTTCACTACACATCACTTTGGTCTTGTTGTCATTCATTTATACATCACCTTATCCTCTCAAAATGCCTGCACGACGAGTTTCAGGAAACTGCGAAAAGTGCCACATGCCTTACAATTCTGCTAGAGCATTGAGGACCCACTATGCAAACTCGACTTTTTGCGAGCCCAAGAAAGCAAGAACAGAAGACACTCCCTTATCGAATAGTCAAGAACGATCCCAGGCAAGCATGCATTCACAAGACGATACTCCAACGGCTACCGCAAGTAATCAAGGAAATCAGTCATTACAGCAGCATGCTGCAGAGCAAAGAATAGAACGTGAGTTGTGTGAACTATAAGCAATGCATGACGTACCGTTCTAACTCCCATCTAAGTGCCATCAATTGAGTCCTTTTCATACTACAGTAGCTTCACTCTTGAACAAAAGGAAGGCCTTCGACATGTATATGATCTTGACACCCTCTCTTACGCCACTGATTTTAATGAAAGTGAATTGCTTTCATTGAAGCTCCGTGACATATTCGACAAGTATCCAGCATCGAGAGAAATGAGTCGTGAAAGTATATACTTTACAAATACAATCATTAAGAATATAGCAGAGGCAGGAGGTGGCACTGAAAGAGGTAAGCATATGAATACCACTATGCATTGTATCTTCAAACGCACTCACCATATTGACATCTCCCTTTAATGCACAAAGGCATTGTGTTTCCAAAGCTGATTCAGTTCGATACTCTAGAGGCGCGCATGAGAAAGAAGACTGGCGTACAAGCATTCATCTACAAGGTCTGTCCTCAAGGCTGCAAAGTTTATCCCAAGAACGATACATCAGTCCAAGGAGTGTGCAATCACTGTGGAACTCCCAAAAGCGAAGCACAAAATATGAAGGTCTTGAGCATCGGTGATCAGCTAGCAAGAGTCTTGAGTGACAAGTCCAAACGAGATGAGCTCATGTCGTATCGACGTAACTACCAACATGATCCACATTTTTACCGAGACTACTTTGACGGTCAAGAGTACATTAACTTTCAACAAAGACGGAAAAGACATGGCACCAACGTAGATGAGGAACCTATTCTGCTTGCCTTGTATGTCGACGGCTTCAAACCCCAAAGCAACTCTTTTGCTGGCGATACCTTAACGCTATTCCACGTTGTAATTTTGTCAGCCCCTCCACACCTCAGGTGAGTTATCTCTATTTGTATGGGTATAATATCCAATTAGTACCGGATTCTAACCACCAACGATATTGCATTTATGTCTACCAACCCACAGATACTTGGATGACTGGACCGTTCAGACAATGATTGCACCCGGCAAGAAGGCTCCAGTGGATCTTGAAAGCTACTTGGCTATTTTTGTGGACGAAATTCGTGATCTTAGTGAACATGGCATGCTGGTTCGAGTGAATGGTGGTGAAGTTGCCCGAGTAAGCGTTCATTTGGCAATGGCGACAGGCGATCTTGTAGAAGTATCACATTTGATGTTGCATGGAGGAGTCTCCAGTCAGTTTGGCTGTATGAAGTGCCTCATAGACACACAAGGAGGCCAATGCTTTACTCGCACAATCAGAAATTTCCAATACAGAACTCTCGAACAACTGAAAGCACCACTGCCTGTTGGCGTAAAACATGTGTTTGTAAGTGAAGCGATTTCATTAAACAATCATGTATAGTTCTTGTACCAACCATCATCTCTTCTATAGAACATCAAAGGACCATCCATATTTACCACTCTCAAGTCTTTTCCTGCCAACCCATCGTTCTACGGTCTCGACACACTTCACCTACTGAGCATTGGATTAGCTAAGCATTTGTACGAGCTCTTGTCTTCTCCATTGCATCCATCCAAGTTTGATAACCGATACAAGCCCTCTATCGAAGAACTGAAAGAAGCAAAGCTTGATAAAGCAAGTGCCTGGCCTTACACCTTTGATTTAGATCCCAAAGTTCTGGCAAAGATCGGTCAGTATGTGGCTCAGTCAAAGAAGACCATTCCAACTACCTTCAATGCACCATTCAACGACATTTTTGCACCAGGAGGAGTTACCAACTACCGAGCAGTTGACTATGAAGAGTTCATGATTTTCATTGTTCCAGCCCTGATAGCACCACACTATCCTGACTCAATCAGAAAACCTCTTCTGGGTATCGTTAAAGTGGCAGCTTTGGTATTGCAGAAGAATGAATTGCATGCTTCAGACTTACAATTCATAGAAGCGTAAGTATTGGCATCTTGAATAACAAAACCCGTTTTATCCACAGACTAAAAACTTACTTCTTTCTATCTCTGCACAGTAAGGTTAACGATTGGCACAAACTGCTGATCACTGAAATCAAAACCAAACGCCTTCCTATCAAGACCTTTCGACCAAACGCCCATTATTTAGGACACTTGACTTACATGATCAAAGCGCAAGGTTTACCGGCTTCGACTTCCAGTCGATCTATCGAAAGATCCATCGGCAGGTACAAACGCTTGATAAGTGCTCGCACAAATGTTGGTATAAATGCCGGAAACATCATTGATCGTTTGGCAATTATGCGAGCCATCAAGGCATCTACAACTGGTGATGGTACAGGCGATGGTGAAGACAAACTGAATGATCTGGATGCTCGAATCAATCTCTTAGTGCCTCGACGATACGATCCAACTACCTTCGTAAATCTAAAGAATGACAATGGCAACGGAAGTCAGCTCTGGTATCCAGTCATCCACACAACGGTTTCAAGTATCCCAACCTCCATCAACGTCAACACACCTCTTTTTGTCAAGGCTATACAGTCCTACTACGACCGGCAATACTCAACTAATGTTCTGCAGAATGTCCATATCAATGATCAACTGGATATTGTCGTCTCTGGAAGTGCCTGGGCTTACAACTGCACTTATCGTTCAGAATACTATCGCGATCTCACCGGTGCTAATTCTAGAGGAAGCCACTACATCATGGTATGGGCAGAACACTTGAGGTATGCCAATTCACAGGTTCATTATTGCCTTTATCGTTACTCATCAAAACCCACATTGACGTCTGAATTTCCTACAGTAACTCTCGTCGCAAGGTCAAAGCTTTCTATGTAGGGGCTGTTATTTTCATGTTCAAGCTCGAAATTGAGGGGATTGGCGATGAGTTGTTCTTGCTTATTCGATTAGGAAAGACTCATGCTGTTGACGACAAAGACAAGACGATGCCCATAGTGGAGCTGGATGATGACCAGGATTCATCCGCATATCTGGTGTGCACATTTGAGCAGGTCATTTGCCAAGTTGGTCTGATGCGTTTTAGCGAGAATGACAAGAGATATAAAGTGATAACGAAGGAAAAGGTTTTCCGGGCCTCGATAGAGACTTATAAACCTGGAAAAAACTCATTTGTGCTACCTCAATAATAAAGATAAATATAGATTTTATCATCGTATTATTACCCCCAACAAGTTAACAGACATTCAGCTTCATGATGTCGTTCTCCTCTTCTTCGCTTCTTCCCTTTTAGCTTCTGACATCAAAGACATCCCATTCATCTCACTACACAACGCTCAGTTCCTTTAGTATGTGCCGAAAAGCACCATTAATTGCGGAGTAGGTGCCCCAACCTTAACTTGAGTAAAACACTAGTGCGAATAGCACTGTTACCAGACAATGGCATCTTAAAATTGTATGAAATTCCTATTTTTCCTTCATTCAATTGCCAATGCTTTTATGTCTCACCCTTGCTATTAAAACCTAAGCGTGTATACAAAACAGATTCCGACAAATGTCTTCTTTTTTGCCGTCTCCCTCACCTTCCATTCTTTATTGAATTCTTCCTTCTGTTTTCCCCTCGTCCTACTATTACTTAAGGCTTTGAACACTGATTTTTTGCAAATATCAACGAAACACAAGGGCCACGATGGTTGAAATTCCGCCCACAACAATCTTTTTGCTCTTGTAAACCGGAAAGGTTCTATTGAGCTGTTTCTCCCGTATCTCTAAGATGATTTTTACCACTTTTAGCATCAAATAGGTGTTTCCTACTGCTTTTAGCGCTGAATACGCTGCTAGCTCCTACTTTGAAGCGGTACTTTAAATACAAAAGACTTTCAAGATCCAACGCAAATATGATTCTGATAAATTTCAGTTTTCCCCTTTCCTTCATGGTTTATACGGTATTCTTCAATGAATGTTTACTTGATCTCTCTTAGTTTTGATAGAATAGTGATAGATCTGCCGTTCAATTGTACACATAGGAAGGTATTACGAAAAAACCGAGAAAAACTTTAGATATTGATATTGTGCTTAATTTCCTGCCTAAACATGCAGAACAAAAAAGCTATATAAGAACTAGACACCTTGATAAACACAAAAAAAACTATCCTGAACACCGCATGTGCAACAATCAATTTTCAACTGCGAGATAAAGTGTTTAGAGGCCATTCTCTTTAGATTTGTTCCGGAAACGTATATAACAAACTAGATGTATAAGAAGAGGAAACATTGGGCAATCGTATTATTATTCTTGAGCACCCGATGACCCTTTGGGAATTCATAAATTGACATTTACTCGAAAAATATGCCTAATTTGCTTCTTTTTACATATGTTTATAGATAGATTTTGAAACCTTCGTTAGGCTATAACAAACTATACGTGCTGCAATCTTTATTTCAAAGTTTTATATACTCAAAAAAATGTGTTTTTGTGTAATATATTTTGTCCTTACTTCCTCAAATGGTTAAGCATTTGATGTACCTCCATTTTTTGTGATACCACTGATAATTCTTTATTGAAAAAAAATCCAATGCACCTTCAAAACCCCAATTTTGGTGCAAATGATCTAAGTCTTGGTGCTTTTGCTCTAAACTTGGTGTATTTGCACCAAGGTTTTCGCCGTAGTGAACAGGGAGGCACAAGGTTTTTACCAAAGGCTATATACCCCTGATGCTGTCGATGCTGAAGCTATCGATACTCTCCTGGGGAATGTTCCAACTGATGTACGTCTATCATCTTTGGATGGTGATATGCTAATGGAACTTCCAACTCGCGATGTTTTGTTGTCTCTGCTCACTCATGCTCCCAAGTCTAAAAGTCCTGGTCTTGGCGGTTTGCCTTTTGAATTGTATCAATATCTTGCTGGTGTTTCTACTGATTTTCTTGACTTGCTTGTGGATGTGTTGGGTGCAGCTTTTTCTGGTGTGTTTCCTCCTTCGTGGCAACAAACTCGCATGGTCTTATTGTTCAAGAAGGGTGACCCTCAGTTGTTGGTTAACTGGAGACCTTTGTCCTTAATTAACAGTGATGCCAAGTTATTTACAAAGCTCATTGCTAATCGTATGAACAAAGTGTTGCCAAAGTTAATCAACCCTTATCAAACTGGTTTTCTCCCTCATCGTCTGATCTCTGACAATGGCTGGTTAAATCAGTTGTTGATGTCTCACTTGCGTGTTGTTGCTCCTGATTTACCTCAAGTTGCTGTTTTGTTGGATCAAGAGAAGGCGTATGATCGGGTTCATCCTGAATATCTTTGTCGTGTGTTGCTCCGGTTTGGTTTTCCTGGTGAGTTGGTGTCTTGTCTGTCTTCTTTGTTCTTTGGAACCAAGATTTCAGTGTCTATCAATGGTTGGCTTGGTGCTCCTGTGCCTCAATTGCGAGGTCTTCGTTAAGGTGATCCTCTCTCTCCATTGTTGTTCAATCTGGCATTTGAGCCTTTGCTTCGTTCTCTTCTTGCTTGTCCTGGTCTTTCTGGTGTTACTCTGTCTCCTGTTGATATCCCACGTAAATGGAAGCCTTTACCGGTCGAAGTTCGTGTGGATCATGGTACTGGTGCCCGGAATTGGACTTTGGACTTTGCTAGTGGCTCTGTTGCTCCTCCTCCTGTCAAGATTCTGAGCTATGCGGATGATCTTGAGGTGTTTTTGTCTTCGCCAGAGGAGTGGTCTGTGCTGTTGTCTGTTCTTGATCTGTATGGCCGAGCATCTAATGCGAAAGTCAATATCAGCAAGACAGTGTTGGTGTCGTTGTCTGGTGTGTCTCACTCTGCTTGGGTTGCTTTGGCTGATTCTACTGGTCTCCAGTGGCATGACGCTCACTCTCGTGGTGCAGTACGTTACTTGGGTTATCCCTTGTATCATACTGAAAGTCAACTTCAAGACTATCTTGATGGTGTCTTGGTGAAGGTCCAGCGACACAGTAACTTGTTGAAACAAAGGAATCTCTCCATTAGGGGAGCAGGACTAGTGGCTAACTCGTTACTGTTGTCAAAGGTATATCATTTGTTGCGTGTTGTTCCTGGTGGTGCTACTACTGCGTCGTGGTTGAAGTCTCTCACTACGGTGGTCCGTGAGTATCTGATGTCCTTTCGCCCTGGTGTTGCTTGGTCTACTTTGTGTCTCCCCCGCAAGTTTGGTGGTGTTGGTCTCGTGGATATAGCAGATCAAAGCTTAGCTTTGCATCTTGTCTATTTGCAACGTTTGTTGCGTCCACCCTCTCCCAGTGATTTTGTCTCCTCTTGGTTGGTGTATGCTTTTCAAGTTTACACTGGTCATAAGTCCATCTTGCCGTGGTTTTGTTTTCCTGGTCTTTACCAGTCTCGTGTGTCTTCTGTGCCTGCTCTAACACATCTTGGAAAGCTTCTGTTGAGATTGCCAAAGCTAGTTCCTTCCTCTGGTTGGTCTGCTAGGTGGTTTCTTGATCTTCCCTTGTGTTCTGTACTCAGTACTGTGCCTTCTGTTCGTCCTCCTCGTGATCCATCATCTCTTGATCCTCGTTTTTTGGTGTCGGATGTCTCTTTCTGGCAACCTGATTTAGGTATAGTTGATGGTGTCACCTCTCATCTTGCTTGGTCATCTCGTGTTTTGCGCCCTGTTTTTCTTGCCTTGAACCGTGATCGTGGTCCTGTCTCTCTGGTATTCCCGCCTGTCATGGATAGTAAGATAGTCTTGTCCCAAGCAGACTATTTTGCTATGCCCCGTTCTGATGGTGCTACCTCTTGGATGCCAGATTGTACTCATTGGACTGTCTCCAACTCGTCTCGTTCTGCTGCTCCGGTTGCTCGTCTCTCTCTTGGTGCTTTGCGAAGGTATTGGCACCCTGCAAAGGGTACCATTACCTCTCGTATGGGTCCTCCCTTGAAGTTGCCTGCTCATTTGTTGCTGTCTCCTGCTTTGTGGCGTACTTTCTGGTCCCTGGAAATGCCTGCAAAGGCTTTCACACCTTGGTGGCGATTGCTACATGACCGTGTTCCGCACCGTTCGTGGTGCCATAAGATTATGCCTACAAAAGTTCTGTCTCCTGCTTGTGCTCTTTGCGGTTTCTCTACAGAGGACCTTTACCATTTCGTGGTGGGTTGCCATGTCAAGTCATTTTTCTGGCAGGATGTAGTCTCTTTGTTGTCACTTCAAGAGCTACTCCCCTCTGCTTCTTCTATTTGGTTGGCGCTGACTACCTTTTGTAGTGGTTCGGATTTGTTGGTGATCGATGAGGATGTTCTGATTGCTCTTGGTGCTGCTTACAGTACACTTTGGAAGTATCATTGGCGATGCGTCATAGACGAGGAGCCTTGGATAGCTTCTGCTGCTATCAACATGGTCCGTCAAGACCATGGTATACTCTTTTCTTCTCTTTCTTTGGCAAGTGTTCAAGCTGGCACCTTGGCCTTGCCTGTAAACTCTGTATAGATTATAAATTTAAAGCAAATAAAGATACACTTTAATACAAAAAAAAAATCTTTCGCGTATTCATCACTTTTTAAAAGTTTTCGATTACGCCATCTTTGAACAACGATATCTCGACAACTAGGATACATCCATCTTGCATCCAAGTATATTTAGATACATCCATTTTAGCTCTACAACATATCTTGATTTCAGATCGATTCAACCATTTTTCGTCGATTTCGTCTTTTTCACTACTTTTTCAACAACGCGACTTAGTTACACTCTAGATTACAAGTTACACTCTACGTCTGTTACACTCCATGTCTTCCCAATCTGAATTGACTTGGGCTCAAAGAGCTTCACGTCAAAAGGTGGGTCGATTTCTCCAGCCCAACAAGCGACGATTGGACAATCCAACTGATGTACCACTGGTGGGTACTGTTCTCTATGAAGATGATGACCTGAAGGGTCAAATTTTGGCAAGCAAGGCTATGGCGATTATTCAGCAATCCCTTTCTTCTGGTTCTGTTCTGTTCACGTTTCAGAAAACTTTGTTTCCTGATCGTGTTGCCGCTTACAAAGTGATTCAAGATCAAATCTCACCTGACGTGGAATTTCGACCTCTTAGTTTGTATGATTCTCGTGCTGATGGTTCTCTGCTGATTGAAGCCAGGTTTGCTCAGGTGGAGCATGCACAAGTGGCTATGCGTGAAGGGGTGACAGTACAAGGTGTAGTGTACAAAGCGTCTACCTCCAAGGAAAGTGCTGAATTTGGGGATGTCAAGCATGTGCGGTTTACACTTATGCGTATGGTGGACAAGACCACTTTTTTGTCGGATCTTATGGAGTCCTTGTCGTACTTTGGTAAGGTACTGCAAGTGAAGAAGTTTACTCACCGTGGTTACTTTGAGGGTAAACTTTCGGTGATTTTGGATACTTCTGTTGGATTTCAGGTAGGGGATGAGTGGCAGGAGGCCAAGCCCCTAGATAGAATGCTCTATCTGAGCGAATTTGACTGTTTTGTGCCAGCGACTTACCAAGGTGCTCCACCTGTTTGTCATTTCTGTCAACACAGCGGTCATGTTCGCGCCAAATGTCCTGAATTGGCTAGACGTCGTTGCTTTAGGTGCAATAAGCAAGGGCACATGTTGCGTTTTTGCCCTGAAAAGGAGGTTCAGTCTGCAAATTTCACCAAGAAGCACAAAGTTCACCATCATTCTGAGGATTCTGAGGATGTCACTCTGGCTCGTAAGAACACTGTGGAATTGATGGAGTATATTGAGAAGGAAAAATTAGGCCTAGGTAAGGAGGTGGAGAAGGTAGAAGAAGAAGAACTCGACTATCGTGTAGTCGAGGATGAATCTCTTCAGGGTGAAAGTGTTGACGAATCTGAAAATGATGAGTCCACTGGTAACGAGGATTTGGATCTTCTGAGTGAAGATAACCACCAGGTAAGTATGAATGAGGATGAGGACATGGAGGACGACAAGATTGTGCTTGCTGGAGCTCCCAAGAAGCTGGATACCGTGCGTGGTTCTGCCTACTCCAAGTATGCGTCTGCTGAGGTGGCTGTGAATATGAACATTGACTCGCCTGAGGAGATGTTGAATTTGACCAAGTTGAAGGATCTTGCTCAGCGCAAAAGAATGGAGTTCAATGCAAACCTGAAAGGTACTACTGGTGCTGGTGTAAAAGGTGATAACAAGCAGGATAACTCTGGTGGTGTTTCTTCTGGTACTGGTGCTAAGGGTAACAAGTCTGGTGTTGCTTCTGGTGTTGCTTCCGGTGGTGTTTCTGGTGGTGTTTCTGGTGGTGTTTCTGGTGTTGTCAAGAATAGCAAGACTAATGGCCGTGCGCCTCTCAAGACTAAGCAAGACGCCCGTAGGGCTCAATGAGTACAAAATTAGGCATCAAGATTGGCTCCTTGAACACGCGTAGCTTGTTCATGCAGTCTAATCCTACAAATTTCAAAGAGTTTTCATCTTATCTTCGCTCCTCCTCTCTCCATCTGGATATCCTTTGCTTGCAAGAGGTATCTCATTTCCGCTCTCAATCTACTCTCACTGAATCTCAAGTCCGTTCCTTTTCTTTTGCTTTTCCTAATTGTTCTCTCGTTGTGTCCAAGCACTGTGCTATTATATGTCTCAATTCTCGTTATTCTTTGGTGGATACGGAGGTATTGTTGGATGAACGTTGTCTTGTTGCATCTGTCGTAGATGCCTCAAGCAATGTTTTGTGCAAAGTGGCCAACATCTATGGTCCAGCGCAGTCTTTTGACCGTCCTTCATTTATCTCTGATTTTCTCTCTCTTTCTGTTTGGTCTGATGTGTTCAACACACCTTGGATGGTTATGGGTGATTTCAACATTCACTTGCATTCTTTGTCTACTTCTCGTCAAGCCGATGTCGCTCCTTTTGTTCACTGGTTGCGTACTCACTTTGTCAATTGTCATCCGGATGGTTTAGCTACGTTTCCAAAGAGCAATACTTGTATTGATTACATCTTTGGTCACTCTTCTCTTGCTCCTCGTTTGACTAATAGTCAGTTACTGTATATGCCTAGTAGGTGGACGGATCACTCTCTTGTGACTGTTGAAATGTTGCCTGCGACAGCTAGTATTGGTCCTGGTAGTTGGCGGTTCAATCCAACTCTGCTTGATGATAAGGAATTTGTTGCGTTGTTGAATGCCACGGTGTCATTGTTCTTCTCTGGTGCTGTTGGTGGTGGGTCTAAGGGTGTCAATACTAGTCAAGGTGGTAGTGGTGACTCTGAAAGCACGGTGGCTAGATGGGAATCCTTCAAGTTGTTACTAAAGTGCTGTGCACAAAAGTACACTAGAAGCATGAAAGCACGATTCAAGAACAAAGTTTTTACGCTTCAACTGGAACGTATTAGGGCTCTGTCAACGTCTGTATCAGGCGTTGAGACTAGGAATGCTATTTATCAAACTGACAGAGTGTCTACTGCTACAGGTGATGCTGAGCAGCAGGTCAGGCAACTAGAAGTTTTGATTGAGAATCAGATACAGAAAGAGACTAGTCAGAATATGCTTCGCTCTGCCACTCGTTGGTTAGAACAAGGAGAACGTAGCAACAAGTATTTCTATCGTTCGATCAAGGTGCGAGAGTCTCAACAGACAATTCAATCCTTAAAGTGCTCTACTACTGGAGATATCTTGGTGGAAGCAGCAGCTATCAACAGGGAGGCACAAGGTTTTTACCAAAGGCTATATACCCCTGATGCTGTCGATGCTGAAGCTATCGATACTCTCCTGGGGAATGTTCCAACTGATGTACGTCTATCATCTTTGGATGGTGATATGCTAATGGAACTTCCAACTCGCGATGTTTTGTTGTCTCTGCTCACTCATGCTCCCAAGTCTAAAAGTCCTGGTCTTGGCGGTTTGCCTTTTGAATTGTATCAATATCTTGCTGGTGTTTCTACTGATTTTCTTGACTTGCTTGTGGATGTGTTGGGTGCAGCTTTTTCTGGTGTGTTTCCTCCTTCGTGGCAACAAACTCGCATGGTCTTATTGTTCAAGAAGGGTGACCCTCAGTTGTTGGTTAACTGGAGACCTTTGTCCTTAATTAACAGTGATGCCAAGTTATTTACAAAGCTCATTGCTAATCGTATGAACAAAGTGTTGCCAAAGTTAATCAACCCTTATCAAACTGGTTTTCTCCCTCATCGTCTGATCTCTGACAATGGCTGGTTAAATCAGTTGTTGATGTCTCACTTGCGTGTTGTTGCTCCTGATTTACCTCAAGTTGCTGTTTTGTTGGATCAAGAGAAGGCGTATGATCGGGTTCATCCTGAATATCTTTGTCGTGTGTTGCTCCGGTTTGGTTTTCCTGGTGAGTTGGTGTCTTGTCTGTCTTCTTTGTTCTTTGGAACCAAGATTTCAGTGTCTATCAATGGTTGGCTTGGTGCTCCTGTGCCTCAATTGCGAGGTCTTCGTTAAGGTGATCCTCTCTCTCCATTGTTGTTCAATCTGGCATTTGAGCCTTTGCTTCGTTCTCTTCTTGCTTGTCCTGGTCTTTCTGGTGTTACTCTGTCTCCTGTTGATATCCCACGTAAATGGAAGCCTTTACCGGTCGAAGTTCGTGTGGATCATGGTACTGGTGCCCGGAATTGGACTTTGGACTTTGCTAGTGGCTCTGTTGCTCCTCCTCCTGTCAAGATTCTGAGCTATGCGGATGATCTTGAGGTGTTTTTGTCTTCGCCAGAGGAGTGGTCTGTGCTGTTGTCTGTTCTTGATCTGTATGGCCGAGCATCTAATGCGAAAGTCAATATCAGCAAGACAGTGTTGGTGTCGTTGTCTGGTGTGTCTCACTCTGCTTGGGTTGCTTTGGCTGATTCTACTGGTCTCCAGTGGCATGACGCTCACTCTCGTGGTGCAGTACGTTACTTGGGTTATCCCTTGTATCATACTGAAAGTCAACTTCAAGACTATCTTGATGGTGTCTTGGTGAAGGTCCAGCGACACAGTAACTTGTTGAAACAAAGGAATCTCTCCATTAGGGGAGCAGGACTAGTGGCTAACTCGTTACTGTTGTCAAAGGTATATCATTTGTTGCGTGTTGTTCCTGGTGGTGCTACTACTGCGTCGTGGTTGAAGTCTCTCACTACGGTGGTCCGTGAGTATCTGATGTCCTTTCGCCCTGGTGTTGCTTGGTCTACTTTGTGTCTCCCCCGCAAGTTTGGTGGTGTTGGTCTCGTGGATATAGCAGATCAAAGCTTAGCTTTGCATCTTGTCTATTTGCAACGTTTGTTGCGTCCACCCTCTCCCAGTGATTTTGTCTCCTCTTGGTTGGTGTATGCTTTTCAAGTTTACACTGGTCATAAGTCCATCTTGCCGTGGTTTTGTTTTCCTGGTCTTTACCAGTCTCGTGTGTCTTCTGTGCCTGCTCTAACACATCTTGGAAAGCTTCTGTTGAGATTGCCAAAGCTAGTTCCTTCCTCTGGTTGGTCTGCTAGGTGGTTTCTTGATCTTCCCTTGTGTTCTGTACTCAGTACTGTGCCTTCTGTTCGTCCTCCTCGTGATCCATCATCTCTTGATCCTCGTTTTTTGGTGTCGGATGTCTCTTTCTGGCAACCTGATTTAGGTATAGTTGATGGTGTCACCTCTCATCTTGCTTGGTCATCTCGTGTTTTGCGCCCTGTTTTTCTTGCCTTGAACCGTGATCGTGGTCCTGTCTCTCTGGTATTCCCGCCTGTCATGGATAGTAAGATAGTCTTGTCCCAAGCAGACTATTTTGCTATGCCCCGTTCTGATGGTGCTACCTCTTGGATGCCAGATTGTACTCATTGGACTGTCTCCAACTCGTCTCGTTCTGCTGCTCCGGTTGCTCGTCTCTCTCTTGGTGCTTTGCGAAGGTATTGGCACCCTGCAAAGGGTACCATTACCTCTCGTATGGGTCCTCCCTTGAAGTTGCCTGCTCATTTGTTGCTGTCTCCTGCTTTGTGGCGTACTTTCTGGTCCCTGGAAATGCCTGCAAAGGCTTTCACACCTTGGTGGCGATTGCTACATGACCGTGTTCCGCACCGTTCGTGGTGCCATAAGATTATGCCTACAAAAGTTCTGTCTCCTGCTTGTGCTCTTTGCGGTTTCTCTACAGAGGACCTTTACCATTTCGTGGTGGGTTGCCATGTCAAGTCATTTTTCTGGCAGGATGTAGTCTCTTTGTTGTCACTTCAAGAGCTACTCCCCTCTGCTTCTTCTATTTGGTTGGCGCTGACTACCTTTTGTAGTGGTTCGGATTTGTTGGTGATCGATGAGGATGTTCTGATTGCTCTTGGTGCTGCTTACAGTACACTTTGGAAGTATCATTGGCGATGCGTCATAGACGAGGAGCCTTGGATAGCTTCTGCTGCTATCAACATGGTCCGTCAAGACCATGGTATACTCTTTTCTTCTCTTTCTTTGGCAAGTGTTCAAGCTGGCACCTTGGCCTTGCCTGTAAACTCTGTATAGATTATAAATTTAAAGCAAATAAAGATACACTTTAATACAAAAAAAAAATCTTTCGCGTATTCATCACTTTTTAAAAGTTTTCGATTACGCCATCTTTGAACAACGATATCTCGACAACTAGGATACATCCATCTTGCATCCAAGTATATTTAGATACATCCATTTTAGCTCTACAACATATCTTGATTTCAGATCGATTCAACCATTTTTCGTCGATTTCGTCTTTTTCACTACTTTTTCAACAACGCGACTTAGTTACACTCTAGATTACAAGTTACACTCTACGTCTGTTACACTCCATGTCTTCCCAATCTGAATTGACTTGGGCTCAAAGAGCTTCACGTCAAAAGGTGGGTCGATTTCTCCAGCCCAACAAGCGACGATTGGACAATCCAACTGATGTACCACTGGTGGGTACTGTTCTCTATGAAGATGATGACCTGAAGGGTCAAATTTTGGCAAGCAAGGCTATGGCGATTATTCAGCAATCCCTTTCTTCTGGTTCTGTTCTGTTCACGTTTCAGAAAACTTTGTTTCCTGATCGTGTTGCCGCTTACAAAGTGATTCAAGATCAAATCTCACCTGACGTGGAATTTCGACCTCTTAGTTTGTATGATTCTCGTGCTGATGGTTCTCTGCTGATTGAAGCCAGGTTTGCTCAGGTGGAGCATGCACAAGTGGCTATGCGTGAAGGGGTGACAGTACAAGGTGTAGTGTACAAAGCGTCTACCTCCAAGGAAAGTGCTGAATTTGGGGATGTCAAGCATGTGCGGTTTACACTTATGCGTATGGTGGACAAGACCACTTTTTTGTCGGATCTTATGGAGTCCTTGTCGTACTTTGGTAAGGTACTGCAAGTGAAGAAGTTTACTCACCGTGGTTACTTTGAGGGTAAACTTTCGGTGATTTTGGATACTTCTGTTGGATTTCAGGTAGGGGATGAGTGGCAGGAGGCCAAGCCCCTAGATAGAATGCTCTATCTGAGCGAATTTGACTGTTTTGTGCCAGCGACTTACCAAGGTGCTCCACCTGTTTGTCATTTCTGTCAACACAGCGGTCATGTTCGCGCCAAATGTCCTGAATTGGCTAGACGTCGTTGCTTTAGGTGCAATAAGCAAGGGCACATGTTGCGTTTTTGCCCTGAAAAGGAGGTTCAGTCTGCAAATTTCACCAAGAAGCACAAAGTTCACCATCATTCTGAGGATTCTGAGGATGTCACTCTGGCTCGTAAGAACACTGTGGAATTGATGGAGTATATTGAGAAGGAAAAATTAGGCCTAGGTAAGGAGGTGGAGAAGGTAGAAGAAGAAGAACTCGACTATCGTGTAGTCGAGGATGAATCTCTTCAGGGTGAAAGTGTTGACGAATCTGAAAATGATGAGTCCACTGGTAACGAGGATTTGGATCTTCTGAGTGAAGATAACCACCAGGTAAGTATGAATGAGGATGAGGACATGGAGGACGACAAGATTGTGCTTGCTGGAGCTCCCAAGAAGCTGGATACCGTGCGTGGTTCTGCCTACTCCAAGTATGCGTCTGCTGAGGTGGCTGTGAATATGAACATTGACTCGCCTGAGGAGATGTTGAATTTGACCAAGTTGAAGGATCTTGCTCAGCGCAAAAGAATGGAGTTCAATGCAAACCTGAAAGGTACTACTGGTGCTGGTGTAAAAGGTGATAACAAGCAGGATAACTCTGGTGGTGTTTCTTCTGGTACTGGTGCTAAGGGTAACAAGTCTGGTGTTGCTTCTGGTGTTGCTTCCGGTGGTGTTTCTGGTGGTGTTTCTGGTGGTGTTTCTGGTGTTGTCAAGAATAGCAAGACTAATGGCCGTGCGCCTCTCAAGACTAAGCAAGACGCCCGTAGGGCTCAATGAGTACAAAATTAGGCATCAAGATTGGCTCCTTGAACACGCGTAGCTTGTTCATGCAGTCTAATCCTACAAATTTCAAAGAGTTTTCATCTTATCTTCGCTCCTCCTCTCTCCATCTGGATATCCTTTGCTTGCAAGAGGTATCTCATTTCCGCTCTCAATCTACTCTCACTGAATCTCAAGTCCGTTCCTTTTCTTTTGCTTTTCCTAATTGTTCTCTCGTTGTGTCCAAGCACTGTGCTATTATATGTCTCAATTCTCGTTATTCTTTGGTGGATACGGAGGTATTGTTGGATGAACGTTGTCTTGTTGCATCTGTCGTAGATGCCTCAAGCAATGTTTTGTGCAAAGTGGCCAACATCTATGGTCCAGCGCAGTCTTTTGACCGTCCTTCATTTATCTCTGATTTTCTCTCTCTTTCTGTTTGGTCTGATGTGTTCAACACACCTTGGATGGTTATGGGTGATTTCAACATTCACTTGCATTCTTTGTCTACTTCTCGTCAAGCCGATGTCGCTCCTTTTGTTCACTGGTTGCGTACTCACTTTGTCAATTGTCATCCGGATGGTTTAGCTACGTTTCCAAAGAGCAATACTTGTATTGATTACATCTTTGGTCACTCTTCTCTTGCTCCTCGTTTGACTAATAGTCAGTTACTGTATATGCCTAGTAGGTGGACGGATCACTCTCTTGTGACTGTTGAAATGTTGCCTGCGACAGCTAGTATTGGTCCTGGTAGTTGGCGGTTCAATCCAACTCTGCTTGATGATAAGGAATTTGTTGCGTTGTTGAATGCCACGGTGTCATTGTTCTTCTCTGGTGCTGTTGGTGGTGGGTCTAAGGGTGTCAATACTAGTCAAGGTGGTAGTGGTGACTCTGAAAGCACGGTGGCTAGATGGGAATCCTTCAAGTTGTTACTAAAGTGCTGTGCACAAAAGTACACTAGAAGCATGAAAGCACGATTCAAGAACAAAGTTTTTACGCTTCAACTGGAACGTATTAGGGCTCTGTCAACGTCTGTATCAGGCGTTGAGACTAGGAATGCTATTTATCAAACTGACAGAGTGTCTACTGCTACAGGTGATGCTGAGCAGCAGGTCAGGCAACTAGAAGTTTTGATTGAGAATCAGATACAGAAAGAGACTAGTCAGAATATGCTTCGCTCTGCCACTCGTTGGTTAGAACAAGGAGAACGTAGCAACAAGTATTTCTATCGTTCGATCAAGGTGCGAGAGTCTCAACAGACAATTCAATCCTTAAAGTGCTCTACTACTGGAGATATCTTGGTGGAAGCAGCAGCTATCAACAGGGAGGCACAAGGTTTTTACCAAAGGCTATATACCCCTGATGCTGTCGATGCTGAAGCTATCGATACTCTCCTGGGGAATGTTCCAACTGATGTACGTCTATCATCTTTGGATGGTGATATGCTAATGGAACTTCCAACTCGCGATGTTTTGTTGTCTCTGCTCACTCATGCTCCCAAGTCTAAAAGTCCTGGTCTTGGCGGTTTGCCTTTTGAATTGTATCAATATCTTGCTGGTGTTTCTACTGATTTTCTTGACTTGCTTGTGGATGTGTTGGGTGCAGCTTTTTCTGGTGTGTTTCCTCCTTCGTGGCAACAAACTCGTATGGTGCTTTTGTTCAAGAAGGGTGACCCTCAGTTGTTGGTTAACTGGAGACCTTTGTCCTTAATTAACAGTGATGCCAAATTATTTACAAAGCTCATTGCTAATCGTATGAACAAAGTGTTGCCAAAGTTAATCTACCCTTATCAAACTGGTTTTCCCCCTCATCGTCTGATCTCTGACAATGGCTGGTTAAATCAGTTGTTGATGTCTCACTTGCGTGTTGTTGCTCCTGATTTACCTCAAGTTGCTGTTTTGTTGGATCAAGAGAAGGCGTATGATCGGGTTCATCCTGAATATCTTTGTCGTGTGTTGCTCCGGTTTGGTTTTCCTGGTGAGTTGGTGTCTTGTCTGTCTTCTTTGTTCTTTGGAACCAAGATTTCAATGTCTATCAATGGTTGGCTTGGTGCTCCTGTACCTCAATTGCGAGGTCTTCGTCAAGGTGATCCTCTCTCTCCATTGCTATTCAATCTGGCATTTGAGCCTTTGCTTCGTTCTCTTCTTGCTTGTCCTGGTCTCTCTGGTGTTACTCTGTCTCCTGTTGATATCCCACGTAAATGGAAGCCCTCACCGGTTGAAGTTCGTGTGGATCATGGTACTGGTGCCCGGAATTGGACTTTGGACTTTGTCAGTGGCTCTGTTGCTCCTTCTCCTGTCAAGATTCTGAGCTATGCGGATGATCTTGAGGTGTTTTTGTCTTCGCCAGAAGAGTGGTCTGTGTTGTTGTCTGTTCTTGATCTGTATGGCCGAGCATCTAACGCGAAAGTCAATATCAGCAAGACAGTGTTGGTGTCGTTGTCTGGTGTGTCACACTCTGCTTGGGTTGCTTTGGCTGATTCTACTGATCTCCAGTGGCATGACGCTCACTCTCGTGGTGCAGTACGTTACTTGGGTTATCCCTTGTATCATACTGAAAGTCAACTTCAAGACTATCTTGATGGTGTCTTGGTGAAGGTCCAGCGACACAGTAACTTGTTGAAACAAAGGAATCTCTCCATTAGGGGAGCAGGACTAGTGGCTAACTCGTTACTGTTGTCAAAGGTATATCATTTGTTGCGTGTTGTTCCTGGTGGTGCTACTACTGCGTCGTGGTTGAAGTCGCTCACAAAGGTGGTTCGTGAGTATCTGGTGTCTTTTCGCCCTGGTGTTGCCTGGTCTACTTTGTGTCTTCCTCGCAAATTTGGTGGTGTTGGTCTCGTGGATATAGCAGATCAAAGCTTAGCTTTGCATCTTGTCTATTTGCAACGTTTGTTGCGTCCACCCTCTCCCAGTGATTTTGTCTCCTCTTGGTTGGTGTATGCTTTTCAAGTTTACACTGGTCATAAGTCCATCTTGCCGTGGTTTTGTTTTCCTGGTCTTTACCAGTCTCGTGTGTCTTCTGTGCCTGTTCTAAAACATCTCGGAAAGCTTCTGTTGAGATTGCCAAAGCTACTGTAGGGGGAAAAACTGTCCCGTTCGTTCAAATAATCTTGACTTTTACCCAGTATATTGCCACAACTCAGAAAACAAAGCTACCCCGTACTGCGTTCGATAGAACAGCTTATAGGAATTACAGCAACATAAGAACCTTATGGCTGGACTATATTTTAATCCCAGTATAACCAGCTAAAGTGAGACGTGGCAAAAATGTTAGGTGGGTAATTCTAGATGATATAAAATGGTTGATATCTTTACTTCCAATAGACGTATTGAAGAAATCTAAAAAACTACCCGCGGTATGCTCAGGATATTTAATATCCCAGGAGCACTCTAAAAGTGTAAAAGAAGCTAGTTTTTTCATATTTTTTCATTATTTCTTTGCTTTCTTATTTTTTTTCAAAACTTTCATTATGCCTGCTCGTTTAACACAAGATTTACGCAACATTCTCCAATCTTTGCTCCAACGTGGTCGTTCGTTCTCAAAGATAAAAAAATTGTATCCAGGAGTGGGTAACTCTACTCTTACAAGGCTCAGAAAGCTATATTGCCCTGACCCAGCTGGACCACTTGGCGGAAGACCGAAAAAACTTGGTGCTAAAACTATGTCCCTAGTGTCAAGAGGACTTCGATCAGGTGCTTTAGATAATCCCCGAGCAGCACAAGAAAGTTTGATTGATGAGTCAAGATATGTCAACTGGTGGTATCCGCAAGTCATTGAAAAGAAATGGTCGTAAATCTCGAATAAAAGCAAAGATAAATTTTGTTAGCAAGACAAACAAGCGGCTTCGATTGGCGTGAGCTAAAAAGCATAGGCATCTTACTATTGCTGATTGGCGTCGTTGGGTGTTTTCGGATGAAACAAGAATAAACCTTTGGGGCTCAGATGGTAATTCTTTTTACTGGACGAATGGTGGCTGAATCATGCAGTCGTATCAAGTCAAGTTTCAGTTGCAGGGAAATGACGGTGGGGTCATGTTCTGGAGTTGTATAACAGCGGAGGGGCCTGGTTATGGTACTACCACTATTGAAGGCTCAGTAAACTCGGACTTGTATGTCGATATTTTGAAGACATCGTTGGTCGACACTCTTGAGCACTTTGGGAAGACACTATCTGATGTGCGATTTCAACAAGACAGAGCAACACCGCATACATCGGGCATTACTAAACAATGGTTCACCGACAATGGGTTTAACCTACTAGACGAAATCATGGATTGGCCACCCCAAAGTCCCGATCTTAATCCCATTGAACATGTCTGGCATCTCCTAAAGCTTCGTCTTAATAAGTATCCCACTAGGCCCTCTACAAAAGAAGAATTAGAGCGGCGTATTAACATTCAGTGGTACAAAATAACAGAAAAAGTGTGCCAGAAATATATTGATAGTATGCCTGCCCGAATCAAGGCTGTCATCAAGAGCAAAGGTGGTTCAACTCACTATTAATGATTTTATAATAAAATGTACATTTTTCTATATTTATTTTTAACCAATAAAATCATTGGATTTTAGTTTTTGAGAAAGTTATAATTATGTATAGATAGCACTAGTTTCTCTCATTCAAACGATATATATTTCGACTTTGTATACTAAGAAATGACCAAAAACTTGTGCAAAATGACAAAATTTTAAACGAACGGGACAGTTTTTCCCCCTACAGTAGATTCAATCTCCCTAATGTCAAGACGCCGAGATTCACATACGCTACATAAAACATATTAACTTAGGTGGCCATTCAACAAGCCATACCAACAATCCATAAGGTCCCAGTGACCTGCTTTTTATATACCATCTCAACATAGTAGTCATAGACCAGGGATCTATCATATTTAAGTTATTTAGATGCCCTGGAATAAAGAAGCTCTTCGCTTTCGTTTTAGACAACTGATTATTATCATCGACTTATTATTACGAATTCATCATTAAACAAAAAAAAGTAAAGATATACCCTTATCTGGCACATCATGTGAATGAATCACTGTTGGTCACAACAATGTATTGAATCACACCCATGATGGTTGTAATAAGTGATGTTATCTTTATCCAAATAAAATCAAATCAATAACAAACATACTCAAAGATGACAACTATACCCTAGTGCCATAGTTGCACAATATCCCAAATAAAGGGCTGTATAATTCAATAAAAAACATTATACCTTAAACTGTCAAGGTTACATTATATTATGCTATAACGATAGCTCATCCAAGCCCATCAAGGTTATCCAAATCGATCCTTATGGCCAGTGCTCTTGCATTAATTACCACTTTAAATCAAACATCAACAACATTTGCCAGATATCGCAATAGCAGAACCTATTGGTCTCTATCATCACTAATCCTACAAGCTCGTTACAAATGTATAAATACTCTTCTTTATTTTTATTCAATTCCAGGATGGACAGTTCATTTTATACACAAATAAAATACAGTTGATTTCTATTGCATTTTACTATTGCTTTATTTTTTTTGTGAAATTTACTAAACCTGATTTCGCTGAAAGTGTCAGTGGTACATTGAACCCATTGAATTGAACACAAAGTACATTAGCGAACACAGTATAAATTCTGTTAAGCCATATATTCAACAGACAATAGTCCTTTTTTCTGGAGTTAACTTTTCTGTTCTTTGATTTGGTTGAATAGTAATGTTCTAATAGCAGCTACATAACGTCTGAATAATATAAGCGTACTCTTCTCTATAATACAGGTAATTCTACTTCCCGTACATACCCCCCGCACAACAGTTTAAAATTATCGGCAGATGATAGGCAGGTTCCAAAAGAAAATTTGCGAATTCTGTGTTCAGTCCACATTTTTGACCTCAACAACCACATGACAGATTTTTAATTTTTAATGTTTTACTAGGCATATAACTAGTGCAACATTTAGCAACTTAAACCTATTATGTCAAAATACAATGTAAAATTGAATCTGCCAAAGAATTACACTTTTATTGAGAATGCATCCCAAGGATGCATTTATATACTTTTCATTATGCTAGGGTATATAGCATGATGATGGACTCAAATAGATTTACTATCTACCCAACAGTTGATTTGTAAATCATGATTAGCATGATTTACCCAAAGGACCCAAGAAAAGCCTAAAACCTTTAGTGTGAGACCTTGCTATGACATTTGATATAACGAAACCATCCGATGCGCCTACTTGAGGACTACTACATTCATTGGAGGCATGTTGCCAGTTTACTTGGTAGTTCTTGAGATAATGAGGAAAAAGTAGACTTGCAAAAGCCTCAAACCTTCATTTTCAGATTCAAGTCCAGATGTATTTTATTGTCCGATTAAAAGGGTTCCAGCTGGGCCCTGTTAGCTTTCAAGCTCGATTTGACTTCTTCTTTATCATAAAATTAAAAAGTAAAGAGTGTTTCTAAACTGAGATATTAAAGGGCACCTGGCAGTTTTTGAATATCTGGAAAAGGATTATTTTTGAGGGAAATACGCCATTTCTCAGGTCCACCCTCGTTTTGTGACCAACCTGATTTTGAGCTTTTTTCTAGTGACAGAAGTAATAAATCCTACAATAAGCTATATCGTTGGGCGGGCCCAGTTATGGACTGCAATGCTCATTTCAATAGGCAGAAATGGTATCTGGAAGCTCTTAAATACGGAAGAAACGGTGCACTTTTGGATCAGAAAAATTTGTCGCAAATCCACCTTCTTTCGTTAGATAAAAACGTTTTACTTTTAATCTATAAGTTTACGAGATCTGAAAAGTCAGTCTTCGTATATTATCTGAGCATCGTTAGTGCATTAAAAAGGGCTGGAAAAAAACAGATAGAGTATTGTTGATATCTTTCTTTGTTCGAAATTATAGGATAATGTGCAATAAAATATATATATTCTACGTCTCTATATTATTTGGTTTATTTCTCGTATTTGGCAGCAGCTTAGTAGCTGCCAGTGATTCCATTATTCCATTATTATTTTGTATATTATTGTTGGGTTATTTAATTGTTGATCTGATAGATCAAGAACGGTTTTCCAATATATGGTTTGTGGATCATGCGTAAAGAACAGTTTTTTATTGTTGAGCATGTATTTTTTTTTTTTTTTTTTTTTTTTTTTTTTTTTTTTTGGTTTATTTATGTTACAACACATTACAATAATACCCTTGAAATTTACTTTAGTATCTGTCATCCCTATTTTTAGAGTGTTTTACTCTTGCTATTATTATGATAATATTATTATTATGTATGCTTATCTATTGATGGTAGCATAGCTTGATTTAGATGACATTTGTTTTGAGTATTTTTATGATGGGAATCTAGTCTATTTCGCTTTAGTTAGGTTTACAGTTTAAGAAACACCGTTCATTTTTTGACGCTCTCACTTTAACTATCATGAAATGTATAATGTATAAAGATTTTACCGCCTCAATTATGTAGATGAGCACTGTGAGTGCGTCACTAAAACTCAAGTCGAAATTAGACATCACTCATTTGAAGTATTCATGCTATTTGATCCTGGTAATGGGAACGCAATACAGATCAATACTGTTGCAGTAAATAGTCATCTCTATCATGCGCACCGTGTGAACTGACTACTCTTGATTAAGAATTATTCCACCACAAAGGCCACAGACAATGTCTTTTTCTTTACATAAACAGCTCTAACGGAAGACTAACTTGATCATCTTTGTCCAGAGGTTACAGACACACTCCATTACAGAAAAAAAAAGACAACACCATTAGAAGGGTAAACATCACCCTTTGAAAACATCAGAGATAGATGAATTATAATATGGGAACATCACATCCATATCCAGCACAGTTTGTACCCAAATCAATTTCAACAGCATCAACTGCCTCTGTACATCAAATATTAGCCAGAAATCGCTTCAGCTCTACTTAATACGCTTTATCAATAAGAAATGCGGTTCTTTGTCCCTGACCATGATCCAAAGAAATGCCGTATATCGATTCATCAACAATTGTATTCCCCGTCAGTCCCTATTGAATCTGAGGTTTCCCACTGTTTACTTGTTTCCCTTGTGCTTTGTCTGTTCCTCAGTTGAAGATTCCACTGACCACTTCCTTTTTGAATGTCCACCCAAGCCAGCGGTCTGGCAGGGTATTATCTCTGAGTTCCTCTGGCCCACGGTAACCATTGAAGATATCCGCCATTCCCTCCTCACTCTCGACTTTTACAATATTCGATATAGTCAGCGGCCTCGTGCTTCCTCCCATCAGATAGTGATCATTGCTATGTCTAACATTTGGAAGGCTCATTATCGTCTTATCCTCGATCAAACTTCCTTCGCTCCCGCTGTTGTGCTGAATAGTATCCGACTCGACATCCAAAAAATGATCGACAAAGATCTCATTCATGCCAGCCTATAATAGTCCCTCTTTTAAATCGTTCTCATACTTTGTCTAAATATATATAACATTATCACAGAAAATTGCGCCCGCTGCTTGATTATAGTCCTGCTACTATTGTCTACGCGGAGCAAGTAATAAAAACCTTTTAAAAATAAGAAATGCAGCCTCAGTTATTTGAATACTCATTTTTTTTACTCTAATATAGAAACACTCAGTTTCTAATGTAATGTAGTGAAGTCTGCATAATTCAAACGTTATTGTTTTACTACTTTGTGGAATCCATCAAACCAGATTTTACTGTTTTAGAGGCACAAGTCTACTACCGTTACAAGGCCGCCTAAGTCAACGCTTTCAGCCAATAGCACGTTACCAAGATCCATGATTCAACAAATTCTTTATCAGAATTGAGATGATAGCAACGCATTTGCAGTGCTGGATGTCTGTCTGACCCGCTTGCTTATATTACAACCTTAGCTGTATTCTTTCCAAGCGTTAACTTTGTACTTGGCCAACACATTTCTTATTTGGCACTACGGATTCAAGTATTATTGTTCTTTGCATTCTAGAAACGCTCAAGTCGCTGACATCACAAATTCATCAAATTCGAAACAAGCAAGAATGGTCAGCCCTAGGGAATGACCTGGTTGACGGCAAGGCCATAATGTGGCTTCAACAATTACGTACGAAGGTTACAAAGAAGAAGAGAAACACAAAGGCAATGCCAATGCTTATTTTGCACAACTGTTGTAGCCCAAAAACTGTCTCTTGGTCTGATCCATGAATTGGCTTGCCGAATTTCAGTTAAACCTGTAGCATTATGCCTGTCATGAGTATGACACAATGTAAAGTATGTTAAACGCGTACATTTTAAGAGTTAACAGTATACACATTGAACACGAAGCGTCTATTGCTCATTCTAGATGCTACGTCAGGCTTCTTCAATTAAACCGAAAATACCCCGAGAAAGAATAAGATCCGAATTTGAACAGTTTTCGGCATTAACTTACATATAGTGCCACGAAAAACTGTCAGTTTCACACGAGGTTTTTGTTGGCTTGTGTGAATTGATCACTGCATTTTTTAATTTCATAACCCTTTCTTTCCTTCTTTTTATTCTTTTTCTTTGTCATCATAGAAAAGTCGATCCAGATTCAAGAGAGAGTTGAAAAGGAAGAATTGCTCTTTCCTTCCTCTTTTTTCTAATACAACAACAGCAACAAAACAACAAACAAGATTGATTTTCTATTCGTGAAAATTAACACTATTCAGCAAAAACGTCGAGTTCAATTATTCAGTATCCTTCTTCAAAGAAAGAATTGCTGACTGACCCTGTTGTTTCTCGTAAACAATCTGGTCGTCTAAAACGGCAAAGAAAATTTATGGGTGTTCAGGTGAATTCACAATTCAAACTTTACTTTTTATGCTGGTGAGTAGCATACACAGACTTGAGTTCATCGCTTTCTCGCTCTCCTAACCTCATTTCGTTCTAGTTTTGTATCGCTCGGTGGCTTCATGGTAAAACAATAGTTTGATGCTTTTTTGCCCGTTTCTTACTAAACTATTGATGTCATTTTTGGGTGGATATTTATAGTATGGGTAAATATCGTAGCCAGCATACATCTGATAATCCCCATTTTGAATATTAACATGGTAATAGCTATGACAGTGGGGTAGTGACCTCAATCTTGGTTATGCCATCGTTTCTTGAAAAGTTCCATTTGGATACGAATTCTGGAGCTGGGTACGCCATTGTCCCAGTGTCATTAGGGGCCTCTTTTATCGCTTCGTTTGCATCAGGGTTTGTTGCCGATAGACTGGGGAGAAAAAAGTTTCTCTATGTAGCTTCCATTACCCATGAAATTGGTTGCATCATAGAGATTGCAGGTCAATCCCAGGCAACCTTTTTCACTGGCCGTATCATTACTGGGCTGGCCATTGGGTAAGTAATGCATAGTCCGTACTAGCAAAGCATTATGTTCATGCAGCATGTCGATAGTCTTTACAGCATGCTTATACCACTGTACCAAAGCGAAATTGCCAAACCATCAAACCGTGGACGACTCATCACGTTTTACCAAATTTTCGTCACACTGGGATTTTGCGTTGCATTCTGGTTGGGTTACGGGGCGTATCGCATAGAATCAGATGCTGGATGGAGGATTCCTGTTGGCTTTCAGCTGATTGCTGGATTCATTATGCTTTGTGGCCTCTACTTTATCCCAGAATCACCTCGTTGGCTCATTTACAAAGATCGCAACGCTGAAGCACTGAAGATATTAGCTCAATTACGATCCTATGGGAACGAACACGATGTGGATGTGCAGATGGAGTTCACCGGTATTGTACAGGATGTATCCTTTGATAAAATGGCATATACGCAAAGATTCATGAGCTTGCTGAGGAAGGGAAATGACAACAATCGCAAAAGAACATTGCTAGGGATTGGCGTCCATGTATTTACACAATTATCGGGCATCAATGCCTTGTTGTAAGTACTTTGCAGCATCCGTTGTGGATCTACATGCAACTGACCAGATTTCTATTATCAGGTTCTACCTACCCCATATCCTAGAATCAGCAGGCATAAGAGAAGCCATTTCGGCCTTGCTTGGAAATGGTGTGGGCGGTGCCGTCAATTTCGTAGCCACATTGTTTGTGATACTCTACGTAAGCGTTTCTCTATAGAGTGTGTCTAACTGGATACTCATTGCATGTGCACAGATCGACAAATGGGATAGACGTCGCATTCTAGTGTGTGGAGCACTAGCGATGTCTGTTTGCATGATTTGTATCACCATTGTATCTGCAATTTATAATCAACAATTGATCAGCAAAGTACCAGCGTATGGAGTGTCGAATTCAACATCGAGTACAGTATCAGATACAGCAGCGAGTTATGCTATTTTGGCACTGCTATGTGTATTTATTGCATTCTTTGCACTTAGCTGGTAAAATGCCACATATTACGAGACATAGTGCTGTTTCCTTACCTGCCGTCGAAATAGGGGACCCATTGGATGGATCTATCCGGCCGAAATTTACCCGCAAATGATTCGTGCTAATGCAATGGGGGTGACAACATCCTTTAGCTATCTATTTAACCTGTTTATATCGCTAATATCGCCTATCATGTTTCGAGAAATACTGTGGGGTACGTATCTATTTTTTGCCATGATGTGTCTAATTATGGCCGGCGTGGTACAGAAATACTATCCAGAAACTAGGGTAAGTGGTGCTTTGTACCAGAAGCCATTGTTCCTCAACTAAGGCTTTCTATTTAGGGCCGATCTTTGGAGGAAATTCAGCTCATTTTCAGTGGAGCTTTGATAGACCAACGGCCAGATGCGCATCATCCAGCCACCGCAGCAGAAGCATTGCTGCATCTAGAGCAGCTTCAACATGAAGACAAACGCAATCAAATGCAACAGCCACAGTTTCCTTTGAATATACCAGCTGAATGGTCTGATGTTGTCGTCTCCAACCCGCACAATGTATCCAGAGCACTCAACAGTTTCAATCACGTTGACGATGAATTTGAAGCCGACGATAATTCGATACAGGAGATTCGGTCACAACGCACGTTTGCAACATCGTCCTCCATTGCATCATGGTCAGGCCCATCGTCTATTGAGTTGGATCAATTAGGCACGAATGGCGAAACGTCGAATACTACAGCTAGCGTGGCAGCTGCTGCATCGTCTTCCAGTGTACCGCAGGACAAAACCAAGTAAAGAAACAGTTGTTTGGATCAAACCTCATACTCACGCTTACGCCCGCACATACACGCAACTCTCACGCACATGTATACATACACATTTCTTGTATTTTTGTAAATAGCTACCTTTTATCTTAATTTCTAATCTTGCCAATTCACCCGTATTTATAAAAATTCTACTTTCTCTATAAAATGTTAATGCATCCTTAAAGAATGGATCTGATCGCTTTCAACGATACTGCAACTCTACTTGGAAAGCCATTTATGGTATTTCCGAGTTGGGGTATGCCAATTCATCAAGCTTGGTCCAGAACGATCAAAAAATACATTGCAATGGCTTGCTTTCATAAACAATAGTGAGAAGATATTGGCGAAAAACAAGCTTTCGCTGCAAAGCAAGCCTTTATTTATTGGTAACATGTGAAAGTATCTATATTTAAATAATCTGCTTCAATTGGTGAGATCAAGGAGATAAACCACAAGGTAAAGGATGGCAGCACAATAGCTGTCATGCCAATCATCATTCGATAGCAAAGCCTGTCAGTCGAGGGAGTACGATAATAAAACGACGGAATCCACTTTCCGAAAAAAAAAACAATAGGAGCGTGTGCCATTTATTGTATTCTTTGGCTGCCATCATTAGGAGTGTTTGTCTGAAAAGAAAGAGAGCGAAAGAGGGAGGAGGGGGGTTATGATAGTTTGATAAGAAAATGCTCAAAAGATTTAGGAGTAAATACAATGACATGAGACCTCATTTATTTGGATTTTGTATATATAAAACTGATTTGTTCTCTTTTGCAACTTCTTTTCTCTTCTACATGCTGTCAATACCCATTAATATGATCCATTCAAACAGCAATACTGACATAGCTTGCTCAAGTAAAAACGATGAAAAAACAGTAGAAAGAATCATCCCGTTACCGAGCGTTTTGATAGGTAAATGAATATTCGCCTCCCACTGTATATGGCTGACTATTATATGTATAGATTTCATCGCAATGACACTTTGTGATCTGATGCCTTCAAAGAAAATATCTGTCCGTAGACGACAATCATTACCCGTCAACATCTCTCAGCAGCCAATTCTACCAGAACTGGTGTTTTTCATTCAAAAGATCACATTTCAGGGTGGCATTGATTGCCGCACAGCTTTAGTTGCATTAATTTACTTGGAGAGAGCCAAACTTAATTTACCCAAAGGTGCAGTAGGAGGTTATGGTAAGCACTACTCTCTATTGACTCATGTAAACACAGCAACGTATACAAACATCTTGTCTTAGATACTTGCCACCGCATGTTTTTAGCCTCTGTATTGATCGCATCCAAATTCCTGAGAGACAACCATTGTCATAGACACATGACATCAATTCCTTCTACTTGGTCGCACTACTATTCCTACTATTATTGTTCCAACAATACAACTGCCACCACGACACTGTCCAATCTCACCAATCGCCATCTAGCTAATCTCTGTGGTGGGTTCTTTCCTTTGCATGAAATCAATCAATTGGAGCGTGCCTTCCTCAAATTACTCAACTATCAATGCTGGGTGACCGACCAAAATATCCAGCAGTTTGTGCTGGATCATCGAGTTGATTTCTCATTGTAAATTAGTCATACAAAGCCATCTTAATTGTACATAGCCCACTATAATTTATTATACCATCCAATAAAGTGAATCCACACATGCGCACAGCGCCCCCCTCTCTCTTATCATTTGAGCTCTCTTTTACTTGCTGCAATACAGATCCCGCGCATATTATATAATTTCATCCATCAGCCTCACTTCATTATCGCTCTCTCTTTAATTTATCAATAATCGTTTTCTCAATATGCGTGTCCTCAGTAGTCTTGTTGTGGCAGTTGGATTCATTGCCTCTGCTATGGCTTTGAAAGAGCCTCCTACCAAGTTACAAGTGGGTAAGCTTTTAAGTGGGATAATGATACTATGGTGATATCTCATAACAAATATGAAAAAAAAGGCATTAGAAAGAAGATTCCTGCTGAAGAGTGTCTAGTCAAATCAACCAACGGGTAACTGCATACATGAGTCTACGCGTTTTACTTGAATCTAACAACAAAGCAATCTAGGGACTCATTATCAATGCATTATACTGGTACTCTTTTTGACACAGGAGTCAAATTTGACAGTAGTTTGGACCGCAATGAACCATTCGTGTTTAGATTGGGCATGGGCCAAGTGATTCAGGGCTGGGATCAAGGTTTATTAAAGTAAGTTTTTCTAGGGTTGAGTAAAAGAAGAGTGCGTGGTGATGATGTTGTATTGACACCAAGTTATGTATAGCATGTGTATTGGTGAGAAGCGTAAGCTTATTATTCCTCCTAGCATGGGTAATGATATACAGTACATACAAACATTGCATCATGAAATATACTGACGCACATTTAACCATACGATAGGTTATGGTGATCGTGGAGCTGGAGGCGTTATCCCACCTGGTGCCACTCTTGTATTTGAGGTTGAATTGCTGGATATCAAAAAGCCTGTCATCAAGCCATTTACTGGCGGTGATGACGATAATGATGATCAACTCATCTCGTAATGTATACATAGAATGTGCATAAACATGACGTTTCTCGCTAACGTTTCTTTTCATGATATAGATTCACTTCCCCTAGTTTCTTAATCTCAACCGCTGTGGTTATTGTCTTATTCTTCATTGTCTTCAAAATGGCTAAAAAGCAAGATATTGTAGAGGCAAAGAAGGCTGCTACTGCAGAAATTAAGGAAAGGAAATAAAAATATGTTTATTTTTTGTTATTTCCAGTGAGTGTGTTTACAGTAGACGAGACGCCATTCTTGATGGATTCACCAGCTTGCTCGACGAGGCCAGGTTGTCCTTGCTGCTTGCCGTTATTGTTTGACTTTTTAGGTTCATCATAATCGCCAATCTTAAACAGACCAGAGCCTGTAGATGTGTTACCAGATTCCTTTTTGGCAGAGTAGGGATTTTTAAGTTCACCGATATCCATTTTGCTTGTTGAAGTGATATATATATATATATTGAAAATAGAAGAGAAAGAAAGAGATAAAATGGGTATTGGTGAAACCCTAGATCAAAGCTACTTTTATAGGGAGGTTTTTTTTTTTTTTTTTTTTTTTTTTTCATGCGTGCAAAATCAAGCCAATCAAAAAATGGCATAGTGGGTTTTGTAGATTGATTGCCAACAAGCTTTCATGATGATTTATTTACTTTTTTTTTTTTTTTTTTTTTTTTTGTTAAGGGAATGTAATGTTTGAGTGGTAAGATTAAAAGGGAGAAGGAGTCAAACGCAAGTAAGGTCTGACAACCTTGACACCCTTGGGGAAGATCTTTTGAGCTTCCTCAGTAGAGACAGAGGGATGAACGATAACATCATCGCCCTTCTTCCAGTTACCAGGAGTAGTGATGCGATGCTTATCACCCAATTGAAGAGAGTCAATCACACGCAAGATTTCATCAAAGTTACGTCCAGTAGAAGCAGGGTAAGACAAGATCAAACGGATAGTCTTCTTGGGATCAATGATGAATACGGAGCGAACAGTGAATGGAATACCCTTGTTGTCAACATTGGTGGCATCTTGATGATCCAACATGTCGTAAAGAGTAGCGATTTTGCGATCAGCATCAGCAATGATGGGGAAGTTGAGTTGAACGTTGCTAATATCATTGATATCGGCAATCCACTTTTCATGATCACCGAGCTCGTTGGCAGAAAGACCAATTACATTGACATTACGAGCATCCCATTCATCTTGAAGAGCAGCAACGAGACCAAGTTCAGTGGTGCAGACAGGAGCTACACAATGACCATATCAGTGACAAGTTGCATCGAATCTACCATCACTCATGAATCACAAGAAAATACTTACTGAAATCGGCAGGATGAGAAAAGAGGACAGTCCACTTGTCACCTACAAAGTCGTGGAATTTGATATCGCCCTTGGTAGTTTGAGCTTCAAAGTCTATGATAGAATGTTAGCCCCTCTGCTGTTTCCCCCCCCCCCGCGCGCTTTTTTTCTCTCTCTCTCTTTCTTTCTTGCTCTACACATCCATCGCTGTAAAAACTTACCAGGAGCAACTGAGCCGAGTCTGAGAACCATCCTGTTGTATGTGTATGTGAGAGAGAGTTTGTATGTAAAGAAAGAGAAAATGATTAATCACGAATCACGCACATAACTATATATACTTTGTTAAAGCGTCACGTGGGTAAAGTTTGAAGGAAAAGTTGCCATCCTTATGCTCTATGTATACACATTTCGTTTGATGGTGCAATAAGCGTCCGTGTCAGCAAATATATTTTGATTGGCTTTGGGATGGCGCAATCCTATCATGCAAATGGCTAATTGAACACAATCTTGTATATTAGACGTGTGAAACTTTCCAACCTCTCTATCACTAGTTGCTGTATTACAAGCCACTTGCTGTATGATAATGTAACGAGAACAGCCTTTCATTTACTGTAAGGATAGCCTGAGCCTTATCTCCGTTCTAAACAAGATTGGGTTGGCTTCATTCTATTCAAGTACCTGAATTGCTCAAGTGATACACACATTGTAGTAATGATAAAAAAAAAAAAGATGAGATGGACATACAGGTTATGCGTTCTGATATGATTGGTATACCTGTGAAATTGGACACGCAGGACTCCAAACAACCATTATCATGAAGCCAGATGGACTCAAGTTTTGTATGGCATGTTGTTGACACCTGATCTTTTACATCCACTATATGGCAAAAGATCAGTACTGAAATGTGCTATAGTATATGCATGTTGCTATCAAGCAATAACAGGATGACATGCCATGATGCATAAATGAAATTATGTTGCAATCCTTTACCTAGATGTTGAGCTTTCTATAAGAAGACCAAGATCTGGGCGTGTAACTGGATTTCGCGGATGTGTATCACTCTGCAGTGGTTGCATGAACAAAACCATAGCATTCAAGCAGCAAATTCGGCTTTTCATTTCTATTATTATTAAGCCTACCAACAACATAATGCAGGAATTAGCTTTGCCAAAATCAATATGCCTTTTATTCGAATTAAAAGTTGCACAGGATGCAGAACTGCCTTTCCAGAAAAGTACAGCTACCATAGATGTGATGCATGATGTGTAAATAAAGGCAATAAAGCAAAAACACAACCAAATTTGGCAGCTTTGAGGCCTTCATATCTTGACATGTAGACCTTTCTGAGCCACCGGAATGACGCCAAACATTTGCCCTTGAGTAATAGTAACTTCCTGACACCTTTGCTCAACTTTTTGGGCCAAAAAAAAAAAAAAAAAAAGCCAGAAATCGACCAAAAAGCATGAGGGATACCTCATGGTTTTCATCAAAAATCAAACGATCGCATTTTTCACCTTGAAAATGAAGACTTTTACTATGGCATATATTAATTCAAAGTGTTTCTCTCAATCCAAAGCAACCTCTGAAACCGCTTTTATGAGGTGTTCATATGCAACATATGGCTTTTTTTCGCTAAAAACCTCATTTCAAATTTTATTAAATTGCTCAATAATTTCAGTCAAAACACTTACTACAATTTGCACCATTGGAAGCGCCTTGAAAAGTACTTCAATAATGTATTAGGAAGCGTAGGGTAATCATCACAGTTTACATAGTCGAATATCGTAAAATACATTTATCAGGTCGAAAAAAAAGCAAAATTTGGCCAATCTCGAACAGAAGAAAAAAACTGAGTGTGAATTAATTTCGGCCGGCGTCGTTGTTGCTGGCTGACCCAAATGCCTTTCTGATGATAACAATGATGATTGCGATACTGACCACATGGAGACCATGGATTTGAAAGAACAATTGCTTGGCCAGAATACTTTTTTTTTTAAATGTTTGTTGAGAGCTTTTCCCTATAAAGATGTCTTTTGCAATGACAATCTCTCAAAAAAAGTCGCTGTAGATCTTGCACAAGTCCTGTATTTGCACATGGCTGTGTTTTGCATTCTATTGAGTAGTAAGAGGCAATGCTTGTATGCTGTCTATCCCCACATGGATCACACCCGTTGACACAGATGTAGAGCGCCGTAGGGAGGTCCAATCCATCGTTGTAGGCCGTTTATAAGATCCTTGCATGATGGTAGACAGTTGAGAGGCGTAATTTTATGTTAGTGAGATGACTTTGCTCAACCGCTCGTTGCTGTCTGCAAGAGTATATACAAAGTGGATCCAGCCGTAACATGGTAATCACTATCAAAATATGCCACTTAAGCGCGAAGTTTATTTGATGGTGCACAAATCAAATCAATGCTAGTTTGGTATACGTTTTTATATATACAAGATCTCTGCTAGCTTCTTGGAAACAAATTCATTCAGCAATGATGCTATTGAAACCAGTGCCATCCTTTCTTGTACAGATTATTCATCAACTATAGTACAGCATCAATATAACAATGGCCCCTCCATTTCAAGCATGTATACTCACTCGTAACCGCAGGATGGTGTTGGGTTGCACTTTATATCTATCTGGAATAAGCCATTCAGGGGGATCGCTGGATGATGGAGAATAAGACACTGACGACGATGGTAATGACGCCGCTGCAGCAGCATAGCTCTCGTTTTCCAGCAAGTGTTGATTCTGTTGCATCCGCAATTCTTGTTGAGGGGTAGGTTCTGTCGTCACCCAGGTATCCATGGTTTCTAGGTATTGTCTTAGCTGTTCTCCTGCATGAGTTACCATCATACACATGCGGTCTACATCCACAGGTCGGTCAGCAGTAACACACATAATCAGCAAATCTTCTACGTTTCCTGTCACTAGCGCTTCTCTGGTACATTCTTCAAATGATCCATCCAAGTTGGACTCCAAGTAAAGACTTGTTACGTCAAACAAACTACCAAAAAACAAGGCAAATCGTGTATGAATGGGTGTGTGTGGCGTGGCACAGTGATATCTCCATATGCTGGTATAGTCTCTTGGCAAAAAGGGTGCTAATGGATGCTTGGTGCTTCGGCGTCTATATTTCTAAGGGAATCCTGTTTGTTAGTCCCGTCACTCAAGCATGGTAGGCACGCCATGCCTAGATACCTACGGGATCATGTAATACTCGTATCGAAGGTGTATGCAGATACTGTGATCTGATCTCCAGACATAGGTTTGCATAGTCATGCTCGATACCAGCTTTCAGGTCTGGAGATAGGATTCTTGCCACAATGAATTGCTGCACAATATCCAACAGCTCTGTAAATTTCGTTCGATGATTTATCTTGGGTAGTATTTCTACTTGCTTGCATATTTGTTGCAGTATTTGCTGCGAAAATTCTAGCTTGGTATCTTTGGACTGACGCTCAGACGGTGTGATGGCTTCGAATAGTCGTAACAACGAGTTGATCTTGTAATGAAATGGATAATGCTGTTGGGTATAATGTAGCGCAGTTTTGTACAGCTGTGGAATCAGCTGTAATTGCTCGATGTCTTGATAGTCTAGGTGGTTCAATACGAGCCAAAAGACTTCATTTGGAAGTGCATCTATCATATCGTTTGTGTGCTATAAGTGAAAAAGTTGCTGAACATCTCTTTTTTTTTTTTTTTTTTTTTTTTTTTTCAAAAAGAGTGCTTGATAAATCATGTTCTCGCTGCTGCATAAATCGTCACAAGCATACAGCAGCAGCTGTGTTCATCCTTGGAGAATAAGGAAAAGCTTGTTTGGGTCACCAATAAAATGCTAGTATTGCATATAGTGCACGTCATGTGTGTGTGTGTGTGTGTGTGTGTGTGTGTGTGTGTCTGATTCTTCGGTTTCAGCCTTTCACTTCAATGACTACCAAGATTGGAGCCAACATGGCAAGTGCAATGTACTACAATCGACCGCTTATCATTTGATACAAATGTATTTGATATAAAATATATAGCTTACTCAACTTTCTCTCTCTCTCTCTCTCTCTGTTGATTGTCCTTTTTTTTTTTTTTCTTTTTTTTTCTCTCACTTCTTTCCAATGTCTTCCACCGCTACCACTACTATCGCAAACACGAATGAATCGATCCAATTGAGACACATTTATCACTACAACAACAACAATCAAATGGAAGAGGAGAGCTCTGTACCTTCCTCTGCGTTCAAGGACCCTCTATTACTGAAGCCCAAGATACAAACGGACCATTACATCAAGAAGGATCTCAAGGGCCAGAAGAAACTGCAAGCATTCTACAGAAATCAGAATGAGATGATTGAGGCCATGTTGAGCGCCTTGGATCCAGCGACTGATGTAGAAGAACAAGAAAAGCAGTTGCTCAAAGTATATACTGAATGTGCAAACCTTATTGCTTCATCTCTGACCAAAATTGTACAAATTAGCTGAAAATAGCCATTTATGGTTCTGTAGTGGCAAATATCATTCTGTTTGCTTTGCAATTGGCTGCTGCAGTGACCTCAGGCTCGCTGTCCATCTTTTCTACCATGGCAGACGCTTTCATGGACTTGCTCAGCTCCATCGTATTGATGTGGACAGCTAGATTGGCTGCTAAATCCAACCTGACAAAGTACCCTGCCGTAACGTTTTGTTTGTTTTATACGTATTGCACATGTATAGATTAATATTTGTTACAATTCAGGGAAAATCCCGGTTGGAAACCACTGGCATCATTATATTTTCTTGTTTGATGTCGTGTGTGGCTCTATTTTTGATTGTAGGACGGACAGCATCCATCAAACAAACATGGGCTAATCGTTTGGTCTAGATTGAATCAGCTCAAAAGCTTGCTGATCAGAGCCATTCACCTGATCTAACTATACTTGCTATTGCCTTTGTAGCATCCGCACTGGGTAATTGTATACACTCACTCCTGGAATGCCACATCTTATGTTATCCTTACGATAGCTGTCAAACTATTCTTGTACATTTACTGCAAATCTTTGTCTCAATTCAACTCTGCAAAGATCCTAGCTCAGGACCATCGCAATGACCTACTTGTCAATGGATTGGGCTTAACAACAGGCATTGTGGGTAGTCGTATCGCTAGTTGGGTTGATCCTGTAGGTTCTATCGTCATTGCGCTTATCATTCTCTATAGTTGGACATGCACCTTGCTGGGTAAACAAAACGCAGAAAACAATCGTATCATTTCGTTATACTCATTGGAAGAATGATACACATACAGAGCACATCCCCTTAGTCGTAGGCAAGAGCGCCAGTCCAGAGTTTTTGAATTTGATCACTTACATTGGTTTGTTGGCATCGGTTGTGCACACACACACACTAAAAAAAGCAGTTACTCAGACCCCTCTTCTTTAGCATTAACGCATCCTCAAGTTACACACGTTGATACATGTCGTGCCTATTTTGCCGGAACAAACTTGTTTGTTGAAGTGGATATAGTTTTGCCTGCCACCATGGAACTTCGTGAATCGCATGACATTGGAGAAGATTTACAGATCAAGCTTGAGTCATTGCCCGATGTTGAAAGAGCTTTTGTTCATGTGGATTATGACATTTTTCACAAGCCAGAGGCAAGTGCATACATTTAATAACTTTGTGTTTAACATGAAAGAGACTAAAAGCACAGCTACAGCATCAGAAATCGAAATAAGGTTGAATAGGAGTCGTTTTTTCTAGGATGGGATCTCCAAAAATTTTAATATATGGGAAATCTTTACACAGATCACGCGGAGAGGTATGAAAATTGACGTCGTTTATTCTAAAACCCTAATACAGGCTCATGATATAGCTTCTCTCCTCCCCTTATTTCTTGTCTTTTTCTATATAAATACAACCGAGCTTTTCTTTTGGTGCCCTTTTCTTTTTTTTTTTTTTTATCTTTTTTTTTTCTCTGATTTCAGCTGTACATGCTGACGCCATTATAAGTCAACCATGAGTCAAGTGCCAAATCAAAGTAATCTCATGTCAACTGACATGAACAAGGAGGATACTTCGTATTACTATGGTAATAAATGATAGGACTCCATGTTGGGGAAGAGGGATGTCGTCCATGATCTAACACCACATCTAAACTAGCTGACAACCAAAAGTACAAGAGTAGCAAAATCTCTACCATTGTGCTCGTTCAATTGTCATTGGAGCATTATATACCACTATTTCATGAAGCTGGCATCCATGATCTGGACCAATTTTTATCAATGAAAGACAATGATTTTGCTTCCATTGGCATTCAAGATCCCAGTGATCTCTGGCTACTCTCAACATGCGCAAAAGCACTAAAATCACACATTGCTCAAAAGCAGCTGCAGAAACGAAACACCATTTGCTCCATTGCAGAAGAGTCTGAAGATGAGGATGAAGATTTCTTCAGCATCAAATCTAGGTCAAGTGTAGTGAGCAGCAATAGTGATGAAATTACAACCGCATCTTCTGAATCTATACGGAGAGCCATTCATGCATTTGACTCTTATGAACCCCCCTCCTACACAACCAACACCACCACTCCTCCTCCATCGCTACAAACAAACACACCATCAGGCGCCATGTATTTACAGGCAGTACCCGGTACCGTTATCCGTCGACATAAACAATCAAGTGGCAGCAGACCTGTTTCCATGCCTATTCAGTTACCATCATTTACAACTCCTCCTCCTGATTATTCAACCTCTATTTACGGAAGACGATTAGAGAGATGCCGATCCATGATCTTTCCACGTGAGGAAGAGGGCAAAGAAGAGCTTCCTGGCTACTCATGTACCGTATTCAAGATGGGCTATGTTAATATCAAGAAAGAATTCGATGCACCCAATTGTAAAAGCAAATACAGACATTGGAGGTAAATAAGAATACAACAGACGTAATGCCAGTCAATCGTGTACTCATTTGCATCATTAGAAAACTCTATGTCGAATTATGGGGAACCATGTTAAGAATCTACCGGGCAGCGCCTTCAAAAAACTCGACTTCGATAGATGCTCGCAACTACTACAGATGGCCGTTACGAGCACCATATTACTACTATCACAAATATTACTTTACCCCGATGTTGACTATTTCATTAGCAGGAGCGGAAGCAAGTCGTGCACTAGACTACTTTAGGCGACCTAACGTTCTCCGATTGACGACACAACAAGGACCACAGTTATTAATGAGGCTATCTTCACATGTAGAAATGATATCATGGGTTGAACATTTGCAAGCAGGTAGACTAAATGACTGTAATTTCATGTGTGGAGTGAATATACTCACATTTTTCTGTTTGTAGCTATCAATATATCACTGGATTTAGAATTTCGTCCTATGCCAAAATTCGTCACTATACCAACTCGTGCATTGACTACTGCTTCGTTGGATCCTCGATCTATCGAACTGGAGAGAACTCGTGAACAAAGAAGGAGAGATCAACGTGAAGTCTTGATTTGAGCAATACTTTCATCATGATTACGTCGTCAACTTGTACCTTATTGTATTCTGCCTAAAGTTTATTTCCCAACGAAAAACAAAATCTTCTATATACATATCTACTATTCATTCATCCCTCACATCCAAAACCACCACCCCATACAGCTATATATCTATCTATCTATCTATCTATCTATATATATTCACATAGTCCAAACATTCACACACACACACACACACACACACACACACATATTCAAGACCTTTTCTTTCCTATATATAAATAAGCCTTTCCAATGTCACTATAAAAGAATCCTTCTCTCGCTTTCCTTTTTTAAAAACGTTAGATTAGAAATCCCAAATATCATGATGATGCTATATGCCTTGGCATATAGTCCCCCCCCCAAAAAAAAACCTCAAAACTAGTTAAATTCACCATATCAAGAATCATATCCTGCCTTGTTCTGGATCAAATCAAAAAGCTTGCTGGCATGCCATGATTTATACTTTCTTCATTGTTCTATTCTTCTTTTTATGAGACCCATCTAAATTAGTGTCCTCTTTTTTTTTTCCGATGAAACCTTATAATTTTTGTTTCTATTCTATCCAGGCTATAAGCTTTTCATATGTCCAGAGCTGTCGATTGTATGATGAGTTCAAGATGAGCACTTTCTAATGCAATGCATCTAAAGAAAGCTTATCCTGACATGGTGCTTGCCGAGATTTGAATAGTTCCATGATGGCCTACTCCCCCAAATAAATCACAATAGTTGTTTATTGTGTCATGGTCAAGCGATGCGTAATACAAGTATGCTTTGAAAGACTATATATTTTATTTGTTGATACTGCACCAGCCATCATGTCATTATTGCTCCAATATTGTATCATGGTTTAGCGGAATAATAGATGTCAACTAGACATCTTTAAGCAATATTTACAAGAAATGCTATCATTGTTTTGTCTCAAACATCTACCTGTGTTTGATTACGCTGTGTTGAAGCAATAGTAATCATTATAACGCAATCTATCGCTGGCCCAAATCAGACGATATACTCCTTACGTGATCAAAACTACATCAATAGGACAAACAATGCCAAGAGGTAGTCTCATTTATTGACTATACAAAATCGCTGAGCCCTGAGATATTCTTTATGTCAAAATTGAAAAGGTTTTATGCAGGTAAGTATGGAAATTATCATTAAACAAGTAATTATGCGTTTATTCATTCGAAGGTTCAGCTGGGAGTTGGGATCAACATGAATTCAGGCACGCAAAACGATTGGCCACTGTTGTCATTTGGATTTGTTTTATCAGGATATGCTATGTAACAATGGCAGAGGCTCAAGTGCCGCTGATAATACTATGGTGCATTTACTGAAAATCATCAGTGCGTTGAAGAACAAAATAAAAGGATACAGAAGCTCATACCATTCATATGACAAGACAGTAAGTGTTCTAACAAATGGCTTGCTTTGCTCTCACTGATGGACAATACAACAGTATCACAAAACCTAAAGATTATCAAACAAAGCAGAGAGACTTGGTGTTACTTGAGCTTAATTTGTGTAATTTGGCATGCGCTATGTAACCGCCCTTTTCTAGTTTTGTTCGCCTAGTTGTTGCCTGAATTAAATCCACTTTTGCACAGCTCATCATGACTACAAGATGGAAATTTGAAATATATCAGGTGCCTCCTGATCCTCATCAAAACATGACAAATGAGCTCTGGTGGGAACTTTTTGCTCTTTGCACCACTTAAAACCTGAGTACCAAGGACATGAAGATTATCAACAATCTTCTCGGGAGACACATACGCACATACACCCACCCTTCAAACACATCACTCAGTCTTTATTTGTCTAGAGTGAGATTAACGATATTTACATCCAGACATCACACCACTGCTCTATGTCTTACCTGAATCTCGCCTTTGCATAGTGAAATGCAACCTATCATTTTATAATATTCAGAAAAAGTTACATTACTAGCTGCTTAATATAGGGAGCATCACCTGCATTGGAAAAGGAGGCATTACATGTGCTCTCAATTGGAGGGGTTTTTTTTTGTTCAATTTGAGACACACATTTCAATTGAAGATCAACAAGCAATACACTTTGGTACCTTATTCTTATACGAAACTCCATCAAATGACAACATAAATTCAGCTCAAGTGTATCTTGATCCTTGTATAAAAAATGCATCTAATTCTTATTTTCAAGTATGAGGCATCTTATCAAACAAAAGGGGAAACGGGTGCCTCGTGCCAAAAAAGTTTTTTTTTTTTTTTTTTTTTTTTTTTATCTGGGCACCTGATGAAATCAAATAGCAATTGCACAGCTAGGATGCTTCCAACGCAAGAGTAGCGTAACATATAATACAGCCGTTAAGCAAGCCTTACAAGGGGATGTATGCCGTTGTGGAGGTGTCTTTGGTCTTGCGTTTAGATCAACATTGATGTTGCCATGACGATAAATTAAATTTCTTCTCAATTTGAAATTTTGATGAACACACATTTCTTGTTTGATGAGAGAAAGGAAGGCTAGGACCATACATCAAATCAACCAGGCTGCAGTACATCCGACTACTCTGTTAGAGAGATGACATGCTTAGCTCTCTATTGAACATAGGAAACTGCTATATCTTTCAAATGCTATCGATAAATTTTGCATGGGTCACCATCTTGGTCATCGTGGAATGGAAAAATTATTCCAAACAAAAAAAAAAAAACAAAAAAAATATCCCTTTTTTTCATATGCATATTGTGAGCGATTTTGGCAGAGAAAAACATGATTGATGAACATGGTTGTAATCTACAAGTTAAAGGCTATTCAATGATACCAAAGATCATACACTTTGAATAACTTTTTTGCTATGGATGATAACGCCTTTTTTGACGAAGCCATCATTAATGACACCTCTTCTTTTTTTTTTGGGGGAGGGGGATGGCAAAAATGTAAACAATCTTTAGTCATGGAAATAATGTAGTGGAAAGCCAGCGCAATGAAGATGAATAGCTCCTTGTACATCTTTTGAAGAGGCTTATCGAGTTACAAGTTAATACATGTATTGCTGTATGTTCCTTTGATACGCTTTTGATTATTTGTGTTAAAAATGCCTGGGGTCTTTTTTCGGTTTTCCTTTTTTTTTTTTTTTTTTTTTTGTTCATATTTTTTTTACCCACACAACCAATGCTTTATTGCGAATGTGTGGACCTTTGCACATAATAATACTGCAATTGCAATAGAAGCAAAGCCTCTCATGCTCAGTATAGCTGTTGTTGACTTACCAACTTTTGATATATGCCATCACATAGAATCAAGTTGCTTGAAGGAAAGGATTAAATTGGATTGCAAAATTAACATGACGACTTTTTTTTTTTTTTCTTTTTTTTTTCATCCTGAAAAATACGATATGCCTTTTCTCATTCATGAAACTCGACAAAAATATTATCACTACAGCAAATCAATTTATATATTGGCTTTCTTGGTGTGATGAGGATTAAAATGATATACATAAAGAGCATGCTGTCGCTACCCTGTGAAAGATATACCATAGAAATAATTCTCATTCAAAAAAAAAAAAGAGAATCAAAAACCAACAGATGGCCAAAGATGATTTCTTTTTGTCTCATCTCATTTCACCCAAGATAAATGCCAAAACGATTAATCTAATGTGATATCCTGATAGAGAAGGTTCTCGAGAAGATGTTTATAGTCTCTGTAAATTCATTTCCCAACTTGCTCACACTGAAAGCTTCTGATTACATTTTCTTCACCTTTTTTTTTTTCTCAAAAAAAAAATCTCTTTACCAGTGGAGCGCGTCCCCTTTTTTTTTTTCGTTTGCACAAAAATTAAGCCAAAAAAAAATCAAGCAAGCAGATTGATTGGCTCATTTCAATATTTCAACCTCGGCCAACTCATCCAAGTTTTCCGAGTATAAAAAGGGCGCATTTTTTTGCAGCCTCTGAAATATCTTTTTTCTTTCTTCTCATCTATTTTCAAGAAAAGAGATTTACAATATATAACATGGTCGCCGCTGCTGCTACAAAGAAAACTACTCCTGCCAAGAAGGCCGATCACCCCACCGTAAGCATACATTGATCTACATGGAGGAGGAAGCAAAGGAATCATGGTTTAACATTGCCTTAATTTATTTTCGATTTCCATTTGATTTATCAGTATGAAGCCATGATCCAAAGTAAGTAATAGCTCGACCTGTTGTGGTAAGGAAACATTTATTCATGAATATCTCTGCAGACGCCATCATTGCTTTGAAGGAAAGAAAGGGTTCTTCCAGACCTGCCATCAAGAAGTACATCTTGGCCAACTACAAAGTCACCGCTGGTTCTCACTTCGATTCACAAATTGCTGCTGCCATCAAGCGTGGTCAAGCCAAGAACCTCTTCAATCTTCCTAAAGGTAACTATTATCAACATTTATATTGTTGCACCCAAAAAAAAAGGGGATTGGAATCATGTATTTACTTGGATTGATATCAGGTCTCTCTGGTACTGTCAAATTGAACAAGACCGAGAAAAAGGCCGCTGATAAGAAGCCTGCCGCTCCCAAGAAGGCTGCTGCCAAAAAGGCCGCTGCCGCCCCCAAGAAGGCTGCCAGCACCACCAGCACTACCACCGCCAAAAAGGCTGCCCCCGCTACAAAGGCTGCTGCCGCTAAGAAGGCTGCTCCCGTCAAGAAGGCTGCCCCCGCCAAGAAGACCGCTGCTCCCAAGAAGGCTGCCGCTGCCCCCAAGAAGGCCGCCGCTACCAAGAAGGCTGCTGCTCCCAAGAAGGCCGCTGCTCCCAAGAAGAAGGCTTCTACCACTGAAAAGGCTGGTGTCAAGGCTCCCAAGAAGAAGGCCACTGCCCCTAAGAAGGCTGCTGCTGCTCCCAAGAAGGCCGCCGCCGCCAAGAAGGCTGCCACCACCAAGAAGGCTGGTAAGGCATAAATGCCTTTACTTTTGATCCATCTCTATTACCCTCACCACAACAACATCCATATTTCTTTAGCAAATTTATTAGTTCCTCTTTCTTTTATATGAATTCCCCCCCCCCCCCATTGTATTATATAATGAAGGGTTTATTTGTCCATTCTTGTACAGTCATCAAATCAAACCCTCTCAATTATATCATTTTTTTTTTCTATTACTATTAAAAATATTTAAATCAAGAGACATTTTGGAAATTTCTGTACACATCTTGCACGTGGTCCCTTAGTTTTTTTTTTTTTTTTTTTTTTTTTTTTTTCAATGTTGAAAAAAAAAAAAGATGTAGTTTTCGATTTCCTGGTAGGGAAGATGAGAGGAGCGCGTTTGGAATTTTTTTTTTATAATTTTTTTTTTACGAAAAAAAAAGGTGCATTTATAAAGTGTAGTAGAAGGGGGGAGGGGGAGGGTGGGATCTCTTTGGATACATCAAGTAGCTCAGTTGTTTCGTTGGCAACCATCTAACTGATTGCTAACTTACTTGGTCCAGATCTTGACAGAGCCGTCTTCCTCACCAAAGTATGCCTTCTCTGCCATGTTACAGAACAAACCAACTTCATAAACACCAGTCAGTAATTTCAGCTCTCTCAATAATTGAGCTGGATCCTCAAGAGCACCAAAATGTGTATCAATGACAAAGTTACCATTATCAGTGACAACAGGGCCAGCCTTGTTCACAGCCTACATGTATATCTGATGTTAAGTGCTACAATCCCTGAGCGATTCACATGATTACATATTTACCATACGAAGCTTAGAAGAAATAGGCTTCAATGAGAGTTTGGTGTCAATAGATTTCATGACAGATTTGTATGTCATGGGCACAACTTCAATAGGAACACCCTTGACCCATTCTGTACCAAGCTTCTTGCTCTTCTTTCTGAAATCTAGAGAAAAAAAAAAAAAAAAAAAAAAAAAAAGTTGATCCAACATGAGTCAATTACTGTCAATTGACATTGCTTTTAATAATGACTTTCTTACCGGCAACAATGACAAACTTTTTGGCAGCTTCAGCAACCAATTTCTCTTGGAATTGACAAGCTCCACCACCTTTGATAGCGTTCAAATCCTCATCCACCTCATCAGCACCATCGATAGTAACATCGATTTCAGGATATTGTTCAACACTGCCTAATGTGAGACCGCCTTCCAAAATGAGCAATTTGGATTGAAAGGATGTTGGGACATAGACAATGTGCTTGAGCTCTGGCTTTTGCAAGATACGCTCTACAACATAGACGACAGTAGATCCAGATCCAATACCAACCACCTTATGGTCTGCAGTAATGTATTCATCGACGGCCTGGTAAGCAGCCAGCTTCTTTCCTTGTTCAATGGGATTAGACATGGTGTTGATCTAAAGAAAACAAAAATTGCGGGGGGAATCTTTCCTTTCTGAAGGGTATAAATGTAAAATGAATCTAGTCACTTTTTTTCACATGAAAATATTGTAGAAAGGTCTTAATTGGTTTTTTTTTTTTTTTTTTTTTTTGGACAACTCTCCAATGTTGCATACGGAAGCTCTTTTTCGGAATGTAATGTCACCCACATGTCAAATGTTAAGCTTTTGACTCAATTTATCATGGTAACCTTTTTTTTTTTATTTTTATTTTTTTTTATTTATTTAACGTTTCCCAACTGCTCCTGGCCAATTGCTGACTTACTACGGCCTTTGACCTGAATCGTCTGCATTGCTATTTGAGCCAATCATTGGCGGTTTCTACAGCTGTTGGATGTGGCATTTGACATCTGGCTCAATGTTATTGCTCTATAGGCATCATTGTCGTAGAGATTATTGTATGAAAGACAAGAAGCGAGGTAGAAGTTTATGTCAACCAGGTCACTCGAGGTATTATTATACAAGCAGTTTTGAAAAAGTGGCAATGTCACATTTTGCATTAGGATTCGCATTTGGAAAAGTAGTTCCGACGTTTGAATGGACTAAATATATAAATGAGCAACCAAAGCATTGAAAAACATTTAGACTGGACATTCATACTTTTTTAGTTTGCAACCCCCCCTCTCTCTCTTGCTATTTCAAAAAACATCAATTGCGTTCACAAGAGATGCATATCGCCAGCGAGCCAGAGCATATTAAAGTTCGCTTGATAGTTGCTTTGGATTGGCCGGATTTTAGTCGAAAATGGCTCAGTCAAAGTATTTTGAACTATTCGACTATCTAAGTTGTGATGATTGTCGCGTACCTCCCTAATAGGTTTCAAGAGTACTTTTCAAGGCGCATCTAATGGTGCCAACTGTGATTAGTATTTTCAATAAACTTTTTGAGCATTGTATAAAAAAGTGGAATGAGGTTTTTGGCAAATAGGTCGAGATTTTACATATGAAAGCCTTACAAAAAAAAAGTGGTTTTAGGGGGGTTGCGCTGGATCGAGGGCTATAACAAAAGTCTTCATTTTTAGAGTCAGAAACGCGGTTGCTTGATTTTTGGTGATTTTCCATGAGGTGCTCTTTAGGATGTCGAGTCGATTTTGAGTGATGATTCAAATGCGCCCATATTTTACCCTGTTTTGCAAATTTCCGAGCAAGAAAAAATAATGCAATTATGCTATCTGTTTATACCTGCATAGTTCTCATTGATACAAACGCGGGTCATTGCAGGGAAGTCAGATTGACAGACACAGGCCACTTGTAGAGGTTTCTACTTGGCATTAGAAAATCAAAGTGAATGGTCTTAAAACTAGGCCAGATCGTGGTTTGTCGCCAACAAGTTTTTATAGTTCCTGCTTTAAGAAAGGCTCTAGGAGAAACCCAATCTTCCAATCAAGAGCTACAATCCATCTCAAGATGATATCAGCATCCCTATAAAAATGGTTCAAGTCTTTCGTAGATTTTCCCTAAACAAGCAAGATCTTCCAATGGTGTGTGAAAAAAAAAGGAGGCCATCATACCGTCATAGGGTGATAAACTTTATTTTTTGAACTGATTATTATAGGTAGCAAGTGGGCCGCTACCAACAGTAGCAGCAGAGGCAGGCGTTTTAGACAAGTAGGGATAGGCTGTATGAGCCATGGCTTCTGATGAGAGTCTACTGGATGTGGTTTGCAAGTAATAAAGTTCGTTGGGATGGATAAATTGCTGTGTTGGTGTCTTGGTATTGTAGCGAAATCTGTCCAATACAGATTTACTATTGTCATTGTCAAAAGTCGGTTGCTGTTGTTGTTGATGATGATGATTAGACGAGAGGAGAGGTAGCTGAATTGTATTACTGCTGTTCTGGGTATGTCCACTGCTACTCACAGTAGCTGTTGGGGTACTGCATTCGCTATTATTAGCATCACCACCATCATTCATATCGTCATCTTGCTCGCTTTCATTGTTTGGCTTTGATTGTTCAGCTGGCGATGGTGACGACGCCAATATAGTTGCTGTTGCTGTTGCTGTTGCTGTCACAGGAGGTGGTGATACTGGAGAGGATACAGTCGAGCATGAGTCGTTGTTGCTATTCATCATGAGTGGAGGCAAATGAATCACATCGTTGATGTTCATGGCGCTGACAATGGGTGACGCAATGCACACAATATAGAGTTGATCAAACGTGGATTCATCAAACAGATCAGCGCCAAACGCGCCCCCCAGATAGAACCTGCAATTCATCTCCTCATAATCAGCATCTGAATCACTACGGCCCTTTCTAAATTTCAACTTCTGCTTGAGTGTCAAAGAGCCATTGGCAATGTTGAGCAAGCTGTCAAGTGATGAGGAAAAGAACTTTTCACTAGAGGACCTCAAGAGATTGTGAGGTAACCTTGTCTGTTGATGCTGTACTGCGTTATCCAGCAAGCAGCGATGCAACTTGGATAGACTGGACTGATTTTCACCAGGCACCAAAAAGTCATACAGTGAACGGTGTCCAAATTCTTGAGGATACAACTCCAGATACTCCAACGACTTGTCAGATATTCGGGCACAACATAAATCCATCGACAGAAATACCTACACATGTCTATAATTCAGAACTAGAAAGACATCAATCAACATGCAAGTCATCTTACTGTCATCATATCATTCGATGTTGCTGCAGAAACCATTGGAAAGACATCAACATTGATGCCGGGCATCATGCGATTATTGCTCATGTTTTGAGTGACAGCAGCTGGTGTAGTAACAGTGGAGGATACAGGCCGGATCTTGTTATTGTTTGCATCTCTCATCATCTTTGGCCGACCTCTCTTTTTATGTTGGATATCACGACATGTGTCTGCTTTATCTGTAGTAACACAGCGATTGCAAGGTCTTGAAACTAAAGCAAACGTATACATGTAAGATAGGAGATTTCAGACTGCAGGTGGGTGCTTACCATCACACGCTAAATGTGCCTTTTTACAGTTAATCTAGAATACAGAAGCGAATCAGTCATTCCATTTTAGAGTTTCAAGGAGTCTCTGCTATGTCACTTTACACATGCAGCCGACACATGCACTTTGTTCGGTCGTTTCTTTGTTTGTGGATGATGTACATCTTGTTGCTGCTGCTGCTGCTGCTGCTGCTGCTGCTGCGGAGGGGGCATAGGAGGACAATCAACATACATCAATGAGGGCAATGGAACCGGCCCTGAATGACTGGTGATATTGTGATAATTCATCATGGAAAAGCTAAAGAGAAAGATCAAAGAAACCTCCAGGTTACAAAAAGAAATTTATAGGAAAATTTCATAAATTTAGGGAATTTTTATTTCTCCTAATTCTCCGGTTGCAAGACATATAAATTCAGATGAGGATGTAAGGTTGAATGCACATTTCTTTTCCCTTTTTTTTTCTACCTTTTTTTCCACAGCGTCTACCATTGTAGAATGATGAAAATTCGAGATTGGCAAGCCCAGGCTTATTTTATGCACATTTCACCGTTCATGATGGAATCAGAAATTTATGAGCATATGTTGGGATGATCACATCCCCCCCCCCCTTATTTTAACATGGTCATTTTCTGCTTCTTGACATTAATTAAGCTGGCCCTTTTGTCCTTACATTTTAAATTGCCGTTTTAAGAATGTGGTTAATAATTAACCGGCTTGCAAAAGCAACTGAACTGGGGGAGAGGGGAGAACAACAGTGTAAAAACTGTAAAATGCCGAGAACTACTGATAGATCAAGGCATCCAATCATTAGGAGCTCAATGACGTATTGAACCCATTCATGAAAAATCTTTTGAAGGTAGTACTAGTCTAATTATGGCAAGTCAATACAATGCGACATCAGGGTATAAAAAGGTCCTTGATTTCATGTTTTAAATCCCTTTTTTTTTCCTTGTAAATTTTTTTCATTTTTTTTTTTCTCTATTTTGAAAATACCCCCTATAAAAATGACAGATTACAACAACGAAAAGTCTCTGCGCATCACTAATCTGGATCCAAGAGTGACTGAAGATGCACTGAAGGGAATATTCTCATTGATTTCTCCAATCGTCCATATCAAGATAACAAAAGATAACAGCAACGTAAGTATACATCACACTTCCCCCACCTCCTCCCCAACCATTCACTCTTTTACAAAACCATTCGGGGTTTACCTGGGATTTGTAATTTTCTCACACTTAAGCTATTTCGTACGACATTTTGCGATATCAGCTTCTATTTTTCTCGCTAATGGCTACGGCCAAGAAACTTTAGTGGTAGATCAAATCATTAGATTAGATCAATTCATCTTATCATTTTTAGCCAATGTGTCCCCCTTGGCCTCCCCTCCCCTCTCCCTCTCCACTGTTTCTGTAAACCCCCTCTAACCTAACGCTTTATTTCTCTTTAGGATGGTTTAAATTGTGGCTTTGTCGAATTCCATGAACATCAAGCAGCTGAACAAGCGTTACATGCGATGGACAAACGTACTATTTATAGCCAGGTAAGATATATACTCTCCACAAGCAATGTTTGTGTTCTCATCGTGTGTATTTGTATTACAGGAAATTGCTGTAAATTGGAATGATCAAGCTGCATCCAATGAAAACCAGGTTTTTGTCACTGATTTGGATCACAACATCGATGACTCTGGATTATGGAATGCTTTTGAAAAGTTTCATGTGTGGTACGTAACATGAGGGGGTGAAAAAAAAAGAAAGAGATTGGGAATTCATGTAAATTAACGATCCATCCATTATTAGTAACGCACGTGTGATAAACCCTGGAGAAGGTGTTGTTACATTTGAAAACAAAGCAGATGCAGAAGATGCTATTCGTTATATGGATGACACACTCGTTGGATCATCTCGTGTTCATTGCCACTGGCATCTGTCTTCATCAGCATCAGCATCAGATAACAGTGATTCCAACAGTGTCTCCTCAGCACACTCTAGACGCTCATCCACTGATAGTGACAACAATGTGATTCTATCCAACATGTCCTATGAGGAAATCTTTGCTCAAACACCCCTCTACAACACATCTGTCTCTATCCGTGGCCTGCCAAAAAACGTCATCTCCCAAGATATTGCTCCTCATTTACAGCAATACGGCTTTGTCACTGACATTCACATCAAGAAGGGAGAGGCCATTGTCAAGTTGGATACACATGCCAATGCAGCTACTGCTATATTTGCTCTACAAGGTGTCACTATTGCAGGAAAGCCTGTACGTCTGGGCTGGGTAAAAGACAGAGACATTCAACGCATCGATAGCCAAGACAACATGACAAGATCATTCAATGTGTTTTCTTCGGGCTACGTTCCTCCAAGCAAATTAGTGAACCGAATTACAAATACTTATGAGAATCACACCACAATGAGACCTCCCGCTCCCACGACTGATCCTGCTGGTGGAGAGCCTGGAGGTGGACACCACGGTTGGAATCAATACTATCAACAGCATTACAGCGCTGGTCATCTCACCATTTAAATATTCCCTCCCCACATCTCTCTCATTTGCATTGCATTTTTTTCCCCTACCTTCTTTAGCAATTATATATATCAACATCTCCACCCTTATTTTACTTTCGCATTTTGTGTATTATTTTTTTTTTCTTCAACAACAAACAACTTTTTTTAATAATAATAATAAAAAAAAAAAAAAAAAAAAACCAACAACTCTGTCCCCGTATAAACCGATTGGCTCATCATTTAGATTAAAATGGCATGCTCAAATGTCAATCTCTTCCTCATGTTCCATCTGTATAACATACTCTGGGAAAAATATCATACAAAAATCAAAAAGATAGTGTTTCCCCACACTGTTTTATTTTGGCGATATGCTTCTGATTTGCTTCTTGTAACCATGAGAACGTAATACAAAAAAAAAAAAAAATCATGTTTATTATTATGCTTGAAAAGAAGGTCGAGAAGAACATACTCTAGTTTTTCAAAACAAATCTAAATCTAGGCTTGCCTGCCTTGAAATCCTCTATGGCTTTAGGTGCCTCTGACATTGGGTAAGTTTGGAACCAGGGCTTAACGCCAGTCTTGGCTGCGAATTCGAGCATGTCCTCGATTTCAGCAGGGGAGCCGATGGCAGAACCACAGATGGTAACTTGGCTCATAGCGAGAAGCATAGGTCTGATCTCGGGGAAGTTCCATTCAGGAAGGCCGACGTTAATAAAGATACCGTTGGGTTGGAAGAGTGGAGCATAGGTCTCCCCTATATTTTTGTTATAATTAGAAAACCCCGGCCTTTACTATATACGTTGCAATTATACTTACATTGGAAGTCTTGGCCAGTACCAGTGCAAAGAATATGAGTGAACTTGTTCTTGTATTTTGCCAAGGCCTCTGAATCACTGGTATTCACATATTCATCAGCACCAAGTTCTAAAGCCACCTCCTTCTTCTTGTCATTGTGGGACATGCCAACCACCTTGGCGCCCATAGCCTTGGCCCAGAGAACTAGAATCAAATTTTCAATGATGAATACCATGGAACTATATTAGAATCTTCTCAACACTACTTACTGCCATAATGACCCAAACCACCAATGCCCATCACGCCGACAACAGAATCAGAATTGACGTTGTGGCGTTTGAGAGGTGCGTATGTGGTGACGCCCGCACAGTAGAATGTGCAAGCAACTTCGTTTGTGATGTTATCGGGAATCTTGAACACAAAGCGACAATCTCCTCTCTAGAAGCAAGTTGACATGTCGTTAGATGTTTGTATGTATATGCCAATTCAATACTAACCCAGTAGTCTGAATAACCACCATATGATTTGTCGCCATTGGGCCAAACACCATTGTAAGTACCTGTGAAGGCTGTGCGACACAAGTTTTCAAATCCAGTAGAGCAGGGAACACAATCGGGACGATGACAACTGCCAGATTGAGCTCCTACACCAATGCGGTCACCTACTTTGACGTTCTTGACTTTGGGGCCAACACGAGTACAGACACCAGCGATTTCATGACCAACTGTTTGAGCAATGCATCAATATACCGTTGCTAGCAATCCAGTATCGAAATGCCTTCAACTTACCACAGACAGGATACTTGGGAGTACCCCAATTGGCATCCATAGTGTGAATATCACCTATACATTCAAGCATCAATCACCAGCGGCTCAATTACGCATCAGTTGCATAGACTTACTTCCACAGATGCCACAATCAGTGACCTTCATGTCAACACTGTAATCGTCTTCAGCACGAAGCTTCAGTTCTTCCCATTTCATGGGCTCATCTAATGATGCAACATGTCAACATTTGCATATGCATTGCGCTTGAGTTGACGACTAAATGCCTACCTTTGCCGTGGCAGGCCCATCCGTGAAAAGTACTTGGTGCAGACATTGTTTGATATAGTTAAAGTAGAAAAGTGTTCTAATAAAGTAAAACCATCAAAAGAGTGTAGTAGTTTTTATACTAATTTTTTTTTTTTTTTTACAATCCCGAAGTCTGGTAAAACAAGGACTCTACCTCTGACATAATGAGCAAGGTTTCAAATGATAATTAATAATACGGATGGAAAAGCAAATACCCCTCCGAAACAAAGAGAGAAAGTTACCCATTCATATAGCTGCGGATCTATCCAGATTTGCGTCTAACGTTAGCTCATGTATACATTCTAGTATCGTAATGGCAGGTTTATCAACCGATGCACACCAAATCGGGACTTGCCTGATGCCACTACCTATTTTCACAATGGATAGATTTTGGACTTGATATTTGTTCAATCGACAATGATGTGTATACATCTCCACTTTTAGCATCTGTTTATGTAAAAAAAAAGGGCATTGCGCCTCGTCTTTGTCAGCATGCTGTTGACCACGGATAACTGGCTTACATTTACATTTGTTTTGGAACCATCTTACGTATTGGCTTTCCTAATTTGATAGTTTAATTTCAATCTCCCGTCCTTATCGCTCTACAAATGGAAACATAGCAGTATCACGATTTATAATTGTCATGATAGGCACTTTATAAAACAGCAATTATGCACATCATACATCATGGAAGATAATGGTGTCCATGAAAGCATACATTGCGGCAAGTTGTTATCGAATGTGGGGGGGGGGGGAGGGGCATATGAAAGTTGATAACAATTCTTTATGATCTCTGATTAACATTCTTATCTATCATATAAAGTTTTTTTAATATTAAAACCTAAAACTAATTGGAATAAAAGCTTCATATTGAATGCATGTCATTAGCATTGAAAAAGCGCTGGCATTTTTGATTAACAACCAAACGTAAGGCTCGTGCTATTAGCACTCTCTTGGTATGGCCCTTCAAACATTGCATAGCTTAATCTCAACAGCGGTAACAAAAGAATGAGCTACTCGTGGATAGTTGCTCTCACGTAATAGAAGTGTTATTAATATATATCTATGTACATTAATTCTTGTGCGAAGGAACCATCTATTTCTCAGAACAAATGCTATCCCCTCAAGATGAAAGACTTTCCTAACATTTATTGGTGTTTGTATATATGTGAGTTTAGCGTTGTAATAAAGGAGCCAGTTGATCTGAGCTACCAGTGCGTCAAATATGAGCCATTATGAGCGATTGGTAACTTTCATACTGCAGTTCAGGACAAGCGAATCCTTAGTGACCCTATCTAAAGAGCACTATATCTAACGTAGGGTCAATACTGCAGTGAAGAAATCTGGGTATCTCCGCATGGACTATACAGTCAACAATCGCTTTAAACTCTCCCTCATATCAGGAACATTTGTATAATTGCCAAAGCATCCACTTTGAAGACCTACATGTATTGACTCTCCAGGAAAACTGCAATCACATTGGCTCTGAATATTACATTCGTACAACTGCGTCGGTTTGGGGTTTGGGGGAGACTGCAAAAGAGCCCAGAATGTCGCCAAGACAACCTCGTTTCAACATATGCCAAGTCTATCTTTGATAGATGAGTGTCGCCTAATACAACATACCGCATGTTAATATACGTACAGACATTTCATTACAAAACCGGCTCACAACATGTTGTAGCCATTATGATTCACCAACAACAGACTTTTTCAATATTAGGCTTAACCCGATCTTGTTGCGTGTGACACGACAAAAATAAATGGTAAACCGATTTACTCTAAAACCTTAAATCGGCAGACATAATGTACTGAGAAAGCTTTCATATAATCCAACACGCATGTATCCGGTAAACTATACAACGCTGGCTCTTTTTATTTTGTCTGAAAAAGAGTTTTAGGGTTATAGATGATGTACTGCTGCTTCAATGAAGAATTTGGAAAAGCAATCCTTATATCCTAATGACTCTTTTGTGGTCATACTCTTTCATAAAGGCTTTACAATCCCGAATATATATACACAACATGGCACTGAAAACTTTTATCCGAGCAATCAAGGCATCATCTTCCTCGCCATGTATGCTCATTTTGTGCTGATGATCTTGACGCTAATGGATAATAATTTCGTAATTTTTTATGCAGTGTTTTACCAGCAACTGGAAAATCAAGCAGAAAGCAGAAAAGGAGCATAAATCAAGCAGAGGATGATCCTCGTTGACCGGAGTTGCTGAACCCTTTAGAAACGATTGGCTTGAGGTAATTTACTTATTGTTCTGTCGTATTCCCTTGCTTTAGCTTTTTTTTTCTTGTTCATTTTTCTTGTTTATTTTTCTTTTCATTTCTATTTCTATTTCATATATATATATACACACTCATTATGCCTCATCATATTACTGACAATGAGAGCAATACAGAAGAACTCGCTGAGGGATCTCGTAGCATCCTGTTGAACATTGCCTCTCAGCTGACAAAAGGCATGGACTTGGTAAATTGTTGATGGAAAGCGTGATAAGCAACATTGCCGTATTAAAACCATGTTAGCACCGAGTTACATTGCCAACATTTGTACTCGAACCTAGAAGTATGCTTGAACGTATCACGGACTTCATGGCACATCCTGAATTCATTTTGCCGTAAGTGTTGATCCTCTCAGCTATTAGCTTGTATTTATTTTATATTCCTGCAGAATCTCTGACATCGATGATGCTACCCAACGATTCATTGCGGTAGTCAAATGGTTCTTGAGTGGATGGCACATCAAGCCAAAGGTATATATTCATCTGGCATAAACGAATGTGCGCTTTTGCTAAACGTTATGTCGACATAGGGCGTCAAAAAGCCATTTAATCCTGTACTTGGTGAATTCTTCCGTTGTCGATACAAGTACCAAGATGGAACGGAGGCATTCTACATTGCCGAACAAGTATCCCATCATCCACCTGCTTCAGCTTATTTCTACACATGTCCTCAGCACCAAGTGGTCATCACTGGCGACTTGAGACCTAAATCCCGTTTCTATGGCAACAGTGTAGCGTCCTTAATGCAAGGTACAATCAACTTTATTCTGCCCTCAAAACACAATGAGCTCTATCAAGTCAAAATGCCCAACATGTATGCTCGAGGCGTATTGTAAGTTGATTGATGATATGAATACTGCTACGAATGCACAATTTAACCTATCCCTTCTTTCAAGGTTCGGCACAATGACGTTAGAATTAGGTGACGCTTCGACTGTCAGATGTGTTTCAAGTGATCTGATTTGCGAAATGGACTTTCAAACAAAGGGATTCTTCTCTGGTCAACCTAATTCTGTAGTGGGTAAAATCAAGAGAGAATCTACACAAGAAATTTTATACGAAATCAGCGGTCAATGGTCTGGAGAACTCTTTATCAAAAAGTACACACCTCCTGAAAAGAGTAGTATCACTGGATTGTTGGTAAGCATTGGGTTGTTTCGGTTTTGCATGAATAGTGTTGCTTAACCACTTCTCTACAATGTAGTCCCTCACAAAAAAGAGCACTAAAGACGAAGAGAAGCCTGATCTGATGGTAGATGTGCGCGACTATGTTAAATATCCCTTACAAGTACCAGAGAACCAAGACGAAAAGGAATCCAGAAGACTGTGGGCTAAATTAACTGAAGGGTTGCTAGCCAACAACCAAGACATGGCTACGGATGAAAAGACCAAAGTAGAGGATGAGGAGCGTGCTTTGAGAAAAGAGCGTGAAGCAAACAACATTGAATGGAAGCCTCGCTTCTTTGATGTGGATGGAGATGATTACAAATTCAAGGGCATAGACAAGTAAGTTGCTCGCTGCCGAGACCTTGCCGGTTCACTCGTATTCATATGCTTTATACTACAGATTGGACTTTGCAAATCCTCAAGGAATTTGTCAGGAACTAAGTGCTTTATTCTAAAAAGTGCTTTACTTTGTAACCAATGAATTCAGCTGCTTTTATTTGTTCCTTGGTAGCACCAACTCTTTCAGCACCCAAAATATGATCCTGCAGCTTGAGTGTCTCTTTAATAAAATGCTAAATATAGACCACAAAACATACACACTTACTTGAGGCAAGGCGTCCATCTGAATTAAACTCACAATCGCTTGCAACTCTGTATCGACAGCACTCAGATGTGTCGTATCAGAGATGATGTTTCCGTAGATCTCGTTTATGTACTGCCACAAATCCGGATGAGCGTCTTGTATCATCTTTTGTTTTTTCTCTGATCCTGTCCCATAGATTTGGTTGAAAAAACCCATGCCTCGTGCATTCCATAAGGTTGTGTTTCCATTGGCACTTGTAAATATGTCATGAGTGCTAATTGAATTAATTGGCGCTTGAGAACAGACTTACTTGAGAGCAGTTGTTCTAAGTAATGATCGATATTGAACGGACAAGTGATTGTACAGCGCAATTTCAGCATTTATCACCTGATTATATGCAAGAAATGAGTATCATGTAATACGAGCATCTTGTGAGCAGCGTGTTTTTTTTTTTTTTTTTTTTTTTTTTTTTACCCTTGGGCAACCACAGAGCACAATGCTCTTGAACATGGCATTTCGAATGTATTCTATCCACTTGATTTGGTCCTCCACCGAATCAATTTGGTCCAGATAGTGGTTCATGACAATAGGAACGCCTTGAGGGTGATTGGACGCAGTAAAGCCAACGCACTACAAGTGTATACGTTCCATAAATCGTTGTTTTACACATGTTTTTGGGGGGTTTACCAACAGCATTGCTACTAAAGGTGGCATTAATGCCTCGACTTTGAGTTGAGATAACTGAACATAAGTTGCAGTCAGATTCATATTTTTTTTTTAAAAAAAAGAGAAAGAGAGAGAAAGGAGCAGAGAAAAGAGAAATGATACGCGCACGGCATTCTCTGTTAATGTGACATGTAGGTACATGATTATAATCAACAATCCGTTGGGATTATGTGTGTTATTACCCCCCCCCCCTTTTTCTCGGCCTTTTAATCAAGGAATAAATTGCATTAAATTTACTATCATGATGCCCTTTCCTTCTTTACTTTCTTTTTTTAGATTGCTTGCTGTAGAATGTCCCCACCAAATTACAAGCTAAAGCCGCTTTCTCCTGCGATATCAGCCTTTCAATTTCCCGGGAAACAGCCTGAAAGCCCTCTCAGATGCGTTACAAGTCCAGTGGTGCCTGATGATTATTTCGGCCAACCCATCTCATCCAACAACAGCAACTACAGCAAGGGAAAAGCTGCAATCACTCTTGCGCATACAGATAGCAAAAACGAGTACATTTACAGAAACAAGATTGTTGTTCTGGACAAAGAGACCAAGCAGAAACTGCGAGATATGGGAGAAATACCACTTGAGAACGAATGGACCTTTTGGTATGACAAGTAAGTATTGTTCATAAAAGCGGATTCCAATTTTAATTCTTTGCCATCCTGGATAGATTTGTGCCTAATCTACCAGCAACTGATTATGAAGCGAATCTACAGGTCATTTCTTCAGTGAAAACAGTGCAGGTGCGCTTTGTATTCGGCCGTGAAAGCAAGTTTCCTAATGCAAATCATAGAAATTTTGGGCTGTTCACAATAATATTGATGGTCCTGATAAACTTGGATTCAGGAGTACTTTTCATTTTATGAAGAAGGGCATCAAACCAATTTGGTATTGCTTTAGATTTATATATATATACATATCCAGATAACCTGACAAATGCACCATAGGGAAGATCCTCGCAACGAGTATGGTGGCTCATACAACTTTAAAATCAACAAACAGCATACGGTTTTGGCATGGAGGGACATTTTGGTATTGCTCATTGGCGAGAATATGGATTGGATCAAGAATACAGTGTACGGCGTCTCTGTGTCTTGTCGCCAACATGTAGACAACTACCAAATCTGGACTGCACACAGCAATTCAAAGATCAGTGATACACTGGTGAGATCAACATTGACAGAATTGTTGTATCCTGCTGATATTCAATCCTTTTATTTTAAAAGTAAGTGTGTATAACAGTGATTTAACCATGTACTGACATGATGGATGTACGCATAGTGCATACATCCCATGCTGATTTCAAGCCAACAACACCAACCACGCCCACTCTGATACTGAGACCAATAGAATCGAGAACCAAGATTACAGAAGAAAGCATCGAGAAGGTGGTTCAGGATATCGAAAGGCTCAAATTACGGGTGCAATGATGAGTGTACACATACAAACTCCATTGAAACGCGTACAGTGGCTTATTTGTGTGATATTTTAAACATTTTGTTCTTTCCATCTCTCTTTCTTTTCTTTACCTTTATACCTTTATCATAATAAAATCAACATGAGCTCATTATCTGCTGTAGAAGCTAAACTCGAGGCTGAATCAAAGGCTTTTCAATTATTACAAAAGGGTACTCATAGACACACTCACGAGAATGTGATCAAACGCATGTATTGATACAACACATGTTTAGAACTTTCCCAAGTGATCGAGTCAAGACAACGTTTAGAATCGCAACAACAGGAAAACGAACTTGTCAACACTGTAAATAACATCAACAACTCTCATTTACGAAACAACAAAGACATTAAAATTGCACATGTGTAGGAATTTGAGCATTTGGATGAAGACAGCAATATTTATAAACTTATCGGCCCCGTCTTGGTCAAGCAAGATAAGAGTGAAGCTGCTACCAATGTCAAGAACAGACTTAATTTGATCTCGAGCGAAATGTGAGTAACTCAAACGAGTACTGACGACTATACCGTGCCAACTCACAACTTTTTATTGTCTCTAGTAAACGTGTCGAGACTCAACTCAATGAATTAACACAAAAATCAGAGGCCAAAAAACAAGAGGTAGGATGATGCGAGTGCAAGAAAACTTGAACAATTGGTTAATTTCTAACGTCATTATATACAGATTGGTCAATTGCAAATGCAATATCAACAATTGGCAGCAAAGAAATAATAAACTCAAATCTATTTTTTTGACATGTTTTTCATGGCAAATACATCTTGAACGGACACGGTAACCTCATCTTGCTCTTGCTCGTCTTCATTGATCAGATCCAGTTCATCTCCTTGTTCCTCGTGCTCCTGTGGCTCCACTTCATATTCGTGATAATCATCATATCTCTTTTTCTGATGCTTTTTGATGTCGAATTTGCCACCTTTTGTACTTGTTTTACCAAACCCATAGACATAGACAAAAGTAATGGTATTAGGAAGGTCTATTGATGTGAGAATAACTTGCTTCCAATCTGATATTTCAGGTGTATAGTTGGCAGTCAATTCAAGTGTCTATGGAAGCAGAGGTCAGTTTGCCTTTATCATACACCTGCCCAACATGACTACTACGTACCTTGATAGCCAATTGATCTCCAATGGATGGTATATTTGATTCGAAATCAGCAACTGGAAGCTTTTCATAATCGACAGGGGCATCTGTATCAATGGCTGCGTTGTTGATGAGAGGTGCAGTGGCATTTACGTCTACCATGGGAGCTGTTGCTGGGGATTCAAATACTGTCTCGTCAGCATTATCATGGCTTGGGTTGTTTGCATAAAATAATGTGGGCATTTGATGAATAGGTAAATGATTCTCGGGCATGCGGTAGCCTTTGTATTTTGGTTCAGATTCATTGCTTGTGATGAAAGCTCGACCGTACATATTTCGACTTGGTAGTTTATCTACTACCATCCGCTCCTCAATAACGCTCTGCTGTTGCTCTTCTACCTGTCGTGGTTGCTGTGGTTGCTCTTGCTCTTGATAATACACATGAGATCTATTTTCTGCCTTGGATCCTTTCATGTGGTTCTTTTTTTTGTTCTTGTTCTTCTTTAAAAGTTTCTCTGAGGGCTCATCCAAGGTAATTTGTAAATTCTCGACATGCAATTCATGCACGGCGTCGTGCTGTTGTTCTACTATTGGTTGCTGCTCTTGCTGCTCCTCGACAATGGAGGTGGGCTCTGAAAGCATTTGGATAGGAGCCAAAGCGTCTTCCTGAAGCATACGATAGCGTTGTTTTATTAGCTTCTTTCGCATATTTCTCTTCTTTGTCCTGTCGAGACCTTCGAATGGATTTCGCTTCTGCTTGTTGGCGACTCTTGTAGTGGGATGAGTGAATGGGTCTGTTGTGGATATTGAATCTTTCTTGCTCTCTGTCTTGGCCTCCTTTTGATCCTTCTTCTTGTCTAATGTCTTGTCCGTGCCCTTCTTCTTTACTGTCTTTACCTTCTTGGCTTTGTCTTTAGCAGCGTCAGTTTTGCTGGTGGTAGGTGTGGTGCTTGATTTGGACTTTTTTGTCTTCTTTACAGGACGTGTACCCAATGCATCGTCTTTTTCGGGTTCTGTTGGTGATACAGCTAATAATGCATTGCATTCAGTTTATCGAAATGTCATACCAAAAGCCCCTTTCTAAACTTACGTGATTTTCGCTTTTTGACAGCAGTTGGCTTTTTGACGTGATCACCTTTTAATCTACAAATGTGTTGTTTAGTGAACAAGCAGGCAAAGAAACAAGAAGATGGACAAACATTACATGACGAGATCACCGTCACGCAATAGATCTTTGGTGATGCTTTGTGGCAAGAGTTCAAAACCATCCATTGACAGTTTCAGGTTGATGGCTTCAGTCGAAAATTTAAATTGATCCACCATCTTTTTGGCGAGTTGATGGATGGATTGCTTTTCTAGCTTCTCGCTTATGGGAAACCAACATTGATGCTTTGGTAGAGGCGATGCTGTGGATATCTTGATACGCATGCTATCGCTGCTGTCAAATAACAGTTTGCAGGTGAATATGAAAGAAAAAGGTCAAAGGTGAATTGTAAAAAAAAAAAAAATATATTTATATATATTGCTTTATATAGTGTGACCACCTACAATCGCTGAAGCAATGACTTGGCCACCAGCCAGCGGCTAGCCAAAGCTGATTAAGGCCCTGTCCAACTTTCGTTCCAGATTGGCCAGATTTTTGTCAGAATCGACTTACTTCATCTATTTTTTACGATTCGACTATATGAATCAGGATAATCATCCTATACTTCCTAATGCATTCTTGGAGTACTTTTCGAGGCGCATTTGATGGTGTCAATTATGATAGGTGTTTTTAACAAGCATATTGAGCAATTTCAGAGAATATGTAATGAGGTTTTGGGCCTACATGTCAAAATTTTGCATATAAAAGTCTCATAAACAAAGTGTCAAGAGCTGTTTTGGATTGAGAGAAACATGTTGCTCTAATACATGCTATAGCAAAAGCCTTATTTTTTGCAACCAAAAAGGCAATCTTTTGATTTTTGGCGTTTTTCGATGAGGTACCCCTCATGGTTTGGAGTCGATTTTGACAATCTCAAAAAAAAAAAAAAAAAGTTGAGTAACAGTGTCAATAAGTAACTGCCAGATGAGAGCAATTGTTTGGTGCTAATCTGATGGTCTAAAGCGGCTTTTAACATAAGAAGCCATGACCCAAATACATTATACAAGAGCCAGGTTCATTGATAAAGGCCATTTATACTGGAGAGAGAGAGAGAGCTCTTATCATGTGTTATATGAGAGGCAAATAATAGAATTAAAGCAAACGAATAATCACTTTATTCATCATGAACACGTTTTCAATCGAGTCTAGTACGTACAAAAAAAAAAAAATACATATACATATACAAAAGAACAGAGCAGAACAGAACAAAGAAAAAGCAAACAAAAACAAAATATATACAAAGCAGTTAAGTAAGCACAGCCCACTTTTTAACATTGGAATTTACATAATCCTGAACCTTGCAGGACTTTTCAACAACCTTGACTTTAGAAGAGATCTTCCTGTTGAGCTGTTGATAAGCAGAGAACTGAAGTACAAAGAAATCAATTTGACAGCCACCCATACTCCAGCTACGATCATCGACACGCACGCAACCATTGTGTTTCTTGCCATTGGGGAGTGAGACGCCATCCAAGTCCTTGATATACAATGTTGTGCCTAATTTGATATCGTTGGAGGCGACACTGGCCCAAGGTGTCAGTGCTTTACTGTTGGATCCCAAACCATAGGGCGTCTTTTTACGATCGACCTTCATAAAGACGTTTTTGCCGCCTGACCCCAAGTTGACCATGATACCTGACTTGAGTAAGCCTGTGCCTTCCATTTGGAACTTGTTATAGGTAGTCTTGGATACTTTAGAAATCTCTTTGCTGTTCTTGTCCTTGAGTTTCTTTGTTTTTGACCCACTGAGTGTGATACTCTTGCCTTTGTTGTTCATGTCCTTGTCGCCTTCCTTAGGGATCCAATAGTAGGTCAGTCTGACCGAGGATTTATAACAAGATGGGATGCTTCGTTTGTCAAGTGGAGCAGCATGCAGGGTCGTCAGTAAGAGGCAAGCCGCAATGCATGCCATGGCGGTGCTACAAGCAAGTGAGAAGGATTGCTTCATGATGTTGGATATAAAATATAGTATTCACAGAATAACTAGCAAGTGTTTACAGAGAATAGATGCGATCAACGCTTTTGAATTAATAGAAAGGAGAGTTTGGTTTATATATCATTCAATGATAATGATGAAATCGGACTGATGCGATCAAGTGGGTCTTATTTATATACAAATAACATGTCTCATTTGTGATATACAATGGAAAACATGATGATGGCTATTGCAAACGAGTAGTATTCCGTCATGAAGCATCTCAAAATGTTAATTACATTTATGAACAATTTCAACAAAACTTCAAAATTTCAAGGCTCGGATAATTTTTATGAATCATATTGTAATTTCATGATTTGTCAATACAACAAGTATAGCATTTTGTATGAAAAAGGTAATCACTGGCATTTAAATATGACATGTTCAACAATGCTGGAGCGTTTGACATTGCACACATGCCTTGTCGCTCGCAACAACATGAAGTAAAGAGCAAACTGGCGCTATTAGCATTTAAAGCAAATACACGACCTTTCACATTCTGTTGACTATTAAAACCCTTCATCAGAGACATCTCTACATTGTGTATAAAACAGAAAGGCCTGTTTTTTTTTCCATGTTCATCTGTCTTTTTCCACCGTTTGAAAAGGGAGCTGGTCTGGACACACGCACATGTCCTGGTGAGTTTTTTGCATGACGTTAAGAGAGTATTCCCTGATTCTGGAAACGTATCAAATGTCAAAATGTAAAAATACATCATTTATTCGATAAGGCATTCTTATTGGAGGTAGTATAGACACTACTACTACATGACATTCCATCGTAAAGCGTACAAGAAGCTCTTATTGGTTAAACAATCATTGGTGTTGCAATGCTTCGAGACCTTTCGAACTGGAATGAATAAACATCAATCGGTGCTTGACATCAAATGGGTTTCCACTGTAAACTATAAACTCATCGTCCAAATCAAGAGCAGCAGCAGCTTGATCCAGGCCGTAGATTTCACGTAAATTACTAGTAACGAATTGGATGGCTTCTATCTCAGTGATGGCACCATGCTCCAACTCGCTAGTAGCAGAGGGAGAAGTCGCAGCCAACCATCCGGAATCCCAGGCCAAATTGCGAGCCAACCCGTCATCGTAAATACCTACACCTAATTTAACACCATGGCTATGCAAAACATGGGCAGCGGTTCCGTTGGTCAAAGGAGCGCCAGTAAGACAATGGATCGAGTCAAAGCGAGAGGGTGTGCACAAGACAGGTTGAAGGATCACGGGGATGTCAAGCGCGGCCAGGTGAGATCCGACCAAGTAAGCTTCTGTGCCGCCTTGAATGACGAAGCGTGCTTGAGGGAAATGATCGCGTTTGAGGACAACAAGAGAAGCAATCTCGTCCTTGTTGTGAGCAGTAATGATGGTAGGAATCTCGCCATTAGCGGCCTTGCCATAGTAGTTGTCTGATTTGATGTTGTCTTTGAAAAGTTGTCTGATAAAGCTGATTTGACTAGAGATGGTAGGGAAACTAGACGACTTGTAGTCATCGCCAATTTGCAAGTGAAGAGCAACAGCTGCAGAAAGAAGAGCGCCATCGGTAAGCACTATGGGTTATTGATTTAGTAAACGCTAAACAAGGTACAATGGGGGGGGGCACTACATCACTTACGAGAATCAGCGCCCGTCTTGAAGGCTGCAGAAACACCCACCACCACATTGTTAGACATGGGAGCTGTGATGGCTGTCAAAATGCCGCCCTTGTAAGCTTCTTCCAAATGACGCGTGCTCAGCTTGATGCCATCGACTGTTTGAATGATATCCTTGGCATCCTGAGATTTACTAGAGGGTGCAAGACCATCGCCAGTACCTGCTTCGCCTTGAATTTCTATCAAACCTAAACTAGAACCCACACCAATCAAGCCCTTACATACACAAAGATGTCAGTTTTCTCTGTTCTCGTCAAACAAGTGCATGCATATATATATATATATATATATATACTTACTGGAAGAATATAACCGCCTTGAAGGTCATATTGAGGAACTGCTTTAGCAGTTTGGATGGATGCAATGGTGCTGGTGCAATCCGTAGCAGAACACACGATAGAACCATTTTGAACAACAATATCCACAGGACCTTGCGTAGGACGTTGGCCCAAGAACGAGTAGCCTGCATTCTTGAGGACAAAGCTCTTGGCACCATGCATCTTGCTGGGTGGCTGAGCACTTGCAGCAAAAGATGTAGACTCCTTGACAGCAGCAGGCTCAATGGGCTTTTCATCAAACAAAGGCACGCCGTCGACAAAGACTTGCAGAGGAGTAGCGCCTAAAGCCAAAGGCTCTCTATCCCAAATCACCATATCAGCATCGTACCCCACTTTCAGAGAACCAATGCGATGGCCCAATCCAATAGCATTAGCAGGCACAGAGGTCACTGCCTTGAAGGCTTCTTGAGCAGGCAAGCCATAGTGCGTCGTTTTAGCAGCTTCAAAGATCAAATGTTGAGAATTGAGCACGGGATGATCACTCTTGAGAGCCACAGGAATACCAGCATCGTATAGAATCCTGGGTGCTTCAGGGATTGCTTGGAAGGCTTCCTTTTTGTAGCCCCAATGATCAGCAAATGTAGCCACAGTAATATTGTTGGGTGCACGACGAAGGATTGTGGGGATACGGTAGGCATCAAGCGCGTGATGGAAAGCACTGATGGTAAAATTGAATTCCAAGGAATGACGCACCATGGCTTCAATGTCGTGTGTTTCATAGCAATGCACATTCAGCAACACTTCACCACGAAGCAGTGAAACAAGGGACTCGAGGCTGAGGTCCTGAGGGAAGGCACTGTCGAATCTGGCAGAAGGGTCAAGACTGGCTGCCTGACACCAGTCGTCTTGTTGTTGCTTGAGTGCTTGTGCTCTTGCTAATTCCTTGCGGAAGAGGTAAGCTTCACCCAGACCTGTATAAATTAAGTGTGAGTTGGCTTCATTCCTAGTAGACTTGGTGCTACCTACGTGTAGAAGGCATTCTGTTCTGGCCACCATAGACTCTCTATAGAATTCACAGCACAGTGTGTATGTGTCAGTGTGGGATGCTAAACACGGCAATCCAACTAGACTCACCTTGGGATTTTCACCGCAAGCCATCTTCATCCATCTCCATTCCGTGTCTTGTTCAGGGTTGATATTAGCCTGCACCAGCATATCTTGGTTACTCAGGGTTGATTTAGGTCTCAACTTGAAGGCAAATGCTTCACCACCCATCAAATTTCCAGAGCCAGGTAATACTAAAGCGGTAGTTACACCACCGGATGATACAATGCGAATGGCTTTATCAGATGGATTAAAGGCGTCCAAGGTGCGTACAAAGGGAGTCAATGGTTGAGTCATTTCATTTGTATCTTGGGTCGCATCCAATTCCGGCCATGAATCGACGCCCATATGACTATGAATCATAGAGTCAGTGTTGTAGATCTCCCTCCTCCCCCCCCCCAAGCGCGCTAATTCACTTACCTGTGCATATCCACCAATCCAGGACCAACGACGTGTCCAGCCACATCAATCACCTTGACATGAGAGCCCTTTACCTTGATATCCTTCTCCACTTTTTGAATGATACCGTCTTCCACATACACATCGACATGCTTCAACACATTGCCTTGACCATCCCACACCACAGCGTTTCTAAGCAAGATGGGTTGTTGAGTAGCTTCGGCTCTTGGATTTGTACGACTCTCGCTGGGCGTGTTCTTTTCTCTCTTTCTGGTCTGAATGGCTTCGCATTGAATACGTCCTTTCTCCATGGTCAATTCTGAAACACCGGCTTGGATGGCGTTTGGTACCGAAGGGACCTCTTTGGTGGGGAAGACTGAGCTATCCGGAAGCAGCGTATAGACAAGTAAAACAATCAGCAGTATAGCAACGGTGAACAGGGTCAATATGTGGTAGAGATTGCGACGAGCAAAGTGCTGTGCGCGACGGATGCGATCATGCCAGTTGAGTTCCTTGCCTTTACGAGATGACAATAGGGGCGATGACGAGGAACCTTCTCCATGAGCATCTTGGCCATCACGAACAATGGCGGCGTAGCTTGGTTGATTTCCTATGGATGTCATTAAACCAAGTTTCTTGATGATTAAGAACAAGAAGAAGAGAAAGAGATGCGAAATTTGGTTGTTTATATATTTTTTGCTTTATCTGGGATGGAGTGACAAGCTTGATCAGGCACACACACAATCCAAGAATTAGCATACAGCCATCAATTCATGTCCATAAAAGGTACTTTTTGACCTCTTTGAACATGATTGTAAGAGAAGCTCCTATCTCTCGGTCAAAAGTAAACCCTCCATTTTATACAAGCGTGAACACAAAATGATCGCATGTATTCGAGTCACAATGGCGAATGTTATAGTAGCATGAATTGGAGTGATTTGGAGCCATTGTTCTTGTTGGCATATTGAATATACAAAAGAAAGACTAAGAAGCCGGTTCTGTTTCGTGCTGAACATACTTTTTTTTTCTTCTACGTCAAATGCTTTTCAAATCTGACTTGGATCTGCTTCAATTTGGATTTACAGTCATCGTATATCTGCTTAATGTGTACCTGCTGTTTGAAGCATTGTACATGACCAGAAGCCCAAGCTGGCTACATGCTCTTGTGGTTATTACACAAGCGTACAGCCTCTCACTGCTGTTTCAACACAGAACCCAGATAGCTTATTCTATAGAATGAATGTGGATTTCTGTTTTTTTTTTGTAGCCATTGCTAACCATACAGACACATGATAACTCTCTAGAATATAATAAACTCTTTTAACCAGAAACACAAGCCATTGCAGTTCAAGAGGGGAATCAACAGTGTAATCAGCATTGGGTGGTCCACATCCATAAGGCTCTCTCGCTAGCTGTACACTACCGCTGAATACATCCGGCAGACCATGTTTGTACCTTAATTCGTGTTTGGAGCCATTATCAAATTGAGTCTCAATCAGGATTTTATAGGTTACAACAAACTCTCCCAATTACTCTCACACACAATCCTCCTTGAAGCCTATTTTTTTTCCTATTGCAATAAATTATATGAAAAAAGATGAATCCATATCAACCTTCTAATCCTATAACACAGACATCGTCAGGCATCTCTATTAAATCTCCCTCTTCTTCTTCTTTATCAGAGAACCAAGACACAACAGTAACAAAGCCAGCACCTAAAAGTAGGTAAAAACAGCTGCTCTTTGATGCGAGCCAACAACTGATCCATAATCCTGATGATTCCTTGTTAGCCATTCCTTCTTCTTCTTCTTCTTCCTCTTCCTCATCTAAAAGAACATGTAGAAATGTAATCATCCATGGCTTTTGTAAATTTCAAGATAAAGGCTGTGAATTCAATCATGACACTGTGCGTAGTTTTCATCTCCATGCCAATGTACATACACACACAAGTTGACATGGTTTGTTTCTAGGAAAAGCCCATTGTATTGCCACAGCAACTAGTGAATCACTCAACAAGCCCAGAAACGTAACATACGGCCTTATCAATCAATGATGCCATCGTATTCATTTTTTTTTCTCGTTTATTAGCTCTCGAACTTCATCCGTGTCTGCTGGCAGTATTCATGCGCCTGTCTTTGTACCCAAATCCACTGCCATTCAAGGTTTGTTTGCAAATGAACAAGAAGTGTCAATGGCCTCTTTTTTTTTTTTTTTTTTTTTGCTCATGTCATGTTGTATTAGAAAAAGTATCTCCACCACGGCCAATGTAATGTGCACCTGTATCGTCTAGCTGAATAGCAACATTGTCTAAAACTCTCTCGCTCTCGTAGATTAACAGACATGTACAACAGTACAGACAATGCCAATGCTCGCTTAACATCACCTATTCAGCAATTACCACACAATCGATTTCCATTTGTCAATGGCCAGCAATACATGTATCCGCCGCCATCGCATCCCTCCACACCCCTGATGCCACACGACCCGTACTTTTACATGAACAACCACTCATTTCCACAGCCATCCGTAAGTGTAGCATGTACACCCACCTTGACCGGACATACTGATTCTTTGTATAGCAACCTCAGTACCATCAATACGCTCCCACATTACCTCATGTTGCCAATCTGCAAAATCATCAGCGGCTTGTTCAATCTTTTTACATTCCTGACAACTTGAGAGAGCAATTACTGAAACGCAACGATGCCACCATAGCAACAGCGTCAGGTGAGTTTTGTCATCGAGCGTCAAGATGTGGAGGGCTAGTAGATTAACAGAGTCAGAAGCAGCAAAAGAAACAGGCTTGCCAGAGGAAGTGCATGTGTATCATTCACTCTATCGCATGGAAGACAAGCCAGGTAAAGTGCTCGGACATGCTTCTTGGGTTTATAGAGCAGTGTGTCGTACCAATGGCAAATACTATACCATGGTGCGCATTGAAGGTATGTATATATATATATATATATATATATACGTGGTCTTGGCCACATTCCCTCATCTCTTGTGTCCAATGTAGGATTCAGATTGGTCAATGAACAAGCCATGAGCATCGTCAAGCAATGGAGGAAAATCAAACATGCCACTATTGTCTCTATCAGAGAGGCCTTTACGACACGAGCATTTGGCGATTCTTGTAAGTGATCGTATTGATGGATCATCTCCTCCCCCCCCCTCACTCAACCTTAAATGACATAGCACTGGTCTTTGTATACGATTACCATCCTTGTAGCATCACGCTATTTGAAGCCTACTTTTCACCACAAGCACAAGCACTGCTGCACGCTCGATTTCAAGCAGCTGGCATCAACGGCATGCCTGTCCCTGAAACCACCTTATGGAGCTTCATCACACAAATTGCCTCCGCCTTGAAAACTATCCATGGCGCAGGCTTATCTGCTCGCACTATCGAGCCCACTAAAATCATCATGACCAGCAAAAACAGACTACGCATCAGCTGTACAGGACTCGTAGATGTGCTTCAGTTCGACACAACCACACAGGCACAAAGAGCCATGCATCAGCAGGAGGATTTACTGAGCTTTGGTAAATTGGTTGTGAGTCTTGCTTGCAATTCACCAGCCGTTGCTTCTGCCATGTCATCGTTTGAATACATGTCGCGGTTTTACTCGCCTGATCTCAAGAATGTCGCTTATTATCTGTTGGGAAAACCGTCCTTGTCAAAATCCATTGACGAGGTGTTTACATTGATAGGACCTCGGCTGTTGCATGAATTAAACAGTAGTCATCAGTAAGGGTCCTTTTTTTTTTTTTTTTTTTTTTTTTTTTTTTTTTTAGAGGGATACCATGGTATTATACTCATACTCTATTTTCTCTAGTTATACGGATACATTGGAAGCAAATCTCAGCAACGAGTTGGAAAACAGTCGATTGGTCAAGCTCATGTCAAAACTCAATTTCATCAATGAAAGACCAGAATTTGAAAAGGATCCTCGATGGCAAGAATCAGGCGATCGCTACATGATTAAATTGTTTCGAGATTACATCTTCCATCAAGTGAATGAGATGGGTGTGCCTGTGGTGGATATGGGGCATGTGATATCATGTATGAATAAGGTGAGTTGAGCCTAGATAAAAAAAATGGACGAGTCAATAACCCCCCCCCCCCCCTCCTCCCCCAACGCAAATAGCTGGATGCTGGTGTAGATGAAAGCATATTGCTGACTTGTCGAGATAACCAAACATCCATCATTGTTACCTACAAGGAACTCAAATCATGCATCGCATCCGCCTTCAACGAGATCAACACAAAGGCCCATTCAACACATAGCACATCATCTTCAGCAGCAGTAAATAAACAAAGATAAAGTACACTTGATTTTAATTCTATTCTATATATATACGCTATACTAGTAAGCTACGCTCAATTGGAGTCTGTAGTTCTCTTGTTTACTCTTCAATAAAAAGTCAGTGTTGTGAAAGGTACGAACACAGCGCCATGCTTCGCTTTCAGAGTCAAATTTGACCAAAAATTTAGCCACAGTAGATTGCTCCTTACTATATAAAAGTGATGAATAACTCAGTAGATACTGCACACACATTGTAACTTACGTCTTTAAATGCAATACATTATCAGGAGCACCTTCCACAGGAAAGAAGTTTCTTGAACGCAAATAACCCAACAAATGCTCTGGTTGTGTTCTGGGAGGAAGACCTGTAACAATGACAGCACGGCCAGAGGCACTTGTATTATCTGTCAAAGAGGTCATCTCTGAACGACGGTGCTGGCTCATGACTGAACTGACATCGGATTTCGCATTACCAGTCTATTGACAAAAGGTGTGATCAGTAGCATGCCCATGTATCCTAGCACACACACACGCACACACCCCCAACTTACATAATTGATCTTGAGCGTATTGCCACCTAATACTCTTCTATGACCATATTCAATTAAACGACGAGCATCTTCAGCAGTACTCAAACTAACGATACAACGACCAGTAAAGTTGAATTCGTGATTACGACAAAAGACAGCTGTAGAGAGCAAGGTCAGGACAACCTGGACTGCATACACGCATATCACTTACTTTCAATGATTTGTTTATCCCCATCAGCAAATGCTTCTCTTGCTAATTTATAGACATCTTCAGTTGTAGCTGTGGGTGGTAAAGAATCAATGGCGACAAAACGAGAGGGCTCGGCAAATGCTTTGGTTTGATTGCTACGTTGCTTTTTGACATAACCGATGAACTGCTTGCTAATGTTTTCAGCAAAGTTCTTCTTTTCTGTAGTAGTATTTAATATGTGCTGTGTGGTATGGAAAGAAGCACGTTGGCATGTCTTGGTGACGATTGAAGAAAGATATGTGCTTTGACGTGCTGCTACGGCTCGAGCGACAAGTTGACGTGCTGCTGTGGTGGTCTTGGATGCCATCATTTATATAATTGCAAAAAAAAAAAAAAAAAAAAAAGAGTGAGAATAAAGGGGTCCTTCAACTCTTGTGGCAGGGTATACCGCTGGTTGAATCAAATACAGATCATTCCTGTGTTAAAGTCACTTTGTAGCCCAACCCACGGCATTTGGATCTCTTGCATTATGCTCACCAAAGAGCATGTGGATGCTTGTGATGATGCAAAGAGAGGTGCTTGACTGACGATCATGTCTGTTTAAAGCGCTCTGTCTCAAGTAGGTGCCTTGGAAATCCTAGAGATGGCAATGACCATCTGGCCATGCAATGGCATTTGACATGTCTACGCTCTTGAAATGTTCATGTCAAAACCCAACATCTCATCACCATTAGAATACAATGTGATGCTAAATCCATCTTGGTTAACCCTTCGTAATGAGCAAGCTCATGTCTCTTCACAACTGATAATAGAGATAGTGCTCATTTGCATCTTTGGCGGAGCAAATGTCAATCAGCACAACAGACATTTCGACATTTCCAACACGAACAATGCTCAACAAAATTCATCCACACATGAAGCCATTGCTATTCATGCCTGCAGCTATAGCATTTACATGTACATTTACCTCTCTCTGTCTATCTCGACAATGCGCCTGTCAAAATTCTATACATGTTGGCATAGAACAAACCTCTCTCTCTCTCTCTCTCTAAGCCACTATGGATCATCAGCCAATGAGACTAGCATTGTATCAAATTTTTTCTGAATATCGGCTCGTTTGCAAAACAAAAAAAAAATAGAAGGCCATACAATTCCCAAGTGAGGTTTCCTTCTCTTTTCCCTAGTATATCGTAAGTAGTGGCTTGTTTGACCTTTTCCAGTTTGCAGATGATTGATGGATGATCAATGATCAAATAGAACAATGAGTGCCGATTTGGTCTGGGCTATTATCAAGAACAACAACTCTTTCCTTGTTAAGCGTCAACATGTTCAGTTCTCTTCTGAACCCGCCAACTTGAAGAACATCAACTCTTTCAAGTACTCTGGTCTTGCCAACTACAAGGTAAGCTTTTATATATTTGGAGTGGAGAGAAAGAGAGAGAGAGAGAGAGAGAGTAGAGAGTAGAGACATCTGACCATCGTGATCTATAGACTGTTTCTATCCTCCCTGCTGCCCGTGGTGTTCGTGTCACTACTCGCAAGGCCAACAAGCAAAACTCTCCTGCCAAGTCTATCAACTCTGTTGTCATTGCCAAGACTCGTCGTCAAACTTCCAAGTCTGTTGCCAACTTGATTGCCAAGAGCAAGTACAGACCTGATCTCCGTGCTGTAAGTATTGATTTGATGAGGAAAAAGGAGGAGGAAGAGAAGAAAATGTAAATCATTGGGACATGACACTGACACAAATTTGTTCTATATAGGCTGCTGTCGCTCGTGCCTCTGCTCTCCTTTCTACTCAAAAGGCTCGCAAGGTCCACGCCAAGCGTGAGTCCAAGGGTGTTCGTGCCAACAAGGCCTAAGTTGGATTATTTCAATTGATTTTTTTTCATATAAAATAAAAAAACTGAAATTCATGTTATACATATTTCTTTATTCGAGTGCTTTATATACAATACTACTGCTGCTGTTGTTGTTGTTGTTGTTGTTCCTCTAGCGATTTGAGACGATCTTCTAGTTTTGTTACATAGGCATCTGCTTCATCGCGATATTCTTGATATTCCAAATGTTGCCATAAAAGCTGAAATCCCAGAGTGGTTGCTGATGCCAACACAATGCATTTCACAAGAGGTGTACCGTATTGATAATAAAATGACCCTGCGCTTTTAGGCGATGACGATGATGCTGTGCTATAGGCATATCTATGGAATGCTGTCTTGACAGCTGCTGCATTTGCAATCTTGTTGAATATCATGTTTTTGTATGGGAAAAAAGAAATTGAATGGATAAACAGCACCCCCTACCGTGTAGTAAGTCTCCATTTTATACTCGGTAGTTGAATTTTGTAAATGGTGTCTTCAAGAGGTTGAGTAGCATGATGGGAGCATTTACACATAGATACTTGTACAACAACGATAGTATCCATCCACAAAGAAACTTGCCACCAGATAGGGTTTTTGTGTATGCTTACAACAATTGAGTCTTTTCACTGAAAGTTCCAAGCACTAAGCACATCTACACGATGATACTGTTTAAAAGCAAGTTTGTAACCTGCTCACTGATTTATTGGTGAGACCATCTATCATTCGATGATGAGCCAGCTACCACTGCTACTACCAACAGCAGCCACTACGCTGTTGATGCCAATGCAGATGCGCACTCTGTCTAAGAAGGCAAAATTGCGAGATTTGTCCTGAGCCATCATACTCTTTCCACCATACTGGCATCGCTACATCAATATGGTTGCACATATGGTATCCAAAGGATCTACAACATTGTAGATTTAATGTAGAACTATCGAATGGTTTTTGTTTTGTACAAATCCGATAAGTATTGGTTGAGATATGGGCAATCGTGCAAAATCATCGATTTTGACCAAAATTTGCCTATGAGACCCAGTAAGGGAAAAAATTAAATGGCAATTTTTTTGGTCAGGACACGATTGTCAATATTTCATGAGAGAGTTAGGCTAGAGCTTTAAGCAAAAGCTCATTCGATAGGAAATTTTTTTGGTTTACAATATCTAGTAATGCTTAACATAATGTTTTGATGACAGATACTGATTAATCTTTTGAAAACAGTCAAAAAATTGCAAAAACTATCCTATTACATATCAGTTGAGCAATGTACACCACGCACTTGGTATAAATACCATTGTATTTTATTCTAAATTCTCTACGAGTTTCATACAAGTTTGAAGGGGTATTTACTATCAAGAATCAAGTAATCTTGAGGTCGAAGGATGTGAAGGATCTATGGATCTTCATTCAGAGCAGTAAGAGTTCATTCTCCGTTCGATGTAAAATGACTACACCACAGTACCTTAAGACTGATCTAAAAATTGTTTGAATCAATCTTGCCTTAAGCATCATACAACGCATTCCAAAAATGATTACAGAATCAAATAATTTTTTTTAAATCGATTGAAAGGTGAAATTTAAAAGTAAAAATGTAAAAAAAACGGGATTCCATGATGAACAATCTAAACTATCTAATATTGACCTTAAAAACGTGGAGGTAGTTGTCGAGTCATTATTTTCTCAAGTCCTTGACACGAACAGCAACAGCATTGCGATGAGCATCTAAACCTTCAATTTCAGCTAAGCGCATGACGGTATCAGCTAAACGATCCATGCCCTCGGCAGTACACTCTTGAGAGGTGATGTGCTTGACAAAGCCATTGGTATTCACACCAGAATACATGCGAGAGTAGCCATAAGTAGGCAATGTATGGTTGGTACCAGAAGCATAATCACCGAAACTTTCAGGAGAGTACTGACCTACAAAGACACTACCAGCGTTTTCAACCTTGCTCACGGCACCAGGAGCATCCTCCAAATGCAAAATCAAATGTTCAGGAGCATAATCGTTGCTGAATTCCATGGCTTCTTCCAGCGTCTTCATGCTCAAACTGAATGAATGGGGGATGGACTTGCGAATGATATCACAACGAGGCAAAGCCATTGCTTGATCGTGAACTTCATCTTCAATCTTCTTCAAGTGTTCCTCAGTCAGATCAACGGCCAATAACACCACTTGGGAATCTGCACCGTGCTCAGCTTGTGATAAGAGATCAGCAGCGACATAGGCAGGATTACTCGACATATCAGCAATGACAAGGACTTCAGATGGACCAGCAGGCATGTCAATGGAAACAAGACATGATGTATCATTTTGAGCGACCATTTTAGCAGCAGTGACATATTGGTTACCAGGACCAAAGATCTTGTCAACCTTGGGAACAGTCTCTGTACCATAGGCCATAGCAGCAACAGCTTGAGCACCGCCTGCCTTAACAACGTGAGACGCACCCACCTTGTGAGCGACATATAATACCTCAGGCACAACGGAGCCATCAGGTCGAGGTGGTGTGGCAATCACAATATCACGACAGCCAGCCACCTTGGCGGGAATACCCAGCATAAGTGTAGTAGAGGGCAAGACAGCAGTGCCACCAGGTACATAGAGACCCACACGTTCAATGGGGCGACTGAAGCGAGAGCAGACAACACCAGGCATCGTCTCGACAACCAAAGTTTCCTTATCCAATTGAGCATCATGGAATTTGTAAATGTTATCATAAGCTTGATCAATGGCAGCTTTGGTGACAGGGTCAAGCTCCATCTGAGCAGGATCGAATGGTGCAGTAATAGTTTGTTGTTCCAATTCTACACGATCAAATTGACGCGTAAAGTTCATGACAGCAGCATCACCGCCCTTTCTCACTTCTTGCATGATGGGGGTCACACGCTGAATGATTTCAGAAGAGTCAATGATGGGACGCAATAAGAGTTCGTCTCTCTTTTGCTTGGAAATGCTTGCTAAATCAAACTTCATCATTTCAATACGACCCGTATCGACAGCAGCAGCAGGAGCAGCAGCAGCAGCGGGAGTAGGTGCGGTAGATGTAGCGCTCTTATCTTCCCACTTGGGTTTAGCATTGCCAGCACGACGAGTGACCTTTCTAGCCTTCTTGTTCAAGTTCTTCTCGATATCAGCCAAAGAGACACCAGCACCAACACACTTGGTCAAAGCAAAGTAAATCAAATCAGCAGCTTCCCAAGCAACCTCTTCCTTGTCAGTGGCATCACATAATTCCTCAGCTTCCTCCATGATCTTGGCACGCAATAATTTAGCATCACCAAACAAGCGAGCAGTGTAAGATCCTTCAGGTGCATTGTTCCTTCTCTCCTTCAAGGTCTTTTCCAAAGCAGTGATACCAGAATCTGCACCAAAGCAAGTACGCGTGTTCAAATGGCAGAAACCTAGTAATATCCATGATGATGAGTCATCTCAGCCATTCCACACACACACACACACACACACACACACACACTTTACCTGCACCATGTTGCTCGACAACGAAACGCAAGGCATCACCATCACAATCATAATCAACGTGCTTCAAGGTTTGCGTAGCACCTGAAGTAAGGCCCTTATGCCAAAGACCACGGCCACGGGATTGATACACACCTTGACCAAGACGAATAGATTCGGCCACACTTTGCTTGCTAGAGTAGACTAATCCGAGAGCCTTGTTAAATTCATCAACTACCATCGTCGTATAGAGACCATCAGGACGATCGGTCTTGGCAGTAGCCAAAAAAGCTTCGGCAATGTTCAGCTTGCTGGCATCATCAGTTGCAGTGGTCAAAAGGGAAGCAGGCACCAAGACATCGACATGATCAGCACCCAGCTTGGCAATGGTATCAATGGATACATCAGACGCCAATTCAACGACACATGTCTTTTCACCACCGTGAGCCAAAAGACCAGCATTGTCGGCAGCAAACTTCTTGACAGCATCCACATCAGATGTAGTGACAATGACAGTAGACACACCTGGCACAGACACAGGTGAGGTGGTGGTGACAGCAATACGGTCTTCAGAGACCATGCCGGCTAATTCTTGCTGAGCTTGTTGATAGACGTCCAAATCGAAAATGACCTTGAGCACACCGACGTCCCATAATTGAACAGCTTCATCGACAGACTTGGCATAGGCCCAGTAAAGAGTGGAGCCGGTTTGGTTGATCAATGATTTGATTTGGTCCACTTGGCCATTCTTGAGAATGACAGATCCAAAGAATGAGAGAGAAGAATAGAGTGAAGCTTGAGAAGCGTCCACCAAGTCGATTGAAGGCACAAACATGATGTTCCTTGCTGTTTTTTTTTTAAGAGTTGGAGAGGAAGAGAAAAAAAAAAAAAAAAAAAGGCCAAAGATCTTTATTTTTAGATGTTAAAAAATGTGTGCGTGTGTGTGTCAGTTTTTGACTCTGGACAGTCACCCACTGGATGTGTCATGATACCTCATCTAACGAAGTTGGTTTGCTTTTTGGCAATGTCTTTCTTGATGGGCATAATGGGCATGATGGCACTTTCAAAAATAGCGCTGTATGACATGATCTGCATGGATTGACAGGTTTACGTTATTTGTGTAATTTGATCCAATGTCACAAGGTATCTCGAGGCAACCCTATGCCCTTGAAATGATATTCCGTTTATCTGATCATTTAATATACGCCTCTTAAAAGTGATCGATTCAGACGATCCCAATCAACGATGAAAGTGATTTCTGCGCAGGCTCCGGGGGAGGGGGGAGGGAGAGAGGGGAAGCGACTTTTTATATAGTTCCGATAGCAGGGTTACGATTGGAGAGACATCCGGCTTTGGTTATTTTGCTTCAGATGTCTCATTTGCGAATAGACACAGTATACTATCACTAGCCGATCAATCTCGCTATGCTCGATGACGGTGACTTTTTGAGATGTTATCATTGCAAAAAGACATCTTTATAGGAAAAAAAAAAAAAAAAAAAACTCCCAAAAGAAGCATTCAGGCTAAGTAATTGTATTTTTAATGCCATGATCCCCATTTGATCAGCAACGCAATCAACATTGTCATCATCAGAAAGGCATTTGGGCTAGCCAGCAGTAGCGCAATCCGCCGCCGCCGCCGCCAAAACTTATTCAAACTTAGCTTACTCTTTCTGCTCAAGATTCGTCACATATTGTTTTTTTTATCGACCTCTTTAGTCTATTTTGTAAGATTCGACTATTGACACTGTGATTATCATCCGATGCTTCCTAATACATTCTTGGGGGGTACTTTTCAAGGCGCTTCCAATGGTGCTAATTATAAAAGATGACTTGAATGAACCGACTGAGCAATTTATGAAAATACGAAAAGAGGTTTTTGGCCAAAATGTCGAAATTTTGCATATGAAGGCCTGATAAAAGTTGTTTCAGAGGTTGCTTTAGATCGAGGGAAACTGGTTGAATTAATATGTGCCATAGTAAACGTCTTCATTTTTAAGGTGAAAAAAATGCGATCGTTTAATTTTCGATGAAAACCATGAGGGGCACCTCATGCTTTTTGATCGAATTTTGTCCATGTTGTTTGGTCCTCAAAAAGTTGAGCAAAGGTGTCTGATAGTTACTGCTAAATGAGAGAAATTGTTTGGCGCCATTCTGGTAGTCTAAAACGCCTTCCGAAGCGAGAAATAACGACTGAAATGCCTCCAAATTTCGCTGTAATTTGCATATTTTGAGCAGGAAGAGACAGTCCAAAAATGATGCCTGCCTGTACCTGAAACGTTTTTATAGATACGGACCTGGAACATCACCAAATGGTATTTACTGTGTTTGCCGATGGCGCTTTAAGGACAGATCAGCGCATTGACACCACTAGTAGAAAAGCTCGTCATATGAAGCTTGCTCCTTTATCCAATGCGAATGTGAATCTCAACGCAGATAGAGATATCAATGATCCAAACTACTACTGTGCCAAATGTTATCGAAATTCGAAGAATAGAAACAAGTTTGCAGGACATTTAAAACTGGCTCATGGAACAAACATGCCGCCAAGAAGAAGAAATGGCAAACCCAGATGTCACGAATGACATTCGTGATTCCAACTTTTATTGTGCAAAATGTGCGGAGCGGCTATCAGGAAAGAACAATTACAAGTTACACTTGAGGAGAATCGATGAGTGTGATGTATAGATTAGCTTAACCAAGTTCCCGAAAGGATCTGCCACTTCTGGTAGGGCTCAAGCCATGGGCGGTGTCAGTGGTGAAAGTGGTTTCGGTCAAGAAGATGGTGACAATGACTAGTATGCAAAAAAAAAAAAAAAAAAATCTCTTTCAACACACATGTCTTTTCTTTTACTATTTTCTCTCAATATCATTCTCACTCACCCCTCTTCTATATCAATGTGAACTTAAACATTTGTTTTATTGCAAAATATATAAAAAAAGTACTAATCATTGTTGCTTTCTTCTTCGGATATGATAATATGACGACTTTAAGGTACTCGACGACTTATAGGACTTGAACAATCCCTTTGCCTTTTTCTTGTCGAAGATTTCCTCCCAGTTCTTATTTTTGCCAAGTTCGCATACTTCTTCTATGAACCTGGCATCATCTTCTGTGTACTTTGATGTTTGTTTGTTTTCTTCTTCACCAAGACCCATATAATAAGACATTTATACGAGTTTTTATGCTTCGGTGAGAACCAACCTGCGCAGCGGCAGCTCGCGCTACCGATTGCCCTTACGTATCTTATCAAAATACTACTACTCTCGTTTTGACCCTCCACTTACACATCAAACCCCTTCATCATTTTGTAGTTCTCGTTCTAATTGCTTGATTGACAAGATGCTTGAAGTGAACTAGACTAGATTCCCATCATAAACAAAGCCCAAAATAAATGTCATCACAACAAAGCCATGCTACCATCAACAGATAAACATACATAATAATAGTATTAGCATGATGATAGCAAGTGTTATGTCAAAATACAATGTAAAATTGAATCTGCCAAAGAGTTACACTTTTGTCGAGAATGCATCCCAAGGATGCATTTATATATTTTTCATTATGCTAGGGTTTACAGCATAATGATGAACTATAATACAAATAAGTTTACTGTCTACCTAGCCAATGATTTGTAAATCATGATTAGCATGATTTTTACCCAAAGGACCTAAGAATAGCCCAAAGCCTTTAGTGCAAGACCTTGTTATGCCACTTGATATAGCAGTCTAGTCACGGTGTTGGATCAGTACAGTGTAGATCACTGGTAAATGATGAATATTACACCAATTAACAGGATGACAAGCATTTGGGTACTAGAAATACATGTTTCTATGTTTAATATGATAATTTATTTGAACGCTACAAGGACAGGCATAACTTAAATGTTCAATTGCGGCATGCATTGCTTGTGCCTTCGTTCCATCACTGGGTAATCTTTCATCAATGCAGGCATGTAAAGCTCTGTTGATGTCGTGGGAGATACAGTAGGCTGCTGCATGGCAAACCGACATATATCATCTGTTACAGCACTCATTCTGTTAATCGTACTATGCAATGATTCAGGTGATTGCTGGTCAGGCGATGGTGGCGGTGTGGTTTCTTGATGTTAACTAAAAAGCATTGGCTGATGAGAGATCAACACACTGCTCTGAATGACGACCCGACATGACAGTGAATGGTCTACACGTGTATTGTAGTAGCTGCCTTGGTTGTAATACTGCATTCAGGGGTCTGGTAGCGACATCAATGAGTAATGTACACGACATCACCATTTCAGCCAGACTGGATGTACGAAATATATATGATCCTTCACGCTGTAATGCAGATCCTGAACATTGAATTTCAAAGGAATAGTTGCTTGCCCTTTCTGGCTTGGCTTGAAGTGTAGTGAGATTCAAATGGCTGATATCCATGCCCATATGTGATGGCGACATTGGGCATTTAAATGGAGGGTTCAGGAGACGCCTCGTCATTCAGTATAAACTGAAGCAGGAATCCAGATTAAAATTACACTCTACCATCACATTTTATTTTTAACTGTTCAGCCTCTTGCTTCATTTCAGTCCATGATCTAGGCACTCGATCATCGCTTTCAATGCCATCTCCAAACAATGCTGAAAGCCGCTTGGGTATCCGATGCAGATGGACATGAGGCACCTGTTTGCAATGTCAGGCTTAAAGATGTTACCAAAGCTAAAGATTGATTACCGTTTGGCCTGATTCCTTGCCATCTCGAATCAGCCATACACATCCCTTGTTAGATGCATCGCTGTATTTATCCTCAATTACGTTACTGATGTGCTTAGAAGATTCACTGAGATCCGTAACCTACACGTTTGGATAGAGAATGTAACACGCTTCTATCCAATGCTATATATATATATATATATATATATATACTCTATTTCCTAGTTTTACCTCTTGTACAATGAGCTGTGAATACTTAGGTACGACACGCTTAGAAACAATCAGAACATTTGTAAAGAAGACGGTAAAAAGAGTGATACTGATGATCACCGGTGCTGTCACCGCTTTACATGTACTTCTTACAGCTACCGTCACCGCCACCGCCACCGCTTTACAATCCTTTGCACAGTCTGGAATGATTCGTTGGCTAATTTACGCGTCCTTTTTCACCCTGCTGTGATTTAGTAAATTAAATATTTTCTTTCATCATTTTCCACAGCACAATTTACTCAAACAAAACCATGGCAACCTTGGACGCATTTCTTATCAGAGGCAAAAAGAAGACTCAATCATCATCATCATCATCATCACTACAAGACACACACACCCATCACGCATTTGTCAATCCATTCACAGTGCAAGTGAAAAAGCCACTGAGCAAGAAAGCACTTATTGAAAAACCAGCGAGACATCAAACCAAAAGAAACACAATAGCGCACTATTTCACGCCTGCGACAAGGGATGCCGATGTCGAAATGGAAGAAGCTGCTGCAGACGTGTGCGTGATTCGCAACAAGATGCCAGTAATGAATCTATGGAATGTGATACAATACGAGCTTGAACAAGACCCTTTTTACCATGGTATTATGGATGAATCTTCCGTACCAACGACAACCAGCAGCACACTGGCCATCTCCAGTCATTGCGTGAAACGCAGGCGGTCAAGGCAAGCCGATGCAGAACAGAGTAGCAAACGTCTTAGGAAAACCGACCACGAGCTATCCAGCATCATGATACGATTTTTGAATATGGGCTCATCAGTCATCAAGCACCATCCACCTGTGCCAAGCAGCCTTGATCTCATAAACGAGTTTTCAGAGGACACGGAAGACCTATCTCGTCGTGTTCGTCATAAACAGACATGGCAAGAATCCAATTTATTTTTATACCACATGACACAGGAATTTCTCAATGTTGCAATAAATCAGTAGGATACAGGTCTGTGGACATGATAGACTGCAGCATGTATACAAAAGGCTTTATTTCAAAAGTGAATTTCCCAAATCTCTAAGCCTATACACTCAAATGAAGGGCTTTTGCCCAACATGGGGTTATTAAACGTAGGACAAGGTTGGCTGTAGCCATGTGTAAGATCAGAATGGATCCAAAGACCAAAGGAGCCTTGTCCGCCGCCTATTGCAAAAAAGTCTTGATTGCCATACATCATGTAGTCGTTGAGCATGGTCCAATGGTAAACGCTGACCTGCTTTGTTGATTTATTCTGTCTCCATAGAAAGCTTTTTTTTTTTTTTTGTGTGTAAATGCTAGTGAGTAAGTGTGTGTGTGTGTGTGTGTGTGTTGTTTTGCGTTTGTTTATGATTTTTTACCATTCACCTGTGCCATAATAGCCTGTGTCAATGTGTATGCCTTCTGATAAATAAGCACCAAAGACTTCGTCTTGGTCATCTTGAATGACCAGTAAACATGGGCCCTTATTGTACGATTTCTGATACAGTGTATTCAAACTTGCTCCATGCTGATCTAGGCTGTATAAAAGCGACCATGTAGATGAAACGCTTATTCTGTTAGGTAACCATTGCTGAATCTATATGGATACCATGATAATGTGATAATAAGTATCAAATCATGCATTGCATTATGTTTTATAGTATATTAAAATTTTACTCATTCGCACGTTTTTTGCTAGCATGTAGTCAAGACATGCACTGGTGGTGATGGATCGCTGAAGGAGTTTGAGAGGAGGGGTTGATTTGATCATGGGCATTGATTGACTCTTGATGATTCCACCGCCACTACCACCACCACCACCAGTCTCTTTGACTAAATATTTCTTCATCTCATGCATGGATGAGTATCGCTTCTTGACATTGGCTAAGGCTGCCATGGGTAGCGATGCGCTGGTGTAAAATCGAGTGCATTGTATAGTAGATGGTGTGAGGATGGAAGAAGGCGAATCATTGAATTTAATTGACATGATTTATCTATCAGAGATGGGGAAAAAAAAAAAAAAAAAAAAAAAAGTGAGGACATGGCTTGCAAACAACTGCATGGTCTTTTTATACTCTGTTTGGGAGAGATGTCTTCTCTTGTTCTACTATGAAAATTCTGCCACGCTTCCCACTGCTCCAATAGCGGGATGAACCGATCTTATTGTTTAGCATTTTCGTTACGTTTATTTATGACAAAAAGTGTAATAAACAACCGTATATTGAGCTATATTTCTTGTGTTTTTATTAAATAAATAGCGCAATGTTTGTTGCAATAATGATCTTCTTGCTTCTTGTTGTTGTTGTTGTTGTTGTTATCCCTCGCAAACGTTTCATTTCAGAGAAAGCACCTTGATCATGCCTTTGCTGTTGGCCGCTACTAATTTTTTGGTATCTTTTTTCCAGCAAACTGAACTGACGAATATGCTTTCATCTTCACCCTCCTATGGCAGTAGAAAAGGCTTAATATATATGTGTGTATGTCATACCCTGGGCACGCACTTACATTGCTTGGAAATGTGTATGTTGCAATGGGTTTGGTTGCATTTTTGTGATACGCAAACACCGTGTTGCACTCACTGCCACATGAGATCCAGTCTCCATCTGTGCTTAGACCAACAAAGTTTTTTTCATTTTGATGTCCCTCGAAACTGCGGAGGCATTTTCTAGACTCTCGATCCCAAAGCTTCAGTGTACTGTCTGTTGATCTATACGAACACTGAGCCCACCAATGCCTATGCAAGACAGAAGTATCCATATACTTACGCTGATATTATATCGCTATCACTCAACCATTTCACATAGGATACCGCCTTCTTATGACCAACGTATTGACTCATTGGATGATTTGGAAATCTCAAGTCATAACAAGAGATGTGGTGATCTGCAACATGGCATGGGTGAGTCTGGCTAGCCCCATGCAAATGCTAAAAAAAGTTTGGTTCATACCTGCGCTGCCCACAGCCAAATAGTAGCTATTGTTTGGTGCAAATTTGGCGCAACATACATTCCCCTTTTGCTCCAACGTGTGAACCGCCTTGTTGTGGGATAATGACCATACCTTGACTGTACTATCGTCACTGCCACTTGCCAAAATGGTGGGATTTGTTTCACAGTAGTTCACGCTCCAGGCACGTTTCTTATGCTCAGTAAATGTTTGTACCTTGCGTCCATTGGAGCTATCCCAAATGTCAATGAGCCCTTCATAATCTGACGACGCCAACTGCGATTTGACATAGGGCGACCATGAGAGACAACTGATCTTGTTACTGCATCCCAGCACACGTAAGGGACAGTGGCCCGTTCTTGCATAGCCCATCATGTTGAAATCAAATACCTTGATCTCCTTGCTGACACCTCCCACGGCAAAGAACTCTTGATCACGGTCAAAGCCAATGGTGGAGACAATGGAGCTGCCTTGTCGCGAGCTGTCAGTGTAATCGATGGTGTCTACTTCTTCAAATTGATCATAGCGCGTCAGTTCGTATATGGATATCGAGAAGTCATTCAAGACTTTTCTTCCTATGCATGTTGTTAATTCACTCAATAGAAGGGCGCTTGACGTATAGAATAGCTTACGCTTATTGATATAGTCATTGGGCGACACAAGTTTGTGATACATGTTGCGCAGATCATTGAATCTCTCATTCAAACGACGTTGTACTGGTAACTGCTCCTCATCATGCACTGCACTCAGTAGAGGCTCCACCTTGACTCGATCGTCTATTGCATCCTCACTGTATGCGTCACTGCTGCTTCCTCTTCCTGTGTATCCTATATCATTTCTGTTGACAGAATTATCATCTGAATTGAGTAATTGCTACGTACACATGATGTAAGCTAACAGTTTTCGAGCATGTCAAACAAAACAGGACACGTACAGATATCTTTCTCTTTCTCGGCGGCGTTGACGTATCTTCTTTTTCTTGCTCTATCGACTTTAGATCTGCTAGTATGCTTGTGTTCTCGGTTTCCAGACGACGCACAGTCTATAATAAGAAACGATGAGACGAGTGTTCAATGTCTGTATGTGTGTGTGTGTGTGTGCAATCCTCTGTTTTACATCTTTGTTCCTTTGCTCCAATTTCTCTAAAAATGCCTTGAGCAGCTCTTGCTTGATCTTGGATTCGTCCTTTTCTATCTGCTGTCTTTGTGTAATGGCTGTCTCAAAAACCGAAATCAAATCTATTGTGCTTGATGTGTCATAAAAAGAATAAAAAGTCCAATGTATGTCAACCTACCATGATACGAGAGTGCATTGGCTAACGTCCTGGCTATAGACTCGTTGCTCTTTTTGCTTTCAATGATGAGCCTCTCAATTGGATTCAAATGCTGGTTTACTGGCTGCTTTTCTCTGATGGATCGAATGCGAAACGATGCAAGCTTATTCACTACAAGACGACCTGATGAATACCTCATTGAACTTACCACAAGACACTGACTTACATTGAAAATTTGGGTATATAGTGGTTCTGCTTAGTGGGGCGCGGCATATCGGACAGTCTGATGCGTTTTCCAAGTGAAGTGTCAAGCATTCATGGCTGTTGTTGTTGTCCTGAATTGTTGATATCTTTTTCAATCCAATTGAGAGCGTTTGATACAAAGTAACTTACCAAAAGGAGTGGCCACAGTGGGTGACATACACTTCTCTCATCAAATCTTGACATATTGGACTAACATGGATTACTCTGTTGATACTTTTTCATGTATATCAGCAAAAAGCGCTTACCATGAAAGCTCTTCATCTATCTTTCCTGCCGTTGCTTCTTCGTCTTCTTCTGACTTGTCGTTTTGTGGACGCGAACTGTTGAGTAGTGATGATATAATGGAGGGCCAGCGATTTTGTTGGTTACCGGCTCTGTCAGTTTCTTCTTCATTGCCGCTATCAGAGGACATGGCGTAACAGAGAGAGAGAATAAATGCAAATTATATATTTCAAAGAAAGGACAGGATTTAATATGCCGTAGTCCTTTCTCTCATGCCCAATGATCAAAATCAAATATGCTACACGCACACATATGCTGAGTCGTGGACAAAAGGCATCATCCATGCAGAGATAAAGATCAGTGCGCGCGCCAACACAAGTAGCTCCTGTTTGTATCCGTTGCTGCAAGGGCTATTCAGATGTTGAGCGAGATGCCGCATGCGTTCATTTGACAATGAACTGCTTATGAAGAGTATGAATTGTACCTGGATGTGTGGCATTTCTAATAGTTAAAAGAGACTCTGTCAAAGCCAAGAGTGGCTTGACACACACACACACACTAGAGTTTTCTGAAGAAATGATTCCCTATTGAGAAATCTACATGTCATTTGAGATATTAGCCTCAACATTGAGCAACATGAGGCAAGTTTTCACATCATCATCATCTCTCTCTCTCCCGAGAGAGAGTGTGTGTGTGATCGGGTCCAATGTGTCTCCCTCTGCTTACGCTTCCACATCAAGTCAATAAGCCCTTCTGGTACATGTCCCAATAGACATTCTTGGGAATCGTACCACACATTTAATATCAACGTTTCAACACTTTCTCCAATGACAATGTGCCGAAATTAGAGTGGTGGAAGCGTTTCAAACGACGGTATCTCCGTTATCTCAATTTATTACCATTACAAAAAATATTCTGGACCTTTTTTTTTTTTTTTTTTTTTTTTTTTTTTTCTTTCTTTTCTTTATTTTTCTCTGTGTGGAAACCCCCCTTTTTTTTTTTTTTTTTTTTTTTATTACATAATGAATCGTCTTTACAAGCTGATCTGTCTATCACTACTGGTCTCTCTGGCCAAGGCACAGTTGGATAACCCTGCTGAAGAGGTAATGTGTGTGTGTGTGTCCAGACACTCTTTTAATCCGATTAAAGGGGGGAAAGGCATTCTAACTAGAGCAAACTTTTTTTTCAATAGCTTTTAGATGCGACTAACATTGACCCAACGGAAAAGCAAAGTGGATTCGACTGGAGCAACAGCGAATTACTAGGAGGAGGAGGAGGATCAGTAGCAGCAGTAGACACTGTGGAAAAGAAATCATTCATCATTTCATTGCTGATGATCATTGTATCTGAAATTGGCGATAAAACCTTCTTGATTGCTGCCATCATGGCCATGAAACACTCTCGACTGGTTGTGTTTAGCGCCGCCTTTTCATCGCTTGCCATCATGTCTGTCTTGTCAGCATTCCTAGGTCACGTCGTTCCCAACTTGATCCCCAAGGAATACACAGATGTGTGTGCTGCATTGCTGTTTTTGTGTTTCGGTTTACGTATGATGTACGAAGCTTACCATATGGAAAAAGGGGCTGAAAATGAAGAAATGAACGAAGTCGAAGAAGAATTAAAGACAGTAGAGGATCGCGAGAGAGCAAGCAAGTTGGAGGAGATGGAAGTGGGTGGTTTGGAGGCCAGTGCAGACGCCAGCACCACCAGCACAAGCAAAGGACAACAAGCAAAAGAAGGATTGATGAATTTGATGCAGTTGGTCTTTTCACCTGTGTTTGTTCAAACCTTCGTCTTGACCTTCTTGGGTGAATGGGGTGATCGTTCTCAAATCTCTACAATTGCTTTAGCAGCTGCAAACGTAAGTACTTGTTTTATGGCTGATGTTATTTTTGTTTGTTGGGAGAAAGAGTTGGATCATTGACTTTGATACTAGAACGTTTACTATGTCACTGCTGGCGTCGTTATCGGCCATGGTATGTGTACAGCACTTGCCGTCATTGGTGGCCGTATGTTGGCATCCAAGATTTCTGTTAGAACAGGTAAAAAAAAAAAGAAAAAAAAAGGGGGGGGGGCATGCTTATGTGTGTGGTAATATACTAAATATTTGTGTTTTAGTTACTTTTGCTGGCGCAATTCTTTTCCTCATTTTTGGTGTGTTTTATAGTGTCAATGCATACAATGGACTTCAAGAATAAGGGAGGCCTTTCTCTCTTTCATCGATATCACTTATATACATATACGCATATTTCTTTCTTAGATGAATTCATTTACAAAAAATCAAGCAGAAAAAAAAAAAAAAAAAAAAAAAAAACTCCCAATCAAACCAAGAATCCGGCCTTTTATCTCTTCTTGTGCAACCTTTCAGAAGATGGGAGTGAGCAACATAACGGGAAAATGCTGTAATACCCGCTTATCTATTTTTTAGCCTTATACGTCTGGGCTGTGTTTTTGGCCTTGAAAGATTTGCCTTTGGATTTATTAGGCACCAACCTGCTGAGAGCCATTCCATGCCATGTGAGACATTTTCAGCATGGGAGAGAGACACAATAGGCCTTCTACTATGTTGATATTGATAATTTCACTGGCCTCTTCTACATGAAGCATCAGGCAATGTGCCGTCATCTGTTTGATAAGCCCATATGAATGGCAAAATCAAGCTCAATTCCAATTAAATCTTGCATTTATTTACAACAAAGAGTAGATATCAAGCTGCATTGCACTATCTTGCAAGGAATTGCCAAAGCCAATAATTAAAAACGGTATATACTGTATGAACGTTATCCTATTTTCACAGCATCGATCAGCGAACCTTCAGGCTCCTTCATGCTGGCAGGGAAAAACTTGAGCAATGACTGGAATACTGCTGTGCGATCCTCAAAAAAGATTTCTGTAGCTTGGTTTAGTAACGTCTTTCAGCCATGTTGATCCAACATGTATTTACCTTCCATAGACCTCGCAGAATAAGGATCACAAGCCGTGACGGCTGCTTCATCCTCTAATATACATAAATGTGTGCAGAGTTTCTTAAAAATATCAACTTCTTCCTTGATACCGTGATCCACAATAGGCGTAACAGACGTTCTCAAGTAATCCAAGGCATGCATGGTGGCCTCACTGATCTTCTTTTGGCATAGTTGACCCTTGAAATTGAATTGGACATCAGCTTGCTTACATAACTCACTTAATTTTCTACTGCGAAGAAGGAATAAACATTGACGGACAACTTGTGTTGAATCAGGCCTAGGGAAAAATTGCGCCAGTATGTCAATATTTGTACATCTTCTCTGTAGATATATACATATATGACATGACACACTTACTTTGCAAGTTTCAGTTCCCAAAAATCATCCAAGCGTCTATATGGTTTTGACACATCACCGGGATTTCCGCCAAGCATAAAGTGTGCTTTTGATTTTGTATTGTACACGATTTGATGTGTGTAACGAGGGTATGGTTCAACGTCTTGGGTGGTTTGCCAGTATGGTGATTCTGTGTTTTCGCTTTCATACACCTTTTCCCATTCATTTCGCTTGATATTGTACACCCATAAACAATTCCTCACCGTGTTATTTGGCTTGCTCTTCAAAAATCCAGAGAAAACGTGTATTTCCTGATTGTCTATGTCTATTGTTGCGCGCTGTGTATATCCAGAGTCGCCGCCATACAGTTTGCAGAAATCTTGAGCCACCTCGGTCAATCGATCTTGTTCAATGCTGTAGCAGTAGAGGTCCGTCAAGGTCTCCTTGCCACGTTGCCCAGCAAAGATGTAGATGCATCGATGCTCAGCATCCATCAGCATCGAGTGACCCGCTCTGGATTTGACAGTTTGAGATGCGTTGGGCGAAGGCACATAAGAGCCATTGCTAGATCTTCTTCGGCCTATGGGGATGTCATGGACTTGAAGATGGGAAGATGGCGACAGCGAAGAAGAAGAAGCGGTGGCCGGCGAGTGAGGGGCTGACACATGGTTGATATCATATCGCAATACACTCCATGCAAATTCATCGATATCGTACGAGTAAAATCCACTGTACGCGTTGGGTGATGCGTCAGGCGTGACGATACGACCGCCAAAAACATACAGCTTCCTACCAATAGGGTCGATGCACATTTGATGATCACATAATAAGGCTGGTCCTCCGTCGATCTATGCAAATGGCTTAGTATTTCTCTGTATATTCATATGCATGCCTCTCTCTCTCTCTTTACCTGTGTATTATCGCTAATTTTGATCCACCTGTCCAAATCAGTAAAGTATTGGAAGAAATCCGATTCGTACACTTTGGGTGATACCTCAGGTGCAGATGTGCTGGGAGCACGAACTTCAATATACTTTCCTAGTACATAAATTGACTTTCGTATGGGATCATAGCACATGGAATGACAAGACCGAGGCGATGGTCCTCCCTGTCTAATACAATGCCATCAGCCTCTATTTCCTCCCCCCCTCCCCCTTTTTTTTTTACATGTATTTGCTTACAATGTGGTATCTGCACTCAACATCTTCCAGCGATTGTCCCTGATATGATAGCACCAAAAATCAGATAGCTCTCTCTTGCCATCCCAGCCGCCAAACAAGTATATTTTTTCACGATTCGCATCTATACATAGTTGATGGCCACCTCTACCACATGGCGCATCGCCATCTACAAGTTTCTGTGTATGAATACACCTGTCATCTTTTTTTCTGCATAAGCCCAAGTTTCAACTTACCGTCATTGGAGGCAAACAGCCTCTGCCAAGTTGGCAGATACCTTGCATTTTCCACATAAGATCGAAAGGTGTTCTTTTTGTCTGCATCTAGTATGATTTTCTCTGCAGCCTCAAAATCGCCATCGACAACGACTGATTGGTGTAGTTGCTCAATCAGCGGGTGCTCTAATGCAATGTTGCTTGATTTCTGAAGCGTTGCATACACATCCATCATGTTCTTTTGTCGAAAATGCTTCAAGCATAGGCGTATCGTCTCCAATTCCTTGTACTAATACAGATACAGAGTAGTGTCAATAGAGCGCGTCTTTTCTACCTATATTTCCTCTCTCTCTCTCTCTCTTCCATCTACCTTGTTGAACGCATCGTACACCTTGTCTATCAATGCTTTATCTTTGATGCCTCTCACTTCCACATACCATATGCTATAGTTGAAATTGGCACCAAATGTTGCCAGTGGTGTGATCTTTATGTATTGAATGGGGAAAATCTAACCACATGTCAAGGCTCCCGTTATTTCTCATTGGCTCTATGCACTTTTTTTTTTTTTTTTTTTTTTGCGCTTACCAAGTTGTTGTATGTATATCTTATCGGAAAAGTCTCGGCGTTGTTATCATCTGTTAAACCTAGACAGCCATATCAACACACACACACACACACACACACACACACACAGTTCGAATATCGAATCTCTGTACTCACCTTTATGCAGCAACTCTTTCATATCATGAGGATCCAATCCACCATATATTTTGAACTCTTTCAAATTGCATACGTGGCCTATGAACGCATAAAGATTAATGCATTGATATCTACCTTTTTGTGTGACAAGAAAGCTTACTGCGATGAAATTTGCCAAACAGTACTTCACCTAAACTACAAGTGTGAGTCTCTACATGGATATAGTTGCATCGTCAAAGGCTTACATGCTACAGCAGGCTTCTCGAGCTTGATGGTGACGTACTGCGACTGATCGTGCGAGTTGGAGGACCAGCGAGAGGATTGTTCAGTTGGATCGTTTACGCATATATTTCGAGGATGATAAGGACCTGAGAAGGAAGAGTGATCGTATATGTGGTAGGGCAATGGCTCGTGCGGTGCGTTTTCGACAAGTGCTTGCAAACTATATTCTGCTTTCATGTTGGGAACAGATAAAGAAGAACGGTTCTGGAAGAATGGCTCTAAAGATGGACGTCGTAATGGAGTGGCAATCGGGGTTGAACTGTGATTTTCCATGGAAAAAGAACATGTCAAACTACCCTCTTTGTTGGATGCCATTCTCTCTAATCTTTATGCATAAAATAGAAAACGGACAAGCAAAAAGGAGCAAGAAAAAAAAAACAAAAGGCACATCATGTGCTTTCCTGTCCTTTTATTGCCTGATGTCTGATTACTATAGAATAGCATGAGAGACAGAACCTCTCAAGTGGCTTGTTGTTGTTACTCCAAAGTCATTAATTTGGCAAGCGAGCAAGGGGGCGGATGCTGTGTCCATCTGGAATCATTCAATCATACCCAATCACTAGTGTGTCTTATCTTGGCTCGTTTTTTTTTTTTTTTTTTTTTTTTTTTTTTTCTCTCTGGGCATCCCATTTATATCTCGAATTCAACCCACATTTTTTCTTTTTATACTTTTCCTTTTCGTTTTACATTTATAACATTTAATATCTCTTTTCATCAAGCTATAGAAATCCTTCTTTTTCTTGAAGAAAAAGAATCTTTTAACGTTAAAACTAATTCCATACTATTCATTCAGTCATGCCTCTCGAAGAACAGCAAACTGAAGTGCGCAGAAAGCGAGCCAAAATAGTCAGCGCTTGTGGAGAATGCAGACGCAAAAAGACAAAGTGCAATGGAGAGCACCCTTGCAGAAATTGCGAGAAATCGGGAGTGCCTTGTGTCTACCCATCCTCTTCCATAAACGATGACAAACGTAACGCGCCAAGCAAAGCAGCCCTGGAGGCAATTGAAGAACGTTTAAAGACCATTGAAGACATGCTGCGAGCCATCATCAAAGCACAGAATATGATTTCAGTCGATATGGATCCCGTTGTTAACAATTTCCTGCACAGAGATTCCAAATCGTCCTCATCATCTGTCTCGTCTCCTCCTCCTTCCTCACATAAGCAATTAAACACACCTCCACCTCCACCTCAGTCTCTGCCTCCACCTCCTACCTCGCCATCCCAGCAGCAGCAACAGCAGAGTAACAGACTCCCGTCTATCCGAAGCTTATCCTCTTCTTACACAACCGAGCCGAAACTTGAACCAAGAGATCTTCCACCGTTAGGATTTCAACCCTATGCTTACAACAGCAATCCTTCTTCCTCATCCTCTTGTAAATATCAATCGGAGACAGAAGAGTTCATGAAGAAACGCAAAAGATGATTTTCCTGCTGGAACTACAACAATTAATAATGCTAACATTTGATATGACTTATCCCTTTTTATTTATATACATATATATTTATCTCGCTTTTTTTTTTCTTAATACTATATTTTATCTACTTTGAACACACTAAACTACATTAACACACAAAACTTGCAAACAAGTTATAATAATAATAATAATAATAATAATAAAGAAAAACGTCTTTTAAGACATTTTATTTTGCATAAACATCCTTCATGGCAGCCTTCAGATGTTGAACGAAATCAAAGCAGTCTCTAAACGTGTTATAGAGCGGAGCAGGAGCAACACGGATGACAGTAGGCTTACGATCATCCACAATGACACCACGAGCATGAAGGTTATCAAAGACTTGCATCATTTTGTTTGGGAACTCCAATGACAGCTGACATCCACGCTGTTGAGGGTCACTTGGTGTTAAAATGCGGATTAAATCTTGGCTAAACTCTTGCTCCAATTCCTTCAAGAGCAGCTTTTCCAGATAGCCAGTTAATTTGAATGAGGTTTGACGCAATGCTTGGATACCACCTGCCTTTTCAAAGATTTCAAGTGATCCCAAGAGTGAAATGGTGGTGAAAATGCTGGGATTACTTAATTGGTAACCTGAAGCACCTTCGCTGGGTTGAAATTCGGGACGCATTTCGAAACGGTTTTCTTTCTGGTTACCCCACCAACCAGCCAATCTACAAAGCCAAATCATGTGTGTGTGTGTGTGTGTGTTTAGATCAAGGTGTGTATTTCTAAAGAGGCATTCGTTACCTAGGGCGATCTTGATCATTGTTGTATTTGTCGTGGATAAACAATCCAGCGATACCACCAGCGCCGGAATTGAGGTACTTGTAGGAACACCAACAAGCAAAATCAACATTCCAATCATGCAATTGCAAAGGCACATTACCCACAGCATGTGCAAGGTCCCAACCAACAACACAGCCCTATAAGCCCACAAGTTGAATGAGTAACCCCTCTCCCGCCAGACCATAATATAGGTGTCAACTACTCACAGCTTCTTTACCAGCCTTTGTAATCTTTTCAATCTCGAAAAATTGGCCAGTGTAGTATTGGACACCAGAAAGCATAACCACTGTAATTTCATCATCCTTGTTGATGAGATCAATGATATCTTGAGTGCGAAGCGTGTGCTCTCCTTCACGAGGTGCAATGGTTAAAAGACCCACTTTGGGGTCAATGCCTCGGGAGTGAAGGTGAGAACTGACTGCATACTACTCTATTATGTTAGCACTGGAGCCGTGAGAAATTTTCCAGAAAGAGCTTACATGATCTGAAGGAAATGCCTTTTGTTCAATCAAGATCTTGAATCTCTTCTCGGTAGGTCGATAGAAAGTAATCAACATGGAATGAATGTTGGAGGTCAAGGTGTTCATGGCAGTGACTTCAGAGGGATTGGCACCTGTACATCTTGTTTAGTCCTGGCATTGAAATAGGTAATGTAGATGAGATGTTTACCAACTAAATGTGCCAAGGGCTCCTTGACGAGCTCATCTACAGTGGCCCAAGGTCTACCATAAGGATGATTCCAATGACCTTCAACACCTCTGATGTTCTGTCGGGATTAGATGAAGGGGCTACACATTTGCGCTCGATGGTGTCCGTACCTTTTACTCCAGGCATCCAATTCTTCGTTGATAAGTTCACGAGAGCGTTTGGGCATCAAACCCAAAGAGTTACCACACAAGTAAGTGCAAGGCTGATCTAAATCACTCTCTGTTTCTATAGTATAGACCCGTGTTAGCTTCTAGCTCGCTTGCTTGCTTATTCCAATCTCTCTCCCACGAAAATGTCACACACACACACACACTGACCATAGATTGATGTTTCCCCAGATACCATGCGACGTGTAGGAATAACAAATTCATTTCGGTATTGAGAAAGTGTATTGTTGGCATCAAGTTCATTGGCCAAATCCAATGAGGTCAATGCGTGCTGTGATTTTTCAATCAATTCTGAAATGGTCATCTTTTTTTTTTTTTTTTATGTGTGTAGATGGAATAGTATAAAGATGATGATATACCCCTCCCCTCATTCGATAAATACGAAGGGGTAATTTATACCAAATCACGGAGATCTAAAGATTTCCCCTTGTTTGAGTCACACATACACACACACGCACAAAGTAAATACACAAGATCTCTTTCCCAGATGTTAATTGCATTGAGGCACCTATTGCACACAATATGAGGATTATTTCCCACGATGTTTAGATTTATAGTTACTGAAAGTCAATAAAATTGTCTTGATTAAAAGGATTGAGGCCATCTAATGTCTTGGATACTTGACAAGCTTCAGTCTCCCTCCCTCATCTATCTTCAGCTGTGAAGATTCATGCCGACTGAGAAATCCAACTGAGGATTACTACAGAGGTAGGGCACATTAAAGCTAGGCTACAGGTTTGATCCACATTGCTGGATCTTTGGTTTTGGAAGAAATTTGATTTGTCTATCGCATAGCATATCTTCTGAGTCTGTTTGGCACGAGTACATTATAGTTGAACGAGAGCTATCCGTATCAATAAGCGAAATGCAGCCTACTAAAATTTAGCAAATACGAACGTTCTCACAATCCTGCTAACAAATACTCGCTAACATCGCGTTATCTCCTGAGAGCCACCCATTAGTAACCTAGAGCTATGAACCTCTCTCTCTTCTTGGACGCCCACGACCATGTCAATGGAAACAATTCATATAAGGGCATACAATATGCAGAACACAGCGAAATTTGGTTGCATTCGAGCCATAATTTCTCGCATTAAAAGCCGTGTAAGACTGGCAGAATAGCACCAAACAATTTCTCTCATTGAAAATTCATTCTCTGTCACCTCTACTCAACTTTTTTCGCTTGAGAAGATTCAAAAAACATTGTTCAAAGCCGCGTATTACAATTTAGAATTCTTCATGAAATCCATATTCAGTGTCGCGTACACACATATTTTAAAAGAATTTGGCAGAAATAATAAAGGATTATCATCTTTGTATCACACATTCTCTTGTGGGTTTGTTTATTCCAGCCTTCAAACAATATTATCTTCTTCAAAAGCAATGGAAATGTATAGCACACTTTTTAAACGTGATTAACGCTTTAGAACTACTAGCAAGTTGCTCTACCAATGTTTAGCCCTAAAAATGGCGGTGCAAACTAAATTTGGGTAGGTAGTTGTTGAGTAGTGTTAATTTTAGAAAATAGGTAATTTTGAATGAATAGTACTAGTAAATATTTTTTGTATTATTACTATAATATGAATGTGAACACTAAGTAGTAGTATGGTGGTAAGATTTGTAAAGGGTACTTTGCTTGACAAAGGCACGTTTAATATGGAGTTATTGAGGTCAGCGTCAGTGAGTTATGATGGAAAATGTTCCAAATGACCGATTTTCAAAGGGCCGTACCGCAGGATTTTACTAGGTAAACGACAGCTTCTTCTCCAATTAGCTATATGATGGTATAATTTTTAGAGATGAATTTCATTATTTTTTTAACCTCCCCTGCTTGTAGTAGCTCATAAAATATAAGATTTTGAGCAAAAATATAAAAGGAACGCACATCTGGTACCTATAACCCTCATCACAATATAATGAATAGAACGTAAAACTATCGAATGGTTTTTGTTTTAAGTGGATTGGATGAGTATTTGTCGAGATACGGCCAAAAAAGGGTGTCGTGCAAAATCATTGATTTTTCTTCAAAATCTGCCTGTGATAGCAAGCAAAAAATCTGATGACGATTTTTTTGGTCAGGACAAGATTGTCAATATCTCATGATAGAGTTACGCCAGAGCTTCAAGCAAAGGCTCATTCGATAGGAAATTTTTTGGTCTACAATGTTTAGTAATGCTTAACAAAATGTTTTGATGATAGATACTGATTAATCTTTAGAAAACAGTAAAAAGATTGCAAAATTCAACTCATCAAATATCAGTTGAACAATGTAGAGCAAACACTTGATACAGATGCCATTGGATTCTATTCTGAATTCTCTGCAAGCTTCATATAAGTTTGAAGGGGTGTTTACTACCAAGAATCAAGTAATTTTAAGGTAGATAGATTTCGGAATCCCATGGATCATCATTCAGAATAATATAAATTGAAGCTCCGTTGACCTTCTGCACGTGTACACCACACAAGGATGAATTTGACCAAGCATTTTAAAAATCGGAGCGTACGAAAAGGGCCATAATAACTTGTTGGTTTTAAGTTATCAATAGATACCTGGCATGTTGAAGAATTTTGTTGTCAAGGCTAGACAACTGTAGCTTGCTTTATTTAAGAATAATAGCGTTTCCAATCTAAAGTATGTATATTCCCCCGCTTAAAAATAGCATCTCCAATGCTGATTATCTCATGAAGTATGCATTTCCAATATAATATTCCCACTTAAAAGTTGCTCCAATATCATTATTCTACAACATATTTAAGTTTGATGAGATTCTAATTTTTTCTACCTATGAGGACCTGGATGTACAAGATGTTTTTTTGATTTTGAGGTTTTCAACTTTTGGACGATTGAACATTGATTTTTGAAAAATTGATGTTAGAGCCTTGAAACTAGCATGTTCCAATACCAATTTTTTGCCCTTTAAACGATGATGCAATTGAAATTTTTGTAGGAAGTTTGGTTGTTGAGAAAAGAGTAATTTTTAGAAAAAAGATAATTTTAAATAGATGCTGCTAGTGAAAGTTTTTAAATTACTATATGAATGTGGAATGAATGTGTATTAAAAGTTGTAGAGGGTATTTTGATTGCGTAGGGCGTGCCTAAAGTGGGGCTATTCAGGGTAATATGGATGAGTAATGCGGGAAAATATTCCAAATGACCTATTTTCAAAGGGCCATACCGTTAGATTTTACTAAGCGAACGAGAGCTTTAAGCTTAGTAGTTTCTGTTTATTTTTCAATTTTCTATACGATAGTATGGTTTTTATAGAGAAACGATAAAAGTTTCATAAATCCTCTGCTTGTAGCTCATAAAATATATCATTTTGAGCAAATTTATGAAGGAAACGTACAACATCTGATACTTCAAGCCTTTAGATTAAAATAGATATAGCGCAGAGCTACCGTATGGTACTTGCCCTGTGCAAATCCAATGAATATTTGTCGAGATATCGCCAAAAAGGGTATCATGCAAAATCATCGATTTTTGTTCAAAATCTGCGTGTAAAAGCAAGCAAAAAATCTGAGAACGATTTTTTGTTCAGGACTAGATTGTCAATATTTCATGATAGAGTTATGCCAAAGCTTCAAGCAATAGCGCAATCTGTGGAATTTGAGGCTTTATAAGACTAAAATTCACGGAAAAAAAGAATAAAAAACAATGAAGTCAACTTGATACAGGTATGTTTATTATCAAACTGACAGCTGTAAAGTAAACTAAAGTCTCTCTACTGGCCAGGTAGATGATCCTTCTTAAATACTATAACAATGGATAAAAGCTGTATTAATTAGATTAACAAATAAGTCAACTCAGATCAACTAATGTCTAATCATGCTAAAAGACAACCCCAGCAAGCTAATCATGATTTAGCTCTGTCTGGATGAATAATTAGACTCTCATCCAAAGTACCCTGATCTATTCTTTCTATAAGAATAATTAATATCGATCTAGCAGCATGCATCTGATAGGTACAGTCTCCTTAGTCTATATCAATAGTACATATCTGAGTGTATATCGCTGAGCATACATCCCTTTAGCATGTATCTGGATATATGGCATGTCTATAGCATATCGTATGCATGTCTATAGCATGTCTCATATATAGTACAAGTCTCTAGTACATAAAGTATTCTGTAGCTAGTATCACGGATATAAGCATGTGTCTTATAGCGTGGATCATGAAGTGCACATCTGAAGCAACAAGCTCATATTGCATTAATCTTGGTGCCTATCCAGATATGGTAAACATCCGTAGTCAATGTCGGAATACAAGTATAAGTCTATAGCGCCATCCATGTCCGTGGTGCCATCTATAGCCTATATCTTATATAGTATGAATCTTATAGTACTAGCGTATCTGAAGTCCATATCTTCTTATAGTATAAATCGATATCGTACATCTAATCCAGTGTACATACAATTTATATCTAAATCTGGTAACTGGATGAACTGTCGGAATGCAGATCATAGTGGATGTATTCCACATCGTTTGATGATGTCTTCAATAATGGTAGTACCATAACTAGGCCCCTCCGCTGTTATGCAACTCCAGAACATGACTCCACCGTCATTTCCCTGCACCTGAGACTTGACTTAATACGGCTGCATGGTTCGGCCACCATTTGTCTAGTAAAAAGAATTACCATCTGAGCCCCAAAGATTTACTTTTGTTTCATCCGAAAACACCTAACGACGCCAATCAGCAATATTAAGATGCCTATGCTTTTTAGCCCACGCCAATCGAAGCCGCTTGTTTCTCTTGCTAACAAAATTTATCTTTGCTTTTATTCAAGATTTAAGACCATTTCTTTTCAATGACTTGTGGATGCCACCAATTGACATATCTTGACCCATCAATCTTAAACTTTCTTGCGCTGCTCCGGGACTATCTAAAGTACCTGGTCGAAGTTCTCTTGACATTAGGGACATAGTTTTAGCACCAAGTTTTTTCGGTCTTCCGCCAAGAGGTCTAGCTGGGTCAGGGCAATAGAGTTTTCTGAGCCTTGTAAGAGTAGAGTTACCCACTCCTGGATACAAATATCTTATCTTTGAGAACGAAAGACCACGTTGGAGCAAAGATTGGAGAGTGTTACGCAAATCTTGTGTTAAACGAGCAGGCATAATGAAAGTTTTGAAAAAAAAAATAAAGCAAAGAAATAAAGAAAAAAATATGAAGAAATTAGCTTTTTTTTAATACTTTTAGAATGCTCCTCAGGTATTAAATATTCTGAGCATACCGCGGGTATTTTTTTTTAGATCTCTCCGATACGTTTATCGGAAGTAAAGATATCAACCATTTTATATCATCT